ATCTCTGGGCTAAAAATTCAGGAGAAACGGAATCGACGTCTGGAATTAAATAGAATGACACGTGTTTACCATCGCGCGGATCTCGAGATATATATTGATCGTCTCGAAAATATCAGACGGATCGGCGACGGGCCGTGTCACGTGGCCGCGCGACCGGACGCCGCCGCGACATCTCCCGGAAGTCGTGCGACGACAATTTGCGTAACTCCCCCGGTCGACTGAGCGCGCTGATAACGTCGCGCTCGAGGATGCGACGACCGGCGCGAAGCACGGAAATATTCGAGAGCGATCGAGATGATCCGCGACCAAGGAAAAGAAAGAGAGAGAGAGAGAAAGAAAGAGGGAAACGTCGGCAATCGAGAGACGCCGCTGATAACTTACCCATCAACGAGGACATCTCCGCCGTCGCCTGCTTACGCCTGCTTCGTCGTGACCGTTTGCGCTGGACGGATGGATTCGCGGGCGGCGAGAAACGTCAGATCGAACACATGTTTATCGGCGCGGCTGCTGTCTGTCGGCGATACCGTCCGCCCCCTGGTCGGCGCGCTTTGTCGGTGACACACGCGGTCGCATGTATCGGGTGTGTCGAGAGCGCGGAGAAAACGAGGGGCGACAGAGAGAGAGAGAGAAGAAAATAAAAATTCAGGACGAGTACCACGCGCCCGATGTTGACTTTGCGCGATACGCTACGGTTGTACCGCGGACGCCGAGGAGAACGCTTCGTGGAAATTATATAACCTCCTCCTTCTTTTCGTGTGCGGAGAACGGATCGCAGAGACGTCGGGCTCTCTCTCTCTCTCTCTTTCGCGCGTTTTCGCGGGCCGACGTTTTCGGGCGCGTTAGTAGCGACCGGACACCCGGTCACGCGCGCGCCAAGTCGAGCGCCCTCGAGGACGGGGAGGAAAAGGCAAATCGGGAGTCCCTCCGGAGACCAACGATACGCTTTCTCGACACGGCGACCCGCGGCACTGCGACGTACGATCTCCTCGCGACGAGGACGACGCGAGACGAGGAATGACAATGAGGCTCTACCGCGCGGCGGCCGATTGCCACATGTACCAGCCGAAGCGGTCCGTTCGGTCGGCCTCGCGAGACTTCGGCCTTCTTACGTCTTATCCCTGCGGTCTGGTCTCGTTCCTTCTCTTCCACCGACCTGTCCGTCTCGCTCGTCGTCTCGTTCCCCCTGTCGCTTTCTTTTCCTTTTTTTCTCCCCCCGCTTTCCCGACCTGGGCAAAAGGAGCTTTTCCCAGAAATCCCTCCGGATTCTTTTCTTTCGAAATCGCGTGGAGTCGCGTCAACGGTTTCACAAAAATTTCGAGAGAGAAAGCGCTCTCTTGCGAAATCCAGAAGCAATGCGTTATTATCGCATCGGAAACTTCATTTTAATAAAACACGTTTTTCTTACGATGTTTTTGTGCTCGCGTATTGAAGCTTCAAAATAAAACAAAAAAATCATTAAAAATCTTTCCTGTTTGCTGTTCATATTCCGGATTATTATACAGAAACGCATAATTCCATCGTGTCTACGTACGCACGTATTAATGTATTCGTATGCATATTCTCACGAGCTATAAAATTTCTTTAATGACTCAACGAGTGTCGGACGATGAATAATTTCTCTTCGTAAAAAAAAAAACAAAGGATTTATGACAATCATGGTCTTGTTCAAAAGAGTCTTAAAGTGCCTTCAATTACTCGGCTCGCAAACTCCATTTTTTTTCTTCAAGGGACAGGATATATAATAGAAAAAATCGTTACAATAATCCCTCGCACATTCCGTACTCTCGAAAAAAATTCTGTGAAGAGAAAAGACCGCTGCTCGGGACGTGCTTTCAGGTACGAATGGAAACGGTATATTGGGTGAAATTCTTAACGGTATATTCTTATTCGGTAAAATGATCCCCGACGCGCGGATACCGCTGTTTCGTATAAGCATCATCGCATATTCGCGATCGCTTTCCCGAGACCGGGCAGGTCCTCGATTATCGACGGTTGACAGCTCGAGCGACTCGCGCAGGCGGCTCCTCTGCCAATCTCTCACCTCCGCTTTTAATAGTCGCGATTCAACAGTTTGTTGCGCGTCATGCCGGCCAATCGTAACCGCGCCCTCTCCTCGTCCCCCCCTTCGCGTTTATTATCCGGTCCGCTTATTTCGCGCAGCGAAAAATCGCGGGAGGAGGAGGAGAAGGTGGTGGCGGATAAGAACCTGGGAAGAACTCTCGCAATCTCTCGTCGATACGTCGCCGATATCGAAGGCATAACCCGAGTATGCGAGCTGATAAGCGGCCGATCGCCTCGATAAAGCGTATTGCGACGTGACTCGTGTATTAGAGAGCCAAGATGGAAAGTGAAAGCACACGGCCGAGCGGAATCTCTGGCATCGCGATTCGACTCTCGACTCTCGATTGAAAAAAATCAAATGTGTCTCGTCATTATTTCGTAATGGTTTTTTACGCTCCGGCGTGTTAGTTTCGTTATTTTTTATCTCTCGCCTAGATAAGATTCCTTCATTTATTTCCTTCCCTGATGTAACGACAGATAGGTGCAGCGTGCGTAATGCCTAAATAAATAAGTGCCGAGGCGACCTTCGGAAGCAAACAACATTTCCGGCGCGTTTCTCGTATCGATAGACGTTGCCTCTTATCGATAAGCGCTGCTCGACGACTACCACTACCAACTGGCAACTTCCTAGAAACCGCTTTAACGAGATTACGGAAGCCAGGAAAAGAGCATTGTGCTGCGCCGCTTCTGTTCTACTTGCACAACCGAGTTGTCGAACTTGGCGTAGCCGATATATCGGGGGAAATATTAGTTTTGCTTTCACGAATGAACGCTCGTTCCTCGTCGAGGAACGTGGGCGAAAGAGAGAGAGAGAGAGAGAAAGAGAGACGGGCGTCTGGCGAAAATGCAAATTGTCCTCTTCCTTTATCCTCCTTCGCAAAAAAAAAAATAAATAAAAAAAAATAAAAAAAATTCCTTTCTATTTTATTATTTATTTTGATCGGGGAGCCTCCTTCCCTTTCTCGATTTTACATTAAAAGAATCGCATTCGGCGGATATAGGTTAGTCGTTCCACGGGGAAAAAATAAATGGAGAAAAAAGGAAAAACGCGCGACGAAGGACGTCGTTCCCGTTTTCTCGCGGCACGTATAGCCACATGCCGCGTGGTGTCGTCCTAACCTCAAATAACACTTTTCCGCGGAATGCACGCGCGACGAGTACATCATTAGGAACGGGGGGGGGGAGGGGAGGAGCTCATGGACATAACATACTCGTGCGTTCTCGACAATTAAACATACACATATATATATATATTTTTGATTCTTATCAATGCTCGTCTAATTAACACGTTGACACATTTCCTCGCGAGTTGCGAAAAAGAATAATAAGCGAAAAAAATGCGAGAGAGAGAGAGAGAGAGAGAAGATACTCGGACAGCAAAATAATGGAGAGCGAGACTCACCGGTATTCAAGAAACGGGTGTTCGTGGTCACCACAGCGCTGTAGGTCTGCGGGGAATGCACGACGGACTGATTGAGGATAATTTGATGCTGATGCGACGAGGTGTGATGGGCCTGCTGTTGCTGCTGCGCGGGCGGCGGCGGCGGTTGTTGCTGCTGCTGCTGGGGATGGTGCTGTTGATGGTGGTGATGGGACAGGTGGTGGTGCTTGCTCCCCTTCGTCGGCATGCTCATCGCAGGCGTGGGCCTCCCTTGTGCGAACTGTCCTTAGAAGCCTGCCGTCTTATGCGGTTCGCACTCATAGGTACGCTATTTTCCCCCACGTGTTTTGCCGGGTCGTCACGACGGTGTCGGAATCGTACACGCGGGACACACGGCGTCTCTCTCGAGGTATATCGTGTATACGCGATCTCGCGTACACGTATCTATCTATCTGGAAGGGATCGCGACGTTCGTCGTCACGCGTTCGGATCGTGCGATCTACACGACTATCGGCGGAGAGGGAGGGGGGACGGGTGGGAGAGGGCCCGCGTGCTCGCGATCACCTCGCGTATGGCCTCGCTTCTCTCCTCGTCCTTCTCCCGCGTCCGCGGATCCTCTCGCGAATCTCTCGGAACGATCGCTCCCGCGAATCTCGAGTCCGGTCCCCGGGGGACACGATGACGATCTCCTCGATCTCGAGAGATCCTCGCCGCGTGCGACTACGCGCAATCGCTTCGGCCACGCGCGGCGAAAAAGCACGTCTATATATCGCGTCGTGTGCGTCCGATCGCAACCTGCCTGACAACGCAAACTCACGAGTGTCACGAATGTCCGACGAGAGCCCACGCGGGTTTGACCGCTCGCTCTTACCGCCGCGATCTTCGCAGAGATACTCCTCCGGGATATCCCGTAATTTGACTTTTCACGCCGTCGACAGCCCGAGATACTAGAAAACAAATCCCACTTCCTCGACGAGGCTCCCCGACAATTTACATCAATTTATATGTACCGCCGATCACCGCGTCGCACGAACGCACCGGTTCGATGAGAGCGGGACGTAAGTGCCCCGCGCGATCGATCGCGGACATGGAGACGCCCGAGCTCGAGCCGTTCCGGTATCCCATTGGTCGACGAACGCGCCAATTGGAGATCGACCATCGAGACTCTAGAAATCCCTAACTCGCCAGCCAATCGCGTTTGCTCGACTAGTTGCGCCTAGTTTTCAAATCCATCCACGGAGCGTTCGATTGACCAATCGATTTCTTTCATTGGTCGAGCAAACGACACGCTAATTTGAAACGAGCCGCTACAATATTGTAATTTTTTTTAGAATTTGCGGAAATTACATTAATAATGCGCGATATCGAATATAATATCGAAGCGAATAACGAATCGAATTTTGAATCAAATTTTTGCTCTATTGTAGCGAATGTTTTAAATTGAGTTCTCTTGTAAATATAATTGCTAACAATGTGTATACTTCAAACGCAATTTGAGTTACTCGAGATATTATTGTTTTCAAAAACTTTTTTTTTAAATCGTAATATTATAAATAGATATTTTTTTCATCCACGTATAGGTTAGGGTTGACGACGCAAAAATGTATCTGCGCGCACAATTTAGTTAAAAATTTTCTACGTCACTTTACGAAGTCGAATCGTACGGCGTATTAAAATACGCTAAAATAAATAACGAGTGAGAAAGAATTCTCTGCGTTTGAAATAGTCTAATTTCGCGAAATACATCATCTGACAAGCACGAGATTACATTTATTGCATATCTGCTGCATCTTTGACATATAACCTATACACTTTTTCCTCTACATTTGTACATTTTCATCGTTCAATTCATCAAAGATGAGTTCTCATGGAAAAGCAGAGACCGACAGGCTCCGAAAAAATCTGGAAGAACAATTGGATCGGCTTGTCCAACAGTTGGAGGATTTGGAAGATTGCAGGTTTTGTCTCACATCCTTTCATGAAATATAAATAAAATTCGCTTTGAGCGATTTTCGCACTTATATGTATATATTTTGTAAAATATAAATGATGTGACCGTTTCTTTTTTGAATAGAGTTACTCTCGACGAGACAGATTATCAGGAATCCAAGGAAGATACAATGGAACAGCTCCGCGAGTTTAACGAGAGTCTACAACGAATGATATCTGGAGATATGACGTTAGTTAATGAACTTGGAGCAATGCAATTAGTGCGTATTATGCGTTATCTAAACATATGTAATGTATTATATACATATGTATAATATACATATTCTATTTTTAACAGGCTACTCAAGCAGCTATCAGTGCAGCCTTCCAAACACCAGCTGTAATAAGAATGTTTGGTAGACGCGAGCCTGCCGGACTCAAGGAACGTCTCTCTCAAATCGACCGTGACATAAAATTAGGAAAGTTAAACAAAGAGGCCGCTGATCGCCAACGTGGAGAAATATTAAGCGCTTTGAGGCAACTTGGAGAAAAATTGGAACCTTCTGAATTACAGTTATTGGAGCGATTATCTTTAAATAACGTAGATACGACTAGATATGTACAAGTTACTGAAACAGCAAAAGAAGGTAAAATGGCTTTAGATGTAGTCGGCAAGGAAGTCAGAGCTACGCAAGATACTTGAACTGTACAACAGAGCCATGTAACTGCTATTATAATTCGCCATATTATTTTTAATTTGTCACTACTACACTATTTAAAGCATTTTTAGTCATAATGTATATCTAATATAATTTTTTTATATTTAAATTCCTTATTTTGTTCTCTTTTGCTCCAAGTTGTTGTGTACTTTGTACAATTATATTACTTGATATAATCACATTCAAAGCGTTTCCACTGTTCTGAGTTAAAATATCTACATGTGCAAAAATACATGTATATTTATGAAATGAACTGCTTCAAATTATTTATGAATTTTGTTTTAATACAATAATAATATTGTGATTCTTATTAAAAGAAAAGACTCTTTATACATACAAAATCTTTATGAAATATACATGTATATGCATATATGCACATGCATACATAACTCAAAAATTTTTTGCAGTTTTTAAAAAGATATGAATTATTTTATATTGCTTATGCAAGCAATTTTATATTGCTTATATTATATTACTGTGATGATTTAATGCAATATTTGTAACAAATTAAATTTTATAGTGTATAACATTAGATATGCAACATATATATGTAAACGCGTCTTATGTATTGTTCTGAGAATTGTTCTGTTGTACAAATTATATAAAATAAATATATTGATGTTTCTATACGACTTTTCTATATATCACTTTGTTCTAAAAACATTGTATTTCAATCTGAGAAAACTAAAATGAAAATTATAAACAGATAATATAAGTTACTGATAACAAATGAAAAATATACACATCTTGTTTTATATTGACGCGCGTACATTTAGTTAAAATGTATAAACTTGCTCATTATTGCATATGGAACAGAAACTTTATGCATTAAAAAAAAATGATAGATCAGATAATTTAAAACGTATCTCTTATATCTTATGAATCATTTTTGCACATATGGTATTAGAATTACAACTATTTTTTTTCTCAACTTTTTTCTCTTCTTTCTTTCTTTCTATAATGATTATATCAATGATGAACATTGGACCAGTAAGAGTCATGAATCTCATTTTGCACAAATATTAATGTATAAAACTATGATTATTTAAAAATTATTCTATTATGTTCTTCTTGATACAATTAAAAATATTCTTTAAAATTTACTTGCGTATACACATAACATTTCTTCCACCTATAGGAAGTTTGCAAAGGCATATTGAACGAGTGTCAAGAATATATTAATGTGCTTCTACAAACTATTGTTTTATATATGTATGTATACATACAGTTTATACCAAGTGCACTTTTATTCATATGCAGTGTTTATACAACTATACTATTTATTTTTAAAATTTTAGGAAATTTACTTATAATTTATTCATAAATTCTTTTTAAATTGTACTTGTAACATGAAAAGTTTTAATAAATAATAACAATCGGGAAATAATATTTTTATTCATTTTTATCTCTAATAATCGAGATATAAATAGAGATATTCTGTATATATGCATTCATACATATATTATATACAATAATAGTTGCAAGAAAACATTCAAACAGACAACAAGAGGGAGATAAGTGCGTTCTCATACTCTATAAAAAGTATTTATACCTTCACATGTATAAAATGAATTTCTCAACTTGTTTATCTGTTTTTCTTTTGCTTTCTTATATTATTGTACTCGCACATTCATCACGTAAATTAACGTTTACGTCTGCATACTCTTTTATGTTCACGTTGCCAATGAACTTGTTGACAATCTGTGCTACAGTATGCGGTATTCCAACAACAATGATATATAGCTTCTGCCTCGCAATTGTAACACTAAAATAAATGATGTGCGTTTAATAAAACATGGTACATCTCAAGCGAGATTTCTCAAAAGAACGAAAGAAAATTACCCATTGTTTCTTTTTGATATCAGACACAAGTTGTAAATGCCTATCGGTCAACTGTCGCACTTCTAGCGCGTGCTCTGCTTGTAATCTTTCCAGTTCTCTACATTTTTCAGTTTCTAATTCGCGGCGTAATTTTTCTAACGCCGTTGTCGTCGGTTGTTCTGAAGTTCTACGTTCCCTCTTGATCTGTAAATTTAAAGTTGTTAAAAAAATAATCGGATATGTCATAACGCATGTGAATGAGAATTAGACACTTGGGTAAAAATTTACCTTGGGAAGCCCATCCGTTTGAATTTGTTCCGTTTGAACGAGAACGCATTTCGATCTCGGTTCTTGACAACTAGACGTGACCATGTCTTCTTGCGAGCCCTCTTTCTTCAACCCTTGTGGGCATGTGCTCGTTATCTCTCTAGGAGGTTCGTCTTCTGCTATTGGCAAACAAGGCACCTGTCTTTCTTCGTTCTCGCCATTAGTTTCCGAAGTATCTTCTTTATTATCCGACTCATCGTTTGTAGTCTCGGTATTGCCATCCGAGCTTAGACGTTCGACTCTTACTCTCAAGTCCTTAATTAATTGCTTTGGCAAATTACAATTATGCGATGTATTCCTCGAACTCGACGATTCTAATTTTTGTATCTTTGCTGGTATTAAATCCTCTGTAATATTCAAGTCTTCCTTGTTTCTTCCTAATTTTTGTAACAAGTTTTGATGATGCTTTAGCTCATCGAAAGCTCTATTCCAAGCTGTTGATTTTTTTACCTATAGAAATAATGCTTTTGATTAGACGAGAAAAAAATATTTCCATTTTAATAATGAGATCAAATAAAAAAGATTTGTTGCATACTTTTAACTGTATATGCTATACATACATCTTTATTTTTTTCACATTCCTACTTCCAAAAATAAATGTGACAATTTTTTAATTTCTTATAAAGATTTATATTAACGGTAAACTGAGAGAGCCCATGTTTTTACAATAATACAAAGATAAAAAATTAAGGAGATTTGCATTTACCTGTAAACTTTGTAATGTGGTAGAGATTGGCCGAATAAAGACTTTTTCAATATTGGCTCTCATGTGATGACCTCCGAAAAAGCGCACATCATACACATTGCCGTTAACTTGCATAACTTTTGCGGGCCAATACGGGTATCCCTTTTGTTTCGCATAAACCAATTGATGAGGTGGATTACACGGTATACAGAACCACATCTTTTCGGACTTTTCGTTCGATATACGATAACAATCCGCGCAACGACGAATTTCTTGAAGATCGTAACAGCAGTCTTGATACATAATACGGCCCATTTCTCCTATTACGCTGTGAGCTGCCAGAGCAACAATATGATACAAGATATATACGAGATGCTTCCGAAAAAAAATTCACATTAAGTTTATCTCCTACCTCCGTGATATATTATGATGTTATGCAAAATATTGTGCGCGTCAGTTTCGAATTCAGCAAGATTTTTATACTCATTTTTGCTCGTCTTTGCGTCCATTATCGCCAAATCCATGTGATGTTTTATTAGAATTCCTGGTCGCCACGCATCTTCGCCCTCGCTTATCCAGGTTGGTCCGGAGAAACCATTGGCAGGCGTAACAATCGGACCATTGTTGAAGACGATAGTACGGTTTGTGATTTCTGGCGGTAATTTAGCTTTCAAATGACCACACGTAAAGCCAAGAATGTGATTGAGATCGTTTTTATCAGGATACATATCACTGTTTATTTTCTACAACAGCAGAATTGTTTTTACTTTCAATAATTATATCAATCGGCAGAAAAACGCATCGGACAAACAGTGCAAGTCTTACCTCGCAAAAATTACAAATTTTTAACTTTGCATTGCTGGATACATGGCATTCCGGATGATAGACTCGGTGACACTGCTCGCAGCATTCGACCGCACCTGCTCGCTGGCACTTACAACAGTACCAATCGTGGCTATCATTTTCCACTGTACTTGTCACAGGAGGGAATCTATAACTCTCCTGCTCGATACCGTTTTTTGTAGGCACTTTTTTCAACAAAACAAGATTATCTTCGACCGCCTTATTGAGTTCATCCTGAGCCTCTTGTTCTGTAAAGCCGTAAACTCGAGCCAAATGCCGTACCATACGGTCATTACTAGGTAAGCTTCTTTGATGTACCGTGGTTTTAATTGTGTCCCAGATCCGCTGAGTCATAGACGAATCGCTTTTGCGACGTACGGACATGACGAACTACAACAGAAAATAATGTATACCATTTATTAGTATAATGTATATACTGTGTTCATTTCATAAATTTCAAAATATTCTCGCTACATCTCAAAATATTCACACATTATCTATATAAAAAATAAAATTCTTGATCAACATATTGTTTTACACATAATATCATATCTGAAAAATTAATTTAGCTAAAAAAAAGTTGTAGAAATATCTGAAAATAATTTAAAAATCCAAAATAAAATTCGAATAAATTATCAAATAAATATATAATTAATTTCAGATCAAGTTTGATCAAATATATTAAAATAAAAATTTTCATTAATGATATTATTCTTATTACATTCCTATTTATATTGTGTACTGTATAATTTTTTATTTTACCAATTTTGTTAATTTAAATAAAATAAATAATATCGAAAATTCAAATGTGTTTTAACAACATGAATCACTGAACCATCACAGCCGTTAAATTGATAAATATTCTGTACCCTCATACTGTATCAATACAGTACGCTTCAATCTAAACTACTCAGGTATGCTAAAACTGGGTACCCACATATGTAGAGAGTACCCATATTATACTTACAATAAATGCATATTCAGTCATCTTTATTCAGTCTATTTCTATCGACCTTAAGATGCGGCAGTGAGTTTCAGTAATAATATAATTTTTAGTGAATAAAGAGAGAGAAAGATATTCTTCATCAGAGAGAATTCACTACCGCAATATGCATCCTACTGTTTTAGCAGCAACAGGATATACATTATTATTGTCTAGTTTTATTACGCTTATATTTTTGCTACGAAAAAGATGCGGCAAGAAGAATAAATCACCCTTCTACATTTTATCAACTTCCGATGTCTTCAGTGCTATATTAACAGCTATTATGCTACTCGTGAATCGCATCGAGGCTGGAGTAAAATTGAGTTATAATTGGCAGAACAGTACATTGGACGACATGCCCAACCGCACATGGACAATCGAACAGGAAGAGAGCTATCAGTTTCCATTCTTACAGATTCGACACTTACGCGAAGCTGATCTCAATGTAACTTTAACATGCGATATGAAAGATACACTTATGCAGTACGGGATATTACTTGCTGCATTGACAAATGCATTTGTATCCTTACTGACTCTTACTCTACAGTGCAATCTCACTGCAGCATGCATCAAAGAAAGATGCGTCGACATAATGAAGTCATTAGAGAATGATATTCAGCTCAAGTCGAAAGGTGTTAAAGTTACACATCGGGAAAGAAAAATACCTGAAGACGGACAAGAATCAGCGCTTCAACAAGACGATATTGGAAAGAACGAGAGCAACTGTCTACAAAGAATACAAAGAATCATGAAGAGCTCTAAATTTCGAATCACATCAAAGGGAGACAAGCCAGTCAAGTTCTTCGTTACGAGTCATTGGCTCGTACCGTTCCTCGTTGTAACTATTTTAAACTTTGCCGAATACGACGACATGAATACTATTCGACATACAGACACCGAGTGCGTATTCGACAGTAATTTTCCAATGAATGATTTTTATATATTCTCAGATGTTGAAGATAATTTAAACATTATCGACTCTATGTACAAGTCTACGACACCGCTGAGAAATAAATATTTCGTTAACGAGAAATTATCGAGCAAAATAAAGCCAAGCAATGCGGAAATAGACAAGATAATCCTTAAAGTTCAGAAAATTGTTAACAGCGCGTTAAATTATGAAGGCAATTCTTCAGAAAATACAAGAAATACACATTTTCTCGCGACTTCCGAATCACAAAGCATGACGGATTACGTGATAGAAAATAATATAATAAACTACATCAAAAATAATATAAATATTGGTAACGTCACCGGAAGATTAAATGATACATTAACAGGACAAAATGTGAGTATCCATGATGCATCTTCAAATAATACAAACAATAGTATAGACTTCAATCAAGATCTGCAAGCATCGTTCCATGATCTGTTGAAGAATGCGTCGGAAGAATCAGATGCAGCTACATTTGGGAACTCGAGCGATGTATATAACATTTCGGATGACAGCTATGGAAAGGATGCGCAAATGTATCCTGCAAATACAGAAGAGAATCAGAAGACGAGTCAGAAGACTGCCAACATTGCCATCGTGCAAAATAAAACGTCATTTTCTAATAATCAAATATATAACAACATAATAAAACGTATTCAAGTTGCAATAAAAAATCGTACGACAAATCGATACGATCACACAAAGCAATCAAAATGGAGCAATTTGAAGAACTACGTTGTCAAGAGAGAGCCGAATTCGATGAAGAATCTATTTTTTAGTAAAAATGATGATTTTAATCATTACATCGATACAGAAATGAAAAATGGTACACGACACATGATCAATGAATGCCTGATTTCAACCAAGTTCTTACAATTGTATCTGTTTGTGTTATTCTTTGTGATATATTTCCTGTCAATTCTGTTATCTTGTACTTTGCAAATGCGAGGAAAGCACGTGTGTAAAAGTACACGAGCGATATTAAGAGCAAAAACTGACCTTGTATCCATTCTGCTTCGCAACTCAAACAAGGATAATAATATAAATATTATCAATGTATTACCACGGGTATCCACGGACGATAAAAGAAATCATTCAATGGAAGAATCCAATATGTCACAGGAAGCAAGGAACAATCATGGTAGCAGATCAAATATAGAGGTAATAGAAGAGGACTGCAAAAGTGACAGGGAAATAAAAGATGAGAATCTGTTTTTAGAGTTAGATTGCATGGTAAGAATATTTAATACCATCAAATTATCTTTCATTCTATGCATAATTCTCTGGACACCAATGCTCTTAGGAATTCTACTGAGAGTATTCTCATGTATCCATGCACCTCAATGGTTAATCGATACAACATTTCTAAGCGCAATTTCCTTCGGTATCATAAGAAACATCCTCAATATGTATATAATAAAAATTCATGAGATCTGTAAGGATGCTAAAACAAGAGACAACAAGATACATCCAGTTAAATAAATGCATGCTCCCATGAATACATACAGCTCCCTTATTCAATATATTCAATTATTAATAAAATAAACAATAATAATAATAATAGTAATCGTGATTAATAGTGGATTATATATTCATAAGTTTTCGTAAACACGGTGCTTTTGGTGTCTCTCGAACCAATGGGGGAGAGAAAAAACCCCGTGCTTTTATCACAAAATATCTCTACATTCGCAATTAGATAAACGCATTTTGCATTTACATATAAAAGGAAAAATCATGATGCATCAATATGAATATTTTGCGTTCACTTTAGTAAATAACTATCGGCATTCTGAAAATGCGTGTTCTGAAAATTCCGTTAGACGAAAATGAATATTAATTCGTAGGTATACGTTCGCTTACTTTGCACTTATCGCTTATCGCGAGTAAAAGTTTCACATTCGTTGTACAACGGACAATAGTAGACGATCGTGGGGAGAGTGTTCGTGGAAGGTGTATCCGCGGCTTCGGGAATATCGTGCTCGATATCGATGTCGGTCGAGCCTCTGCTTCGCGGAAACGGGCTCTCGTGAAATTTCTTTTGATCTCCGCCGACACTCGCGGGAATAACGATGTAACGCGATACAGTGAATTAACGTCAAAGACGCGAACACTCTGCGCACGTCACGGACTCGACGACTTAACCTAACCCCAGCGATGCGCGCGCAACTTATGTAATTGCATATCGACATCCGAAGTGCCGCGCGACGTTTGCACTTTTGATTTAAATTTAAGGCGCACACCGTGCTTCGATAATTGAACGATTTGGAGAATAGATAGATATTTATCTAGAGCTTTTGTTAAAATTATCAATCAAAGACCAGACTTGTTTCACCTTGAGAAATTTGATATATCTTTATATGTATATGTATAACTGATTTTTGACAATTTTAGCAATATTGTGCTTCTGACCAGATAAAAGATGTATGATTGACAATTATTATTATATAAAAAATTTCTGACGAATCTTAGCAACTGTGTCTGATAAAATGATGTGTAATCGAGAGTTATTATTATTGCTGTAGAAAAGATATAATTAAACGGATATTCTTGTAGTAATGTATCGTGGAATAAATAGCGTGGAGAGGAAAAAAGGATTCGTTATTTAATATTTTCACCGAAAAGCAAGCCTTACTCAGGCGAATCCTTCGCGAACACAATAAAATACAAAATAGGAAAAACCAAGTATATACATAGTTAGTCAATCATCTGTGAATATCTAGCTCTCTCGATTTTAGTCGATTAAGCGATGAATCTAACATGCTCGCGCTAACGAAGCTCTACAATCTGTTCTAAATTACGACGCAAATCCCTACCGTCATCCCACGGTATGACTTTCGCCTTCGTCGAGGCGTCACGGGGCAATTTGCTCAGCGTCTCGATGAGCGCGTAACGTTTGCGCGGACACGCCAGGTCGGTCTGGGAGAGACGCAAGATCGGGCAGAGATCGTTCTTGCCGTCACCGACGTAGACGATTCTCTCGTAGCGTTTGCCCTGCTCGCGTCTCTCGTTGATATAGTCCATCAGTATCTGTCCTTTGCAGAGGTTGACAGTGCTCAGCTGACACGTGTGCTGGGTGTGATACATGTCGACCCTCATTCTGCCGTCGTCGTCGTATCGGGCTGGATTCGTGAAGATTCGCGACACAACGTGCTCGAGCTTCCTGCTCCTCAGCCAACGGTCGATGAATATGCTGTTGGAGTCGCTGATGATGATGATCTCGTGGCCGTTGGCGTGCAAAGCGACGAGGAGCGCCTCCATCCCCGGGACCGCGGGAATACGAGATCCTCGCCGGGCATCGATGGCATTCTCGTGCAGAAGCTCCAAGATCCTGCTCATGTACGCGATCCAGCCGCTGGACTTATACAGGCCCTTCACGTTCTCGGGTATCCTCTCGTCTGGCAGCAACTTTCGCGCCACCACGTCGGTGTTGTCGTCGCATATGGTGTGATCGAAATCGAACGCTGCTAGCACGCCGCGATGCATCTACATTGAAACGCAATATTATCACAATTGTATACGCTACGTCGTAGAATCTACGCCAAGACGAATTCGATATACCTTGCGACATCAGCATAATTTTAGTTAAACTGTCGCATTTTCAAGGTATTCGTAATTCTCGCTATACACAATAGCTCGCATGTACATTTCTCTATACAGGGTGTATCTTAAAAAGCTCCCACTAAGCAAATAGCGTTATTCCTGATTAAAAACCGAGTCGAAAAGTCCTGAACCATTTTTTTTTCCAAGATTCACCAAATAATTAATCAGATTTAAATATTAAAAAGATTTCTGAAAAGATGAATTGTTTAAAAATTAACACAAAACAGTTTATTTTTTTGCTTATCCAAATCTTCATATGTTGATAACGAGGAAGTTTGTCTTTTTATTGGCGCGACTTTACTCATTAATTACTGCTTTATTAAGCATTATGGAAAAAAATGATTCAAGACTTTTCGACTCGGTTTTTAATCAGGAATAACGCTATTTGCTTAGTGGAAGCTTTTTAAGATACACCCTGTATATATAGACCCTCTTCCTGGCGTATCATCAATTTGAAAAGAGAAAATTTTTGAATATTTGCTGACCATGTATACTTGCAACTAGCTCGATTATTTTTTCGAAAAGCCTAATTATGCAATCTAATGCATCGTTAAAATATATAATTATAACATAAAGAATACTCACTGCTCGTTATGTATGATATAGAAGACTCGAGTGCAAATTTATTTCTTCTGTTTGATGCTATTGTATCAAAATTATTACATATTGATTTCTTCTTATTTAAGTTATGGAATGTATCGATAAACTTTGTACAATTGGGCTGTTTACTTGATTCGTTTGATTGCTGCTACTTATCAATGAGCCATTATATTCAGAGCAACACTAAACATACTTCTTCTTTCTATTCCTTCCAATTTGTTTATGACTTGGAAATCACTTTCTCCTTTATTTTATGTTTCCTTCTTTTTCACCGCCTTGTCGTCTTGCTCTCGGAGGGGAAATTCTCAGCGAAATTCGTCTCGGATGGATCCCGAAGAGCCGACTGTATGCATGTACCTACTGATAGACAATGTTATTGAGCGGAGCGCTTTTATAGACGAGCGGACCAAGGATAAATAAACAACGAGAAACAAACAACGGGATTGTTGCGAATTTATATTTTGATCCCGAAATAATCGTCGCGATTGCGTTGAAATATACCTCTTGGCCAACAATCAACATTTCCTCGATTATTGTTGCGCTTCTAATCTTCTCTTTTTCGCGGAGGCCGCGTTTTTTGGCACGCGATGGAGAACTCTCTCGAGTTCAAAAAACGTCAAAATGCTGACGAGAGAGAGAGAAGGCGAAAAAATTCACTACACAATACTTTGCAATCCCACGTATTTTTTTCAGCGTCTCCCTCACTTGACACCTCTCCCATGATTCGTAAACAAGATCAGGTTAGGTCAGGTAAACATTCGAACTGCGCACGCGTGACAACCGGCTTACCGCTGATATCCTGATCCTGAATGATCCTCGATATTTCTTCGACTTCTTTCAAACGCAGAATACTTTTGCTTCCTATATATACGAGATAATCTCATCGCGTTAACAATGTCAAAGTACGGATGTCTGAGACCAGCTGGTATGTCCGATGACGACGATGACGACGATGATGATTATTTTTTCGAGAAGGTACGATTCATGTAGATATCATTTTTATTAAACTATGATAGGGTATTTCTCTCACTTCATTCTTTCGCTAGGAGGACATCAAAGAGCGTAATTATTCTTCAAGAGAGGATTCGTGGAAGACGGAAAGTGACCTTGATGATGTACGTGTTAACGAAGAGTGTGTTCATGAAGATTATGCGATGAAAGCATGTATAAAGGGAGACTTGGAAGCGATACAGAATCATTTTCAAAGTAAATATTATCACATCACTTATAATATACTTTCTTTACACTTTAAACTTTAATCATTGATTATATGGGAAATAAAACTTTTTTTTTATCAAATTTAATTATTGAATAAAGTTTACTATATCAAATATATGTATATGTATGTCTTTAGATGTAGCATATGATATTAATAAATTTCTGTATACCGGATGGACTTTATTGTTGTATGCTGCTTCATCGGTGCAACCAGAGATAATAAGATATCTGCTGACACTTGATGCAGATCCAAATAAGAGTAAAGGTATGCATTGATAGTTTTGTATCATTTATTTTTTCAAGTTTTGTATAAACTTCCTATAATTATCAAATTCTACAGAGGGATTTACACCTCTTATGGCACTGTGTTCTTCTACAAAAGGAACACCTGAAAGATTTCTGGAATGTCTTGTATTATTAATTCAAGCAAAAGCTGATGTAAATCTTACAAGTAAACGGAGGTAAAATTGGAAGATACAGTTAATCAATATAAGAAAACTAATTTATACTATTTTGAAATTACTGTATTATTATTATTTATAGTTATATTAATTTTAATTAATTAATTAATTAATTACTTTATATTAAATAATTAAACAGATTTAATAATTATTATTTAATTATTAATTAATTAATTAATTTCACAGAGAAACAGCTCTAATGTATGCTTGTATGTCGCAAAATGTAGAGTTTGTCACCGAACTTATAAAACATATAAACGACATCAATGTTTGTGACAGTGATGGAAAAGCTGTAAGAGAGTTTTTCTCAATCAATCAATTATCAAAATACTTTTTCTGTAAATTGTCGATTCTGTTATAGGCATTGAGCTATGCTGCTACAGCTAATAAGCCTGATATTGTCAAAATTCTTTTGGAGCACAATGCAGATACTTCATTGTTAGATAAAAATTATTTAACTGCCAAAGACATCGCGGATAAAAAAGGATTTACAGAAGTAATCATGACATCTTTGCTTCATTGCTAACTAAAATAATTAAATTGTTTCTTTTCTGTTTATTTTATTTTTTTTTTAGATATCTGCTCTGTTGGCTCAGGACGAAGAAGAGAAACCAATTGTTTGTGAAGTGTTTGACAGAAAAACTTGGAAAGATTTATTTTCAGATTTGTATCCTAGAGGACAAGAAGTTTTAGACGATTATGTATCCAGTATGCTATCTGGAATGAATTTGGGAAATTATAAGATTTTGTTTCGAGGAATGAATCTTAAAACTTTTTTGCAATTGACAGAAGATGATATTTACCACCTAGGAATCGATATCACTGTCCATAGAGAACAATTTTTAGAAGATTTGGAAAAATTTCATCTTAAAAGATGGAATCTGAGAAGTCTTGGCAGTACAAACAACTTGAACCCGTACGTTTTATATTCTCATAACATTTTGATTAAAATATGCAAAATAATTATATATAAATATATATATAGTTGCAGTATTTATGATAATATAATATTATTGGCAAATGCAAAGGAGAAGATTGCTGTAATAGGTGCTAGTTTTCAATATATAAAAAATAACTTGATAAAAGCTGCAAGTGAAAATATTTATCTTTCTCCTTTAGAAGTATTAAAATATGAGGAAGAACTAAAAGAAACGCAAAAGAATTTGAAAAATTTAAAAAATGAAATAATTTGCTTTAAGAAACTAGCACAAAAGGTATAATGTATAAAGTTAATATAAATATTATAAAATTCTATCATTATTTAGCCTATTTATATTTTTATCTATATTGTAGATTGATAAAGAAGACGATATCGGTGTACCAGCAATTTATATTAGTTCCAAGAAAAATAAATCGAAAATAATTTGGAATAACAATTGGATTATATCATTAAGCATTACATTAATAGGGTTGTATTTATGTAAAACAACACATGTTAAAAGATTATGGAATATCTATAACATAAAAATGTAATTTTTTCAATATATCTTCTATGTTTTTACTGAACAAATTTCATACTTTTGAACATTATATTGTTGCATAGCACAAATAAGCTTATATTACATGTATAACGTACATAATAAATATTAAAAATTTATTTTATGTAGTTTATATTGACTTAAAAAATATTTCTTTATACAAAAAAAGATTATATATATATATATATATATATATATATATATATATATATATATATACACACATACTTCACTAATATTACATATGTGACATACCTTTTATTTATTGATTTGAATGTTCTCTCAAATTAGCTAATTTCATCATCTGTGGAAATAAAGGATGGAATGATGGAAGATTTTGTTGTCGAATTGTCAATTGATAACGTTCTAACGGTCCACTACATAAAGTTAATCTATCCCGTTCATTCGGATAATTGTCCATCCACTGAGATAATCGGCCTATAGACCATCCGGCACTCTATGAAACAAACGGAACAATTATTACTTATGTTGAACATGTCTATAGAATAGATCAGTATATTTAAATGATCCATTCACCTGATGTGGCGACACTAATTCGGGCGGTGCACCGGAAAATAAATGCAAGAGAATAAGAGACGGCGACACGCTGCTCTCTCCTTGCCCTTCCAAAATTCTGTCCACCATCTCCTCGGGACTTAGGGGTAGTAAGGTTCTTAACGCTCGCAAAGTTCTATATTGCTGTTGCTCGAGCAGACTCATCTGGCCACCGCGACATAACGGTGCGACAGCTACTTCCATCTAAAATTTTTGTCCGTTTTACATTTGTCTATTCAATTTAAATCTATTTTGATGCAAAAGTGACATATACTTGAGCGAAATCGATCAAAAGTTTTGCTCTGCCAAAATCACTCAGAGGTCTTAATAAGCAGGCATGGCGCACAAATAATTCTATGCATCTTGATACGACGGTTTTACAGCTGAAAAAGATGATAAATATTATTCAATAATTTGTTATCAATATATAAGATGAATAAAAAGACAAAGAAATAACTTACCTTTCGGCTACAACTATTTGATTTTTGTACGGTAATAAGAATGTATTCACAGATCGTAAAATAAAGCCTTGTAATTCTCGCATGTAAAGAGAACAGCCGATTTCTTTTCCCAAAGGACTACACGTCCTAAAAAATTGTATTAATATTATATAATATTAAATTAAACACAGGTATAAATAAAAATCAAAGAAATAACTTATTGTTTGTGAAGTGTTGTACTTACTCTTTGAATTCAGGATCATCATGCATCGTTAAGATGATGCTTTCAATTGCATCGCTAATAGAAATTAATAACGGTGCGAGTATACTCTTCGTTAATGCGTCCGTTTCTTTGAGTGCCGTGGTAATAATAGCACTCCCTTCGGAAGATAATCCTCCCGCTAAATTCGCTATCACGCGATTCGTTTGATTTGCAAGATAATGCATAAGATTCGCGAGCGTAATGTTTGTCTGTTGACCAGTGGTAGGAGAATCGATTACTTGGCTGGCTTCACCACCAGTTACAATAGTTTGTTCACATTTTAAGCAGAATAATCTTATTGCTTTTCCTACATTACGGGATACTACAGTTGAGAGTCCATCGTCCACCAATGATACACTCAGTTCACTATGTACAAAATGTATTTTTACTGTATTTTCTTACAAAAAGCAAATCAAATCTAAATATATATATAAATATATTCTAAACTTACTTTGTAATTGTACGAATAAGACTGTCAATTTCATCATGTGATGGTAAACCTTCTCCAGAAAACATATTGTGTACTGGATCCAAAAGTCGAGATACCGAACGCGATAAATATGGATTTTCTATGAGATCTTTCTTTCAACCGTTTACTCAAGTCCAAAAATATTCTTAAAAATTTTGGATATTCTCCTTCTAAAGCTTGTTTAACGAACGACGATCCTGCGACATATAAATTAAATCTTTATATTTAACTATAAGATATTTTTAATATACATTTATAATTTAGAGATACTTAATATTTATTTATATTTAATTATAAAACATTTAATATACATTTATAATTTACCTTGAGCACGTTCAACCAAGATTTTTGCGAGCAAGGCATTTACTTTATCCCAAAATTTTTCAGACAAATTATCAAAACCCTTTGTATGATGTTCCAACAATACTCTTTGCAGCAACTCTATCTAAATATAAAATAGTACTTTCTAAACACTGTTGGGTTCTAAAAATAAAATGTAATGTAACATTGCATAATTTCACTCACCTGTAAACACTGAGTATATAAAGTATCTTGAAAGAGACGTTCGAGATTTTCCCAGATTTTCGTGCGTAAATTTCCAGACGATCCAGGCGACGGAATCGCAGCTCTGCCAGGCGCTCCACGTTTACCAAAATCTTGATTAGTCATCAAGGATATGTCCAGTAAATCTGTAGAAATCCTTTCTACATCAGAAAGAGTAGATTCTATAGTTGTGTCCACAGCTCCGTCAATTATCCCCAAGTTTTGAAAGACCTGAACAGCTGTGCTTACCTTCATTCATTATATATATGAATGTTAGTACAAATGTAATGATTATAATTAAATAAATAATATAATAAAATAAATTTAAATGAGATTAAATTTATTTTATTACCTAATCAAGTATTCAAATATTTTGTTTGTAAATTTAATACATATTACTATTATCAATTAAATCATATCAAATAATTATACAACATACTTTTGTCCTGTCCATTGCCTGTAAACCTTGTGTTAATGTATGAGTGGCTATTCTTTGTACAGTAGCTCTCTGAGCTTTTACAGCCAGTTGATCATCCGCAATTACATCTAAGCCGTTAAGATCAGTGTCTGCCATTAATTGTTCTATATATACATAAATATACATATAAATATATAAATATACATGATATATATAAATTTCCGTATAAATTTTACACATAATGATATAATAATATAGATGAAAAAATAATAGGAAAATACCAAGTTCATGCAGACTGTTGGCAGCTTTAACAATATCTGGACCTTGAGTGATGCTATTCATTTGAGAGTTTAAACGCTTTGATAAATGTTGCATTCTAGCAACTCTTCTTAAAAGATCAGAAGTCTCATGAAGTCGTGCCAATACAATCGTTTGCATCTCAATTCTATTAAATGGATCGACAATTTTTCCACGTAATCGTTCGACTGCTGATAAAAGACTCTAAGGAAAATGTTTTTATACTGTGTTACTTTAAATTCATACATCAGTCTAATTTTTTTGCACAAATTTACCTGTATATGAGACTGTATTATAAAAAGCACTCCTTCCAACTTTTCAACCCATGTTGCCTGAGATAGTAAATCCTCGTGATTGGCAAGTACTTGTTTTTGCAACTCAACATTTAACACTTCGATAGCTAAAGAGAGAAGTGATTTATTATTTCAATATTTTAGTTTATAATGTAAAACAATAAGAATTTTACCTTGTCCTAGCTTGTTTAATTGTTGAGCCACTGATAACAACGGACTAATGTCAGCTTTTTTGGAGTCGCCAGTCAATAGTTGTTTAAAGAATTCTGTGCAATTAATATATATATTTCATTAGCTATGTATATTTATAATAAATAGACATAAATTTTTATTTCAGAGATACATATTTTCTCACTTACGATCATTTTCTATATCTTCCCAACTCGATACGTCACCCATTTTTAGATTATACTTACATACTAAAAACAGAGAAGACTAAAGGTGCAATTTCATTGACGCTACTTTTTAGCGTCAATGAAATTGCACCTTAAAGCGGCCTTTTCATTGATGCTAAAAAGTAGCGTCAACTAGAGAACCTCTAGGAGAGAGAATGGACAACTGATCAAGCTTTTTCATGATTGGCTGGCAGAAAATGTATCAATTTTAGCTATTGCGACGCCAATGCAAAATATGATGACACACAAATAGGACACACATGACACACATATATTAACCTATTTGTGTGCATCATATTTTGCATTGGCGTCGCAATAGCTAAAATTGATACATTTTCTGCCAGCCAATCATGAAAAAGCTTGATCACATGTCACATGATCAGTTGTCCATTCTCTCTCCTAGAGGTTCTCTAGCGTCAACCATTGGTTAAACAATGAAGCAACTAAAGTCACTAGATTAACAAAGTACCGCAATTTTGATCTCAATAAGATAAGATTGATAAAGCTGGCTTTCTCTGCAGTCTCATGGCAGATTATATCAGAAATCATACTTTAATTATTGCAATATATCATGAAACAAATTAATCTTATTACGTTAAATGAATCACAGCAGCTTGTTTTAATTTAATCTAACCTAACCAATTATATTATATGGTCCTCATTAAAATGTGTAAAACTGTACGTCGCACATTTAATACGATTAATATACTACGTAATAAAATGTAATGCACTAATGAAATAATTAAATATATTAAATATTATTTTTGAAAAGCATGGAATACAATCCAGGCAGCATACGCTTGTAATTTACATTCGATATCCAAAAGGAACACTAAGAGGTTAGATTATAGGTTTTTAGGTTAGGTTTAGATCAAACAAATTTATATCGTATAATAAACAAAGTATTGGCATAAATATATGTTTTCTAAATACAACATGAATATTATTTATTACAATGTATTCTTGTATAGGATATAACGTGTGGAGTGTGCACGTAACTTTTTTTTGTTTCTTATATTCATGATTAATAATGCTGCTACATTCTAATAACCATTGATGATAACGATAATTAACTGACATTTTATTGATAATATTTGATAATAATGATAATATTGATAATATTGATAATAATGATAATATTTGATAATATTCCGCAATTTAGATGATTTACTGACTGCTCCAGCGTTTCAACAAATCACTAGGCACACTGCGCATGTCACACTTTTTGACGCTTTAACGCTCGACGCTAAAACGCTCCTATGTAAAGGCACCTTAACAGTTGGCAGCCCTACGAGATAGGCTGTGCAGCACTGCGCGCGTACAAAATAAATTTGAAATCGCTTCTAGCATAACCATCTTCACGCGATCGACTTTATTTGAATTGCATCGAATTATGATGCCGATTTGTCCGAATGTAATTCGGGACATCGCGATGCTGTATAAGCGTCGAATGAGCACAAATTATCACGCAAATATGATAAATCAAATCTACTCACCGGCTGTTCCATAGGCCGCTCCTCCTCGGGACAGTTCGCTCGCCTCGGAACGTCCCATTCCGATCTTGATGCATACGATATCATCAACGCGAACGCGCGACACTTTATTCGGCACTCCCGATATTCGCTCGCATCCGATAATCATCATCAAGGGCGCGAATAACACGACGCAACTTCGCTCCATCTTCGCAATGACGCCATCACTGAATATCGTCAAAAATCGCTGTCGCGCGTTTCCATCGACACACTATAAAAGTCGCGCGATCATCCTTCGACACTCTCGACGCTCGTTCACTCGCGATATTCGTTTAAAAACGGTTAAAAGAAGCGAAAAATGCGGACGTACGACGATCCGTGTAACTGCGTATGACTCCGATTCACGCGCCAACATGGCGGCCGTATGACGCGTTTGACGTAGCAGTGACGTAGCAGTCACGCGCCAACATGGCGACCGAACCAGTGCGCACTGGTTCGGCCGCCATGTTGGCGCGTGCTGCAACGTCACTGCTACGTCATACGCGTCATACGTGACTCGGAGTTATACGCAGTTACACGGATCGTCGTACGTCCGCATTTTTCGCATCTTTTAACCGTTTTTAAACGAATATCACGAGTGAACGAACGTCGAGAGTGTCCAAGGATGATCGTGCGACTTTCATAATATGTCGGCGAAAGTGCGCGACAACTGTTTTTCACAGTTCAGTGATAGCGCGATCGCGAAGATGGAGCGAAGTCGCGTCGCATTATTTGCGCCCTTGATGATGATTATCGGATGCGAGCGAATATCGGGAGTGCCGAATAAAGTGTCGCGCGTTCGCGTTGATGATATCGTATGCATCAAGATCGGAATGGGACGTCCCGAGGCGAGCGAGTGGAGTGGCCTGTGGAACAGCCGATGAACGGTGAGTAGATGTGATTTATCATATTTGCGTGACAATTCGTGCTCATTCGACGCTTATACAGCATCGCGATGTCCCGAATTACGTTCGAACAAATCGGCGCCGCATCATAATTCGATGCGATGCCGTGCAATTCAAATAAAGTCGATCGCGTGAAGATGGTTAGCTAGAAGCAATTTCAAATTTATTTTATATACGCGCAGTGCTGCACAGCCTATCTCGTACGGCTGCCAACTGTTAAACGATAAATTTTTTCGATCTAACCTAACCTCTCAGTGCTTTGGATGTCGAATGTAAATACAAGCGTATGCTGCCCGGATTTTATCATGCTTTCAAAAATAATATTTAATTATTTCATTAGTGTATTATATTTTATTACGTAGTATATTAATCGTATTAAATGTGCGACGTACAGTTTTACACATTTTAATGAGAAGCATATAATATAATTGGTTAGGTTAGATTAAATTAAAACAAGCTGCTGTGATTCATTTAACGTAATAAGATTAATTTGACGAATGTGCAGCTATTGAAGTTACATGATATTTGTGGACACATTTTTAAAGTAATCATGAGTGTCTTATCTCATCTCGATTACATAAAATTAAAATATAAAATATTTATGTATTCCACATTAACGTTATTCATTACAAGTACTATATTACTTTTCTTATATCTCAATCATATTTCATCCATGAAGCTTTTCATATATCGCAGACAATATGATACTGTGTGTTGAATTTTACACAGGTAATACATGGCACAAAAATAATTTGTTCTCAAGTATTGTGCACATTTCTCAAAAATAAATCAAATTAAATTATTTTAAGTAGGATCCAAAAATCACTACATTGCCAGGATTGTATCTTATTATAACTGCGATATTATCATCTTTTAATATGTGCGAGCAGTATTACATACATAAAATATATAAATTTATTTGAAACGTATGGAAATCTTTATCTTATTTATAATATTTATGATATAAAAGAAAATTGCAACTCTAATGAAACAGAGCGGTGGAATAATTGGTTGATACTTATCCTGGTCTACAATATTTATCCTTTTCTTATCATTAGATTTTTGGTGCTTTTTTTATTATACAGATGTTATCTGTAAATATAGTACTTGTAATGTTGCTTCTGTATCACTGTAAGCACACAAAAATGATAGCATTTGCAGGTAATTATGTTATATATCGTTACTTATATATCGTAAGAAAGAGAAAATAAAATTAAAGTTGAATACTGAATGTGCTCTAAAGTAAATCTCATCTAAATAAATAAATGCATAAATGTGCGCCCCACATTCCTCATGAAAAAAATACATAATATTAATTTTTATGTATTATTTTTAGATTTTTATTCTTTTAAATTCTCTAGATGCACTTTTCATTTCTCCTCTCTTTCTTTCCAACTACTAAATTTAGATCTATCATTTTTAATATAGATCTGTCATTTTTAGTGTACATTATTGCAGTAAGTGGAATAAAGAGCAAATCTTTTGGCGCATTTAAAATGTACAGGAAAGTTTTATCTGATGCGTTTTTTTCAATAGAAATATCTGAAAAAAATGCATACGTCTTTTTTAATCTTAGTCTTTCTAAATAAAAATTAGAATAATAAATTTGCAAAATAATTTGCTTTAATATATTTTTATTGCAAACATATGAAACAAAGTGCTCAAGGTGCATCACTATGAAAACATCGATAGAATAAAAAATAGATCGCATAAAAAAAAACTAAAATATTTACATTATATATTTGATATTTCTGCAAATATTTCCATTATTTTGAGATTGATTTGTTTCATGATATATTGCAATAATTAAAGTATGATTTCTGATATAATCTGCCATGAGACTGCAGAGAAAGCCAGCTTTAATTCTTTATTTTGTTCAATATTTTTAATAATATAATAATTAAATTAAAGTTCTATGAAAATATGCTTGAAATACTAAATAAAAAAGATTGTTTCTTATGTACAACCTTATACCTTATAGTTTAAGTAAACAAAAAATTATTGTTAATAATATACATATATAAATTGATAATTAAATAAAACAATTAATTGTTCCTGAAAGGACAATGCGTCCTCTATAAACATAAAAATATGAACTTATGGTACAATTTCATTGACGCTAAAAAGTAGCGTCAATGAAAAGGCCGCTTAAAGCGCATTTCCAATGACGTATACGTCATTGGCGTATCCCCTCGAAAGCCAACATATCCCCTCCACACGTTGTAAGCGTGCTATTCGGTGTTTTCTGTGTGGTAGTGTTAGTGTCATGATACGAAAATGATAGATGTGTAATTATGTATGAAATTTCTCACAAGCTTTTTCAATCGTTTTCATATCAACATATGTACAATTACTTTGTTTTATTAGTTTAGAATTTTTCTCAAATTGCTCGTTTTTCCTCCATAAAAATGATACACAGTCTCTTCATTATAAATTCTTCTGGGTAAGCATTATAAAAAAAATAAGCAGTAACAAAATATATTTGACAGATCGATTAACGCTTCCAATGTATGATAATAATTATCTGCTATCAAGTATAGATTTCCGATATTGATTATATGACATGTATTTATTCCCTTATATATTCCATATGGATGTACAGAGATGTTTTTATGGAGAAACATTGGAAAAGTGCAGTCGCACGATCACTCTGCGACTATTTCTTTGATCAACAACGAAGGGTCCTATCACCGGAGGATACTCCACCAGTAATAGCTACTCCACATCATTATCTCATTAGTATATACCGTTGTAACATGTTTTTCGTGGCGGTATGTATGACAGAAGGTAAATTCGATTTGATAAGGTGATGTTCATTGTATTGACAATATGTTATATATATATATTATATATATATATATATATATATATATATATATATATATATATGCGATGATATATAACACACAAATATTTATCTCCTTTTTCCAGTTCCTCCATTGTTTGTCATTGAATTCTTGCATAGAGTAGTGGATACTTTTGAAGATTATTTCAGTGAATGCACAGAGACAATCATAAAAGAGAACTATGTAGTTGTATATGAATTATTGGACGAAATGTTGGATAATGGTTTTCCATTGGCAACAGAATCCAACATATTGAAGGAATTGATCAAGCCCCCTAATATTTTGCGCACTATAGCAAACACTGTTACAGGCAAATCCAAGTAAATATCCTTTGCTGTGTTTAAATGTTAATACTTTACAGACATGCATAAAAGATTATTTCATATATTCTGTAATTGTAAATACAGTGTTAGCGCAATCTTACCCAGTGGACAACTGTCTAATGTTCCTTGGAGACGAACCGGGGTAAAATATACAAACAATGAAGCTTATTTTGATGTTGTTGAGGAAGTAGATGCAATTATTGATCGAACTGGAGCGACTGTATTTGCAGAAATTCAAGGCTATGTAAGTTTTGTAGTAGATATTTCTCAAACAGATAAATTAATTACATGTTATATATTAATTATATGCAATTAATTTCTTAGGTTGACTGTTGCATAAAACTAAGCGGTATGCCAGATCTCACACTTTCATTCATGAATCCAAGATTATTTGATGATGTTAGCTTTCATCCTTGTGTTCGATTTAAAAGATGGGAGGTATATATAAATACATGATATATCACACATAATTTTTTAATTACAAAATTAGATTTCTAAACTCATATATTCTTGTTTTAGTCGGAAAGGATTCTTTCTTTTATTCCACCTGATGGTAATTTTCGCCTTCTTTCATATCACATAGGGTCACAAAGTATTGTAGCAATTCCAATATATGTAAGACATAATATAAGCCTAAAGGAACCAGGAGGTGGCAGATTGGATATAACTGTTGGACCAAAACAGACTATTGGCAGAACAGTGAGTTGTCTTCCTAGATGAATGTAAAATTATTTATCATTGTCTCAAAATTATGTCTTATATATATCATATTATTATTATCCATTATAGGTTGAAAATGTTATTCTTGAAATTCCTATGCCAAAGATAGTCTTAAATTGTACTTTAAGTCCAAACCAAGGAAAATATTCATTTGATCCTGTCAGTAAAGTATTACTATGGGATATTGGGAGAATTGATGTTTCTAAATTGCCAAATCTTAGAGGATCGGTAAGATAATTATAAAATGTCTAAGGAGATTTAAGTGTATTTAATAATTATAATATATTGGGAAAATTTTTTATATTTCAGATTACAATACAAAATTCCGCAACTGTTACTGAATCAAATCCTGCCATTAATGTATGTATAATAATGTAATAAGATTTCTTTTTTGCAAAATTTTTAAAAATTTAATACCTTGATTTTAGGTGCATTTTACAATTAATCAGTTAGCAGTATCTGGATTAAAAGTAAATCGATTAGATATGTATGGTGAAAAGTATAAGCCTTTCAAAGGTGTCAAATATATTACTAAAGCAGGTAAATTTCAAATAAGGATGTAAATACAATGAATGTCAAGATAAAAAAAAATTATGTTAAATATATATCTAATTGTAATTAAATATATAATATATCCTTATTAATATATACACACACACATATATATATATATATATATATATATATATATATATATATATATTTATGATTTATTATCTAATAAATAGACTAATAAACATACAATAGATATATATACATCACAACAGATATATTACATCAAAAACATACTGATAATTTATTATGTACAAAATGGGAAAACCATCTCAACATGGAAAATGATGTTAAATAAAAATTTAAAACTTTAAATTCTCATTTTAAGTGATTTAGATATGTCTATTCTATATTTTATTTTTAGAAAATAAGAGTAGATATAATAATAAATAATTTGAATACTTCTTGATAAAATTAGAGATTATATAATACAAATAGGTATTATAATACATATGTTAAAAGATATTTCGAACTTTATTTGTATTTGTCTCATGTTAAAGACTGACATAATAATTTCTTTGCTTCCAAGTCCTCCCATGTTGGATGAGTAGCATATGTGTACAATCGCTCCATATTGGTAGCATATATAGTATGATTACTAACGAGATTTTTATAAATCTGGAAAAAAATGATTGAAGTATAGTTTTAGCAAAAGATTAAATTTCTTTATTCGTTTGAATTCGTATCAAATTTCTTTACCTTTAATGCATATTGTAAGTCAGCTGTGCTCACTGGTTTTAATGGTGGGCGAGTACTTTGCGAGGAACAAGCATATGAAAAAGCAGTGGCTTGTTCAGCTTCTTCAAAATTGGGTTTTGATGCAGGGATTTGACCATAAGGTTCCAATACTTCTGTCGGCCTGCATTTTAAAATATTGAATAATACAGAATATTAATTATGCATAGTTCAAATCAGTCTTATAATTGTAGTGACTTACTCTGAACGGAATGGATTTATGTACATAGAGTTTCTTTTCCATGAACTAGGCACTGGTTCTCCTATATTATAAATGAAAGCACCATCATAAACTGCATATCCTTTCCTTCGTGTAAAAACAGCAGTGAGTATATTTTTTAAGAAAATTTGTGTCGCAGCTATAATAATATGTGCAGTATTTTCTTCAGCTCCATCCATGTTGTTTTCCCATGCTGCTAGCATCAATCGAGCTAACACAAAAGTTCGATCTGGCAGTACAAGTTCTTGGGCACTGGAACGATTGGCACCTATGGGTTCATCACCGACAGGCGACGAAGCTTGACCCAATACTTCCACATACATATCTGCTGGCTACCATAAAGAAGCAATATAAATGCTTATATATAATTCTGTAGTATTATTATTGCTACTAATTATGCATATATTATATACAATAGTTACAAACCTCAAAATTTGATTTATCAGTCTTATATTTGCGTTTTAATCTCAGTCTTCTTTCCTTTGAGGTTTTATCTCTATCTATCTTGTAGGTTGGTGTAATAGTGGCTAATCCACGAACTTTATTGAAGAGGCACAACAAAAACTCATTGTGTAGACGGACTTGATCCTCTGTCATAAGATTACGTGCTTCGCAATCAAATTCTTCCTTTGTGGTCTAAAATCATATTTTTATAAATTATGTACAAGATTATAAGTGTATATATATATCTTAATTAAGAAATTTACCTTCATTTGAAACCACAGCTTCATCTTTTCGAAATACCTAGAGATAAAAGAAATAATCATAAAGTTTAAATGTAAATTAAGCTATTCCTCTATCACGTTTATATTGTATTAATATTTATAAATGTATCTCGTTCTTTAAACTAGAGAAAAATCTTACGCTTTTGCATTTTCGCCAAGCGAAGCCACGAGACTCTTTCTGGCTAAATTTAATTCCTTCGATGTAGTCATTTTTGCAATTTGTCTCTGGTTTGTGTACACATACAAAATTGTTTTGAAATTAGATTTTAGGTTAGATACCTTAAATTTCTTATTGACCGAGTCATCGAAGAGTTAAAGATAACCGATCATCGGTAAACTTTCATGGTAAAATGGACACGATAGGACAACATTCATAATTACTTCATTATATTTTGTTTGGGAACAAAAAGATTTAGATATATTTCAAAAGTATTTTATGAAACCTTCTAAAAAATGTACAACTATATAAATACAAATTTATTTACTATTATTATATAAATAATGTTTTTACTAAAATATAATTATTTTACTATTTGTTCTCATTGTCATGTAAAAATACAACAGAAAGTATTATTCTTAAACTTTACATCTAAAATTAAAATTATTAAATATAAATAAAAAACTTAAACTTACTCTTGTGTACAAAAAGGAGAAAACTATAAAAAAAGAAAATTTTTTTATATCTATATAATCTATATATATATATATCTATATATGTACACGATTTCAAAGAGATGTAATTTTCTATACAGTCATACTTTCAATTATTTTAGAGCTAACTTCTTACACAATTTTTGGTAGATTTTAAAGTTCAATGCATGAAATATTTTATCTCTAATTACAATCAAATATATACAATTTACAAATAAAATCTACCATCTTCTTCCAAGCCAATCTTCATAATCTCTTTTCCTATTTTTACGACCTTTCTTTTTACGTCATCTAATTTCTTTTGACGGAATCCTTGATCGGACGAGATCCCAAGTTATCAGCGCTGTATTCGGTTTTGTGCATAAATCCATAACAATTTGTGCATTTCTTGCATCATGTATCACTCCTAGACAGGTTCCTGCTGCCATATTGTAGATAGGTGTACCGTTCTATGTAATAAAATATTTAAATAATTGATTATAAAAAATTTATTATTATTTAAATATATTAAATAATTTATTCGCATTAACTAATATAATATTTCTAATAATAATCACTATAAATAAAAACAAAAATATTCAAATTTATGACATTCATAATGCAAGTACTAATATGAGTGAAAGCTCTTACAATGCGTTTATGGTGCCAATCTTGATTTCCGCCCATTTCGTGACATTTTCCAAGTTTTGGAATTTTTTCAGTTCCTTCCATGCAAAGCATTTGACCAAGAACTAGTTCATTTTTATCAGTCTCATACCACATCTATGTTGTAAAATAAATTATTCATAAAATGATAAAATTCTTCTTTTTTGATAAATCTAAATAAGTATAAAAAAGTATTCGGCACAAATATTTACCTGTGATTTAATTCTTAAACACGGCATCAAGATAAGTTTTGAGCCTTTGGTTTTGATATCCTTCTCACTCTGAATACAGAGCACAGAATTTGAAAGTCTAATTTGATACTGATCAGTATAATTTCTTTTCCTTGAATGCCAAGGTTGCATTGGTCTTTGTTCGAGTTTAGACCACTTATCTTTTAGTCGTTTTTCTGTATCATCAGGCAATGTTAATTCTGGATAAACCACCTTCAAATACCAGTCAAAAGTCTTGCACTCTAACTTTTGGCGCAATGCTAGCCGTTCCGAGATATCGCCGTAATCAATTGCTTTAGCATTTTTCAGGAAATAATCTTTATACTCGTCCATCCATACGTGCGCAACTCGTAATGAGTTTTTCAACATGGTGTCGTGTGGATCGTCCGAGCCATACGGTCGTCGTCTTCTAAATACATGACCTACCCGTGAACAGGGAATCAACTCGATACTACCACCACACATCCATATCTATAAAGAAAAATAACTGATTAATAATTTTGTTATTTACGAGTCACGAATTAAATTTGAAAAATAAGTGTAATTAATTTTTACTCGGAATGATATTTCAAGATTTTCTCCACCCCAAACGTCCATGCCAGTGTCGTATTCTCCTATCTTTATAAAATATTCTCTATCAATGGCAAACAATCCGCCGGCCATTGTTGGCGATCTGTTTTGTAATAAAAAATATTTATTTATGAAAAAATTAAATTATGCAAAAACGTATTTATAATTAAATATGTTTGCGATATTAATATATATAGATATAAAAAGATTCTTACTTGATAGGCTTTACAAAATCATTCTCATGTTTTAATGTTCCAATTGGTAAATTATCCCATTTAAAGTGAAGACCCCAGTTAAAGCCACCTCTCACCAATGGACTGCCAGTATATTGAAATGTATCCGCATTAATAATATCAATTACCGGCATTGGTACAATAGTTTTCGAATAAGCAATCCTTGATAAAAGTGGCTCTATCCATATTTCATTTACTTCTATGTGACTATCTAGAAAGATTAGAACATCGCCGGTAGCTTTTCTCGCTCCAAAAACTCGTGCTCTAATTAATCCTTCTCTTTTCTTCGTCTTAAACAATCGTACTTTAGCACCAAAATTGTTCTTGATATATGCATGTATTTTTTCATGCAATATATCGCTGTCACTAAAATCATTCACCAAAATAATCTCATGCAGGAGAGCCGCCGGCGTTCTCTCAAGTATAGAATGTAAGGATCGCAACAGCGTTGTATAATGTTCATTGTAGAAACAAATAATTATACTGGCATTTGGCAGATTGGAGGAGTATTTTTGTGTTTTGCACAATTTATGCCTCGTATCTGGTACATTTCTTCGTACTCCAAGGTTGTCTGATATCAAGACATTGAAAGCATAATTCTTGTATCCTATAGTTCTTTTTTGTTGATCTTCCATATTTTTTACCATACCTAATTCATCTAAACCTATTGAAATTTGTTTGATTACATTCTCAAATTTTATAATCTGCTACTAATATAATCTAATATCAGAGATTAATACCTTGATCCAAGGTAACTGCAGGTTTTACTGGAGCAGGTTGTAATTGCTTTAAGAGTAGATTATTGCTCCTATCATCTTTATGGACCTTCAGATTGTAGGCTTTCTTATCGGAGAGAATTTGTTTTTCGTTGCGAGCGACAATAACGTTGTCACGTAGCATGATTTCTTTATCAATTTCTTTTTCTTTATGCATAGATATACCAGGAATTAACATCGTGGGGCTGGCAGTGATATTGTTTTGCGACAGTCTTGAATAGAGATATAAACTGAAAGCCCATGTTAAGGAAGCTATCACTATTCCCAATAGGAATGATACGTATCTCGTGGATATCATCTGCAAAAAGAAAAAAATAATTAGTCAGTGAGATTGCTCAACAATCTTTGTAAAAATGAAACATTAAACAATTTTTTCGAATCTCCGATATACGATATATACATGTAATATGAATCAATTCTAGTTTTTTATAAGCACTCACCGTAAATTATAATTCGATTGCGATGCACATAATGTAAAATATTTATACAGTTTTTTCAGAACGCATCTTGGCGATCAAACAGCGATCTTTAATTGACAGCCGGGTGCAAGTAGGCTGCCATTTTTAGCAGTCACGTGGAGAAGGGAGGGGCAATTAATCAATATGGCTTCTTTCCCGCTAAATTTGAATGCAATTTCGTTTTCCGCTAATCCACTAGACATTATTACACTTTATTTCGAATAATTTTCTTGATTAAATTATACATTCGTATAATATTATTATATCTTTGACATCAATATTATTATTAAAATTGCTCAGCAAGTTAACAGATAAGACAGTAGGCCATTTAAATTCAGAAATTTAAATTTAGCCAACTATAGAGACGCCATATTGATTGAATTGTCTGCTAGATGCTACAGATGATATAAGAAAAGAGGCATTTCAGATAGAGCGAGAGCTCTTGTCAATAACAGTGGGCGATTGTTCATCTGGCGTACAACTGTGTTCGATTTGTTTATTCTGGTCATTCCCTTGTGCTGTGAAAAGTGAAAAGAAGTATCAGCAATTATACCAGGAACGTTTGCCGTTTATATCAATTTATATCTATTTGAAGTAGTGAATGTGAAGTAGTGAATTTGAAGTAGTGACAGTAGAACAATCGGTACATTGACATTTTATTCATTGGTGAGTTGTGCAATTTTATGACTAATATATTCGTCATAATATCGGTATGTGGTATTTTCCATATTATCATTGTACTATGAATAGATGTATCTCAATCCTGTTATCACTAATTGTAACATATTCTATGCATTCAATATATGTATTTAATAAGTACACTGATATCACATAGAGATGTATATAGAAGAGTTATTAATTAATGATGAGTAACACTTTTAACAAATATAACACAAGTAAAAGCATTTATATTAAATAAAAATTATTTAATAGAATATATATTTATTAATATATTTTTAAATAAAATAATATAATTAATATAATTAATATATATTTAAATGAAAGTAATAAAAGAAATAGATATCCTATATATGTCTCATTGAGTATTGTTTTCTTTTTGTTGAAAAAAAAATTTTGTATAGTTTTAATTATTTATTGGGTTAGGATTTTAATATTTTTATTGCAAGATTTTAGTCTCTTCTTATATAAAATATGATAAAATAACATCTCATATAAAAGCTCTAATTTTGCATATCTGTTCCTATTTAATATCTAATTTTTTCTATCCTTCTTTTCCTCTTCAAATCTGTCAACAATAATCAAAAGTTAATAGCTTATCATAATATCGTGAAAAGAATAAAAAAAAATTTTTGAAAGATGCAAGCAATTCAGTAGAATCTCTTTGTTTTAAAAGATTTTTATCATTATCAATATTTTCTAACATTTTTTAAGATATCACTTATAATAAAAGATATGACTCATACATTAAATATGATTCATATATTGAATATGATAAAAACTCTAATTGACAATTGAATTAAATGTATGAAAATTTTATGTGTATATGCATAATTGTATTTCACTGCATAGATGTATCTCTAAACTAATTATTTTATGTTTTTTTATTTGATATATTATACAATGTATATTTCTTGTGTTTTCAAAATTAAAATGAATAAACTAATACTTATTTCTGATTAGATTAGATTAGATTAGATTAGAAGTAGCAAATAATTATGAATGATATAATTAAATAAGTTGGATTTCATACTTGAATTTATCAATTATATTTATTTTTAATCGAAAATATTATTTGATTAAAAGTGTTTATATATTTATCTATTAAAATCCCTTTAAAATATATTTTATTTTTAATGTAATTCTATTGTTTTTAATAAAGGTAAATTAAAAAATGTATAATTAAATTAATAAATATAAAAATTTGATATAAAAAATTGATAATAAATTTGGCTATCAATATTGATAATATAATATCTGATTTTTTGATTACAGGAAAGTATTTATAGGAAAAGAAAATTCAAAATGTCTCTTTATCCTACACTGGAAGATATGAAAGTAGATCACATGATGAAGGTAAGTTAAAGTTCCATAATTTATAGATTGCAAAATCAAGAATATTATAGTTTAATATGAAATTATTCGGGATAAGCTTATATTTTGTATACTGTACTAATTAAAATCATTATAGGCTCAAGTGCAAGCGGAATCACAATATGCCATTCCAATGCAAACTGAACCTGTAGTTCCTTCGGCTCCGGTTTACGTTCCTTCCACACCCAGTGTATTATATCCATCTTTGGGAGATTACATGGGACTCGAGCTAAATGAAGAGACCATTGCACAGAATATGCCTGAATATGCGCTCGCTAAACGTCAAAATACAAGTGATGTATGTTAATGTTATATCAATTGTAGTCTAATTTTCTAATTAATCTTAATCTTAATTATGAACTTCAAATTTAAAAAAAGAAAATTACATTATTTTGAAAAATTAACTTATTAATTACTTTCGTTCTAAAAAAAAATTAATTTCCATTTTAAAAAATATTCAGAAAAATTAATGTTATGATTTCAGATGACACTAACTTCACCAACATATAATTCATTAACAGGGATTGTCGCTCCTTTGTCAGGACAGTCAGTGGCTTTACAGAAAGCTCATGTAACAAATGGTATTAGAGAGGTATTATTTATTTCCTAAACATGAAATTCTATGATTATATGTAAAATACACTACACAATATTTCAAGTAATTTATTTCTTTACAGTTGATATTATGTAAAGATGCTGATGGAAAAATTGGTGTTAGAGTACATGCAATAAACAATGGGATCTTTGTATGCCTTGTAAGTCAAAATTCTCCAGCAGCAATGGCTGGATTACGTTTCGGTGATCAAATTTTAAACATTAATGATGTATGTGTTGCTGGGTATTCAATGGATCAAGTGCATAAACTGCTCCGTAATGCAAATACCAATGGAATTAGAATGGCTATACGTGACAGGTTAGTTCATTTTTTATTTATAAAAATTTCAATTCTGCCAAAATGTTTGTTTTCTTTGTGAATATAATCTCATTGTTTTATTGTAGACCATTGGAACGTACTGTAACGATGCACAAAGATAGTATGGGTTACATTGGATTTCAATTTAAGAATGGAAAAATAATTGCTTTAGTGAAAGATTCTTCGGCCGCGCGAAATGGACTCTTAACCGATCATCAGATACTCGAAATCAATGGAAAGGTTTGCACAGCGTTATGTCTATTTTCTATTTAGTCTAATAGATTAAATAATAATTATTCAATTAAATAAATTTCGATATTTCACAGAATGTGGTTGGGATGAAAGATAAAGATATTACAACAGAGATTGAAAATGGTGGAAATATCATCACAGTGACAATAATTCCATCCTACATTTATGATCACATGGTGAAAAAGTATGTATTTTGTACTAAACAACATGTAGTTTGTAATAAACATAATATGATATTGTATCAGATGTAATGTTATGTCACTTAAATTATGCAAATTTTATGTTAGGCAATAGAAATATTCCTTTTATAAATATTAATATAACAAAATATATATTTTAATATAAATAATTTATATATATATATATATTTATTTATTTATTTATATTATTTATATATGTATATATATTTATTTATTTTTAAATATTTTATATAGATAATAACCAATATAATATGTATTTTTTCTACAGAATGTCCAGCAGTTTGCTGAAGAATTTGATGGATCATTCTGCATTGGATCTTTAAATAAGTAAGGAAATAAATCGCCAAATTTATGTATGCCATATCGCCAATTATCGATCGGCACGTGCATTATTCTCTATAACTCTTTATTACAAAGAAAATAATATGAATATTCTACAGATATATTATAAACACAAGATGCCAATCATATTATTGCAAGCATGACATATGTGATATCTATCTAGAGTGTAGAGCCTAGAGTTCCATGTCAATTTCGACGTTAATTGGCTAAAAATCATGAAAAGATATATATCAAAGATATTTATCAAAGATTATTTTTTATACAAAAGCACACCAAACTTTACTAGAATACATGGACTTATTGTTCAATATACAAGAAAATTCTTCATTGCATTTATCCAAACAGTAAATGCTTTGCATAAGATAATTGTATTCTAATTTACTTTTTATTTATACAAAAGGATAAAAATTTATTGCAATATTTTAAACATTGATATTGAATGATAAAAAATTATTATTTATTTTTCCTAATTCAAAATTTTAAGAAAATTATTTTGATTCAATATAAAATTTTTATTAATGTGTTTTTCACAAAATCTTGTATAATTAATATATTTTTGTACGAAAATATCCAACTTTTATTTTTATATTTGTAAGAAACCGTAAAAATTATTGATATGTTATTAAACTACTATAAACTTTATTTTTGTTAACTTTTGAATGTATCCATATATTTATTTGATATTTATCGCAAATTTTTATCAATCATGTTACAGTAACAGAGACAAAAATTTTTCAAAAAAATAAATACTACGTATAATTAATAATATGCCAATCTTCTGCACATACTTTCTAGTATCTTTATGGATATTTTAATCAAAGACAATTAATATTACATCATATTGAGATCGATTTTTCAAATAAATTTTCTCAATTGTTTAGAAAAATAGTATATATTGTATTATATGTTCAAAAAATGTCTCGACTATAATTTATAATACTTCAATAAAAGCACAATCTTTTTTAATCGCAATTTTAAACTGTTGATATTAGTACTATTTTATTTTAAATAAGCTTAAAAAAACTTTAGAATTAATACATTATAAATGTTTTCACTCTACATTTGAAAAATATGAAAGAAATTTAGATATTCAATAATAAATGGATATGTGTATTTCAAGAACATTTAAGAAACAATTTGTGCGACTTAAGAGTGCCAATATTACTTTACATGTAAATATAATCTAATGTAGTTTATAATTATGTATTATTTGATTTTATTAAATAAAGGATTAAAAGAAAAAGAAATAAATTACATGTTTAATAAAGTAAGTTGTAGAGAAGCAAAAAAAGATACAAACTTTTTCAATTTTTGTGCATTGAAAAATACAATAATACACATTTATGTATTCTGTTTTATTCAGCAGTAATATGATATATATATATATATATATATATATATATATATATATATATATATAGGATAGGCAAAACAAACGGTATAAAAGTGACACAAATATTTCTTATTATATTTCCTATTATAAATAGGCTGAACCGATAATGTGTATTTTTCATAAATTGTACAGTTACTGTATATAAAAAAGAGGGATTCTTTATATAATTACAATTTATCAAATTCAATATTATTAATTTTTCGAGCTATCAAATGGATCTTTAATCTATCTCGGATATCTAGCTCATATTATGCAACAGTAATACCGGCCGTTTGGAGATAATTTCTTAAGTGGTTTGCATTCGGTTCAGGAATTTGACCCAACAATCCTGGCAATTGTCCCGGCGATAGTCTTCCGAGGCCTTGTGCCAAATGCAAACGTATATCACCAATATCTGTCAATATATATATATATATTTCCGAATTTCTATCTAGAGATATATACTTTAATATATATACGAAAAAAGTATGTAAAATATAAAAGTATAAAAAATATAGACACACAAAGAATATATGTATATCTATAGTAAGGAAATAACATTTTGATAAAAAAAAATATTCATCTAATTAAAGACTGAAACAAAAAAAAATTCGACACTTACTTGGCAAAGGATCTTTCCGCGGATTTCTTGCACAAATGAGTTGACTATAACCCACTTGATATCCAACTGTGTCGTCAACTTCCGGGAACACGTCGTCCTCCGGTAATAAGGTTTGATCTTGTGGCAGCTCAAAGAATTCCACTAATGCGGCTAATAGACGAGGATAGTATGAATTGTACGGAGCTTCAAGCATTGCGGGACAATCGATCAACAAATTCGACATTCCGACAGCTACCACTTTGCGCTCTATTACACCTGCTATCTTTTGCAGATCGGTTATGAATACACGCTCCACTACCATTCCAAACATTCTAAGCACAAAAGATTTACTATAGTTTCTTGTACCTTTTGAATGCAGTGTATATGCATCTTTTTATATATTATATAGTATATTATATTTATAAAACTTACTGTGGTTGTATCTGATCAATAATCGCGATCAAGTTCGATGAATTATATCTAATAATATAATATGCAAAAAATACTATTAGACCTTTCACAAACTTCGTTGTTTTCGAGATAGAAAGTCTTTGAAAAAGAAGTATGAAGATCTGTCTCATGTATGGCTCTAAAATGGTCCTGTAATATTACACTGATGTTATACAATTGATGCATTAACTGTCAGATATGAAATGTAAATAAAAGTACATAAAAAGATAAGAGAAAAGAGAGAGAGAAATAAGTTCTTACGGTTCAAAGTATTCAATGATGCTTTGTATTAATAAAAATCCTTCATGATCGTTTGCTTTTGATGCAATTAATTTCTGGAATACTCCTAGTAATGCACTCGTCTTATCTTGCGCTACAATCTGATGTGAACCATGACTAATAAATGCTTGTAACAAACGATTTAAAGGATGAATATTGGCTTGACGTTCGAATAATACGGGTGACAACAGGCACGGGAATAAAGCCATGTATGTTTCTGGTATATTTTGATTAGTTTGTAACTCCAAAAGCAGTGCAAGAATTTGAAAGACATAAGGAATAAACTCTGAAAGATAAATATATGAATATTTATGATTTGTAATTATTATATTGATATGTGATATAAAATATCAAAATAATTTACCTGGTATATCTTGTTGTAAAATTTCTTGGAAAATGGGAAATAATGCTTGTTCGAAAGATGACACTGCTTCAGGGTTTGTTTTACAAACAATTCTGGAGAAAAAAATATTCATTAGTATGAAGTATGCGAAAATATCATAAAATATCAAATAAGAAGAATATAAACAGAATTGAAACAATTTAAATTTTTGACCAATATATAAACAATAAACCATATCATTATATTAAAATCGGATAACTTACTTGATGGATAAACTTAAGGTTTCAAAAAGATAATGATTAAAGTTTGGTCGGCTTGGATTCCTAGATACAATCGCGAGTTTTTCGGTGAGTTTCGGAAGTAATTCAGCCAAGAAAGGCACCACGCCTTCTTGTAAAATTCCAAAACTTCTCATAATTGCTTTCATGACATATTCGTTTTCCTCGGAACCCGAAATGTTCATACACGCGAAAAGTCCTTTCAATAAATCTGTTGCTAGCGGTGATAGATCGACACCTTTGACTCTAGAAAGTTTTAATCGAATTTTCAATCATTATTCATAGATTAGTGATTAAAATATTGTTGTGTTATTTCTTACATGGACAAATTATCAACACCCCTCATTGCTAATATTTTTTCAATTGTACAAGCAGCATAACTGTGCACGACGATACTGCTGGCGCTGAGATGTCTTATTAGTTGTGGCAAACTTCCTATTACCATATCACGTGGTAATATCGATCTAAATGTCATTATAAATTTTATTCCATCTGCTTTAAGTACCGGAAACTCATTCACTGAAATTAATTATAATTGTGTAACTTCTTTTTATTCATTAAATTGACATTTTATTTTTTTAAAATTATATATTTAAATAAATAAAATTAATCTTAAATTTAAAACATAGAAATTAAAGTTTAGTCAAACTAGATAACTCTTTCAAAATATTCAATACCATTTGGTTTTGCCAGCTCAGGTTCAATATGTTGTCCAGCGAATTGCGGTAACGAGACCAGCTCGCTGCTTTGAGTAACTCCGTGCTTTTGTGTCTGTGCTTTACTCGCACTACTAGTAACAAGATAAATAGCAGCGTCTTTGCTGCGCCAATTTTCTGATGGTTTATCAGCATAGTTTTGCAACATTATCTAGAAAAATGCACGAATATAGCAAATACATATATAATATTTGTAATAAAATAAAAAATTAATTCTCATAGATGTATATACCTGTATATATGCTCCAAAGATTTCCATAATTTTTGCTTCAAAATATTTAGACAATACTTTAACTAAATCACATGCAGCACGCCTTCTGGTATCCACATCACTGCCTTCAATATCCCGTCTAATATATTCTTCAGGATTATCTTCAAATAATTCACTGTCCGACTCTGCAACATTAATAATCTGTTAATACAAAAATTCGAGCAAATTATTATATTTTTATATTGATACAATTATACCTCTAAATTCCATGTTAGGGATAATGACTTTTTCACATATACTGCTAAGAGTTGTCGAATCTTCGAATAAATGCCTATATTGTGCTCGATCGGCTACTGTGGCCAGGAATTGCAATGCATTTGAAACTAGCTGTAATAATATATTATGCAGATATATTATATTTTATAATGTTTAAAAACTTTAGAATAACGATATTAAAATTTTACTTACTGCATCATATTTAGGTTGTTGTCCTGTAGATGTAAGTAAGTTCCAAACTGCCGTAACAAATTCAGGTAAATATGGTTGGAATTCCTCATCATATTTTTGAGCATATAGACCAACATTGTCACACACTTGCGATTTTAATTGTTCTATTACACCTGCTTCTTCCTCACCCTTTAAATAAATTTCAGATTAAAGAATTATAAATTAGATTATAAATTTTGTACATTTAATTGTAATATAATAATATTAGTATATAAATTACTGTAGTTTGCAACGAGGGAACATCCACATTTAACAAGGTATGAAAGTTTCTCATCCACGCTTCCATATTATCTTCAAAAAATTCTGGTAGATCCTATGTACCAATTATATAACTCTTAGCAACAAATTTTTATTTATTTTCATTTTGCACGTAGATATAATGAACATACTTACTTGAAAATTAAGAGAATAGAACACTTTACATAATATAACTAAAGAATTATAAATGACTCTTAAAGCATCTACATTATTAGCATGTACTTGCGTTAAATTCATTGTAGCCTGTAAAATATTTTAAATTTTCTTTAGGATCATACTTTTACTTAATTATATATAATTATGCATTCTATAAGAATGCATAATTCCAATATGTACAAAACAATAACTCACTAAAAACAGATCTGTTAAAGGTTTCGCAAACTTATCCAGTACAAATTTTATTTCTCTCCATAAAGTTTCACTTTTAAATTCATATCTATATCTTTTAAACAAGGAGTGCGCAGTGTGTAAAACTCCATTAATTATGTGAAAATCACCAGTATTGAATTTTTCCACCATCTGATCAATTAATTCTGGCCATTTATTGGGAAAATCATACTTTCCAATAATAGATACAGCATCCGATAATTGTTTTTGTATTGAATCCGGCGAATGTAACATTAGATTAATAATTAATTTCTTAATAGCGTCTCTATCCTGAACATGTATGCGATCTACTGAATCTTCGTCCTGAAATAAAAGCAAAGGATCCCATCATAGCAAGTATCATATTATTTACATTGTATGCGCGAGCTCTAGGATGAACCAAACGAAACACCCACCACTTTCCAATTGCGCTTAACATAATTCTTGAACGCAACAGCACCAGCGATTCTAATGGTTATGTTAATTTCAGATTTGTCTACCAAATGGAGCAGCAGTAAGGGGTAGTTTTGATTGACTTCCACTGATTCTAAAAATTTCTCGGCTGAAAATATAAAACGGATATATATTAATACGAACACGCTGAACGTTTCAAAGCGATAATAAATTTGGAACAGGTTAGGTACCGACCTGGACGCCTGACGTTGACGTCCGGGCTAAGGGTGTGCTTCAGATATTCGCTCAAAGTAACCAGATTATCATCGGTAAGCTCCATATTGGCGATTGAAAAAAAATCGCTTCTAACTCGTAGATGCCTCTTTCAGAAAGTATAACACGACATCGACAGAGAAACCTAAAATCAACACCGCATCATCTACGGATGCAACACCGCGACAACCGGCTTTTAGCTGCGGCGAATTACACTACCTACGTTCGCTATTGGCTGTTGGCTGACGTTCGCGGCGCTGAACAGAATTGGCGGGAATGTGTTACAAGAAGAGATGAACGAGATGTAAGATTTTCTGCGCACGTGATAGCGGCAACCAAATTTCGTTACAAGCGCAAAACGAATAAGGGATTTAAATATAAATTATTACACGAGAAGTATATGTATCGATATTTTTAATTGTGAAATCAACAAGTTACATCAAGATACATATATGTATTAATTTGAGACATATATGTATTAATTTGTAAATTTATACTTTGAAAAATTCTCTCTTTTTGAAAAATTAAACTCTGAAGGAAACTATTGATATATAATGTACTTTATAAAATAGTACAGTATCAAGTATCCAATTATAAATTACATAAATTACATATTATTTAATTTTATCTGATACAACAATTTAATTTTTATGTCCTTTTAAAATTTTTAAGTTTATTTTTATGAAAAGAAGAGAATAAGAGTTTTGTTTCATTAAATCATAAATATTTTAATACAAATTCGTCTTCTCCTTCATCTTATATTCGTTAACTGCAATTTGGCACTGCTTTAGCTTCTTCTGTGTTTTGTTTAACGTATCTTCCATAGATCTAACATTTTGTATTAGCTTACCATTGTTCAGTCTTTTAATTAATAAATTTAAATTAATAAAAATTGCAATAAGTTTTCATAATATTATAGAAATAAATCTTATGTATATTTTCTTTTTACTTGATATTAGAAATTATGCTATCAAGATTCGGTACGTCGCCAACATCCACATTAGCTTCAATACAATTCATGCCACATTTTTCTCTCATATCATCCACTTCTTGCTTTAAAATTGTAAGTTCGTTGAGAACTTTTTTGCACTCTTTTTGATGATCTTCGATATCCTTTGTCAAGACATCTTTCGACTTAAAAATAAAGAAAGAATTCATGTAATTTATTTACAAATGATACATATATAAAACAAATATAGACCAGCTGATTTAAAACAGCAAAATTTATAAAAGTTCTTTGTTAAAAAACATACATATTCCGTTATCCACTGAGAAAAATTATTCGCATAACTTCCTGTTTTCGATAGGAAATCGTTCCTGGAATAAAATAATTATTAGAAATAATTTTCTTTATAAAACTTTCATTTTTGGCTTACTTAATTTTTTTCTATTAGTAATAATTGAAACAATATTTAAAATAATAAATGTGTGATTAATATTGGAAAATATATATATATATATATATATATATATATATATATATATAAAATTTAAAATATAATCTATTATGTCTGCATTTATATTTTTGTAAAATTTTACCATTGTTTACGCAATGTATTCGTCCTCGCATTTTCGAAATCTTTCAATTCCTGCTTCTTTACGGCATGAATCTTCGTAGCCGCCGATATCTTTGCATCAATGTCAGACACGTTTTGCTCCAACTTGTCCAAATTCGCTTCAATGCTGTGATTACTTGCGATCAAATTCGATAAATGCGTCTTCAAGTACTGTACCTTTTTATCGGATTTTTTAACCGATTCTCTTAATATTAAAAGCTGAAACATCGTTTTTTTTCCTTTTTTTTACATTTATACCTGCTGTACATACATTTTACTCGCGTTTTTGAGAAATTCGGAACGTTTCAAATGCAAGTTTAGAGCTTATAATACAATATGTGAGAAGAGATATATAACGTTCTCACGTAACTTTTCTAACATGAATGATCATACATAGCGTGCATTATCTCGAGAAGCGATCATGCAGCATCTTATTTTGCACTTTATCTTATTATGAATCTAAAATTGAAATAAGTTGGTTGAGAAGGCCAAGCGAAAAATAACAAAATCGCTTCGTCGAGAGTAAGCTATCGTTGGTATACGAAATATTACTGTTCATTTATTCACACTTAATATCACCTGTTTAATGTCAGAAGTAATCATATCTGATTGCGAGATTCCGACGTTCACGAGACCGATCTCGTTATTTGCAGGTTCCATTTTTCGTTTCTACCGATAATAAGTAACGCGACTTATATGATACCTTTTGTCGAATTGACAAAACAACTATTTTTGATTATATAAGAAGAGAAATTAACTAAACGAAGACCGATATATCAGTAATCGAGTATGCTTTTTTTTATAAAGTTGAAATCAGGAATGTAAATCAGGAATCTAATAGAAAAAATTGAATCTAACTACCGCAACAAGATGAATTCGAAGCGAAACTTCGTGTAACTATGTTTTCGAATATATTCGATAATCTTTAGGAATCGATTAAATTTCAAATTGACCAATTGCGACGCGATCCGCGAGTTGCGCGTAAAGCCCGCGATTTTTTGAAAAACTCTAGGAATTTAGTATACTTCATATACTGTAAAATATTATGAATGATTCGAATACAAATTAAAATATATTATCTAGTTTTTATGCACGATAATTTATTAATTTTATTGTAAAAATTTATTAATTTTTTTAGCAATAAAAGTAATCGATTCCTACGAGTTAATAATAAAATTGAAACATATTTGTTATAAAGCTATCGCATGTATTTTTAACATTGAAATTCTGCATCGTGATTATTGTGCCAAACTCGTCAAACAATCGACGGCAGCATTAAATCAGAACACAATCAAGTACTTCAACTGCTATTTGCGTCATTCTAAAGTATTATATGCAAGATTACATGTTGTATTCAATATGGATATCTGCTCTTTTTATTCAATATTAATGTACCTTTTTTAAGAGTGAGTATTAATGTACTTTTTTTTTTAAGAGTAGATACAAAAAAATAAGCATATTTGCGATCAATTGATGATTATGTTTGCAAAGATATATGTATATTAGGATGCATAAAATTATAAATAAAATTGTTTTGAATTTTGCTGCAAATTACAGATCGGACTTAACTTTTAATTATACACATCTTTGCAAATATAATATAGTTGAAACGAGAAATTTTTATCGTTCCTTTTCGATATTAATTTCGATATTAAATCTTTAAATTAAAAAAGAAAATTCAATATCTGATTTTGATACGCGTATCAATGTTTCAATCTGCGTTTCCTTCCACGTCAGCTGATTTTTCCTCTGACGGCGACTGTCACAGGCGTTAATCGTGCGCGTTTCTGCAGTCTTTGGCAGTCCTCGAACGGCCGTTGCGACGTGCGTATGCGCGGCACGCGTCATCCATTCTTTCCCTTTAGTCCTCGGTATTGTTCAAGTATTGTGGATGTGTGTGCGCGAGGTACGTACTGTATCTCCGAAGTAGTGCGAAATGTTTTCAGTGTCGCTGATTAACGCATATTTTCTTCACGTATGACGTACCTTACGGTGAGTAATTCGTTCATATTTCGTGACGAAAAAGCGATGGAATTTATTTCGCAAGAATATCGTTTAATTATCTAAAACAAATATGATTAATGTAGAAATGAATTATCAGTAAGAATTACTGAAAAAAATTGACAGTTAATAAATTAAATTTTAACAAACTATAATTATATATTAAGTCGCGACACAAAAATTATGAGCATTCTTAAGAGTATCCAAATACGTTTCATACATTCTTTAAAAATTCTTTTTTTCTCTTCAAACGCGTTTATTAAATTCTCTCATAGAAATCTATGAAATCTATGAAATCTATGAAATTGGGAAGTTACAATTAAAATAATATAATAAAAATTATACAATTATATGTATGTTTTATAAATTTTACTTTAATTCATTATGAATTATATTATATCTCATTTCTTATTTATTAATTATATCTATTTTTATTATATACATATATATATATATAATTTTTATTATATATAGTAATGTGTTCGGAATTCTATTTATACTTGTGATATTTATCACTTCTTATCACTTCTAATTTCTTGATAAATTATACCCTAGGCAATTATTTCCTTTGCATATTGACTTAATGACAAATGTAGATAAAGGAAATTGATTACGGTATTACTAATGATAATAAAGAAAAGGAGCAGATTATCTTAAAATTTCAATACTAATTAATTGTAACTAAATAATGTAATAAAGCTTTAAAAATATCTTACAAGTTTAGCGTGAAGATATGATTAGGTCGTTTTTTTCTTTTATATATATATAATCTGTAATTATCTTATCTCTTTATCAGTCTTTGACGAGTCTCAGAATTTTATCATCGATTCGATGTACAATCTTACGCGTGCGAATTACACATACTGCGATGATATCACATAAATATAAGTAACGGAAGAATCGAGAAAAATAAATGTGTCAAATATATTTAATTTGCTATTTCATTGTCATTGAGCAAAAACCTAACGCTATAATATTCTTTTTTTTTTTATTAATCATTTCCTTTGTATATTTGAAATCGTTCACTCGCATAGCTTGCGTGACATTAGAATTTAGACAATTCTAAGATAATCTCTCTCTCTCGTTGTGAGTTAATTTACACACATTCTAATTAAAAAAATACAGATATGACTGTATTAAAGAATATTTTTTATATTAGATTAAGTTTTCGTTTCATATTTTATCTTTGACATATAATGTAGTTAAAATATCCAGAATTAAATAAATAATAAATTAAATCATATGTAGAGCAGATCTGTAAGATACCAAATTAATTTTATTATATTATAATTTTATTAAATTATAATTTTTATATTTGCTTTTTTCTATTATCTTGCATTTATTTATCTGGCATTCTATCATTAATATATGTCAAGGTCGGATAATTTTTCCAAAAATCTTTCTTTTAATACAAAAACATCTAATATATAATTTTTAATTTGCGGTGTTGTGTAATTTTACAGAATATTACATAAATACATCTTATACAGGATTTTTTTCTGTAAACCTTAATAGAAAAAGAATTCTCAGAATCTTGTGTGAAACAGGACCACCAACTGATAAATAACCGCGTACTGACTACTCTATATCCTGTCACATAAAGGATGTAGCAATCACATTGATTACACGCTTTTTACACCCGCTTTTGTTCAAAGCATTTTTTTAAAAGATTTTTATCTTGAGTTTTTCATCTTAAGAAAAAGGACTATACTGATTTTATAATAAATTTTCCTATTTTTCTCTATATTTCTATTTCTTGTCATTAAAATCGATCGTTAATATTTAAGAGATTTATTATTAAATTATTTATATATTTTTATGGATGATCTGCTTTCAATTATTGATTTTGTTTTCATAATTTGCAATTGTTCGGGTTCGTTAATTAGCCTTCACATTGCTGAAAAGAATGCGTGAATGATTTTATGCGCATTCTTTTATCGAGTTTTATCTCTGTATCAATATTTTCCCCTTCACGTAAATTTGTTGCTAGTTTAAGGCCATGTAATTTGCGCACACGCATCGATGTTTACATGTGAACCGCTTCGTTAGGTTCATTACGCAGTCGATCGATCGTGCGTGTTATTTAAGTTCAACACATGTGTGTAACGAAAGATAGATAAGATCAGGGAATATTAACATCATGATTTTCTTCACATGTACTGATTTTCATTCTTATAGTTTCACAGGATAATATATTAATGACAAGAGCATGAACAATTTACTTAATCAAATTATCGAATTAATAAAGATGATTATATATGTTATACATTAATATTTGCAATATTCTACTTTCTTCCTTTAGTAAATAAAAATTTCAAATTATTACTTACGCAAAGAGAAAGGAGCGTATCTGTAGAAAAAATGAGAAAGAGAAAACTGAGTTTTCTCGTTCTTTAGTCTCGACATGCGAATTGAAATTGTCACAAGAGTATATTGACCTCGGTGTCATCGGGGCGGGTCGTAACACAAATTAGGAAACATGACTCCAGTTTGCACGCGTGTTTTAATTAAGCAATTGCTACATCCCATAGTGTGATGAGTCAGTCGGGGCAGTTACCTTCGTTTTCGCTGATATTTCGACGATCATAATCTAAAAAATTACTCTGATTTATTATACATTATAAAAGCTATCGTTTCATTATGTTATAATTTATTGAAATAGATCTAATTTACAGAATATTGATAATTTTAAAGTGATATAATAGGATATACATAGAATTAAAAAAATATTTAAAATCTGTTTCAATTCAGTAATTGCTATTGTTAGAATAGCAATTAATAAATAAAATATTCATATATAATAATGATAATCGAATAAAATATCAGGGAATTATTTTTGCAAATATAATAAAAAGCTCTCACATTCGACATTAATATAAAATGAGATTAAAAATTCCTCAGCTAGCACAAAATATATTTGCTCAACTAGAACACAGGTAAATATATTCATATGAATAGACTTAATGTGTTGGTTTTATTGCAAAGTCATAATTTAGGCGAATGTATTCGTATATGGACCGCGATAATGATTATCGCGACATATTATCAATTTATCACCGTTTCTATTCAGGCAGATCATTGCAACTGAAGAACTCGACCGGACAACGTGATGATAATGCACTCGATAAGAAATGCTAGCAGCAAGTTCCGTTAACCCCGGTGTATGAAGAACCCTTGCGAATAAATGTATCTTCCTTCAGGCAAATGAATTGATCGTGATACAGATAGAACATCTGTGTACCCATTGTAGAAATTGAAACGCGCAATGCTTTCCTCCAAGAATCACGTTTCTAAATTAAAACCATACATGGAATGTTATATTTTTAACTCTAAATTTTTTTTTATATCGCACACATTACTAAATTATTTATACAAATAAACGATAAAAATAGATTTACTCATACATGGACAATCTTTGCGTAGTAAAATCGTTGATATTAAAACAGGAATGAAACGGTCGTCTCATTTCATTGATATGCGATACGGCGTGTGTAACGATAGTCGTGGTGCCATACAATGACTGATGAATGCACCTGCGTTATCTTCTTTTCACAGTTTAAAAAATATGAATTACACCTTCGAACTTCCGGAGAACAGAAAGTTGAAATGGAGCTTTAACAAAAAAAAAAGAAATGAAGTTTTTACTTTACATACGTTTTTTTAAGAGATGTGAGAAAGAGAAATGCATATCAAGTTGCTACGTCAAGAGTAAAACATATAAATTAGTAATTTATAAATGATAAATTTTTGAAACAAATCATGTTTTTACTTTATAGAGAAAACGAAGATGGTGTCTCGAAATAGGCCGATTAAAATTACGACCGTCGGTGATGGCATGGTCGGAAAAACATGCATGCTTATCACGTATACGATGAAGGAATTCCCAACGGAATATGTACCTACCGTGTAAGTATTGTACCATAATATATAACGTCATAGTTTATAGCGACAGTTTTTGTGCTCCCTAACAGAATATCCTATAGATCTATATTTATTTTTATACACGCTTTCTTTCTTCACGTTGTGTATTGAAAATGTAATAGATTCTTTAACATATTCGGTTAATTTCGTAATTTCTCTTTCTCTAAACATCAATCGATTTATATCTTAAAATTTAAGTAATTTAATATACCTGTATTTTTTTGCAGTTTCGATAACTACGTCGATAACATATGTGTGGGTGGACAACAATTTGAAATGACATTATGGGATACAGCTGGCCAAGAAGATTACGAGCGACTTAGGCCATTATCGTATCCAAATGTACGTGATAAATCAAGTATAATTTTCAATGTTTTTAATGTTTTCAATTCAAGAAGATTAATCTTTTGATAAATTTGATCTTCTCAAAAAATTCTTTCTTCGAATGTACTGATGCACATACATTCGTGTAATTCTTCTCTATTGCAGACTGACTGTTTCTTGATCTGTTTTTCCATAAGCGCTCGTAGTTCTTTCGAAAATGTAGCGAGTAAATGGCATCCAGAACTCAAAGCGCACTGTCCCAATGTGCCGATTATACTCGTGGGTAAGTACATACACATAAAATAAAAGATTCTGCATGATATTATAAATCTTTCACTATAGTCTTTCAAATGTTCTCTCTCTCTCTCTCTCTCTCTCTCTCTCTCTCTCTCTCTCTCTCTCTCTCTTCCTCTATTAAAGATTTAAACATATATGTTTAAATCTTTAATAGAGAGAGAGAGAGAGATTTAATATTACGATTTAATATTAAAGATTTAAATATATATGTTTAAATCTTTAATATTAAATCGTAATATTAAATTTTTTAATTTTTATTATTATTACAAGATATATAAGAACATAAATATTTATACTATGAGGTGATATGCACGAAGGATACATAAGAACATAAGTATTTATACTTGAGGTAATATGCACAAAGGATATATAAGAACATAAGTATAAATACTTATGTTTTTATATATGTGATATGCACGAAGGATATATAAGAACATAAGTATTTATACTTATGTTCTTATATATCCTTCGTGCATATCATTTCATATACTAAACAAATTTATCTATATTAAAAGTTCACTAACAGCCACAACATCATTTTCAACATTATTTTTAATATTATTTTCTTATTAGGTACCAAATCAGATCTCAGGAATCAAGAAACTATGGATATTGTCAGTTCGCGAGACTGTAACAAAATGAGAAAAAAGATCAGGGCAATTAAATATGTCGAATGTTCCGCCATAAGGCAGGAAGGTCTCGAGGAAGTTTTTGTGGAAGCTATTAAAGCTGTACTGAAAAAACCTCGATCGAGAAAACTCTGCTGCATCCTTTGAAATGTCAAGCACTGAAATTAATGTAATTAGTTTCGAATTTTAGAGGTATAGTTATTAAGATATTAAACCAAAGATTTTCTCCACCTCTTCCCTTCATGTCTTTCCTGTACATTTCATATATTCCTAATCTTTCTTAAAACAGATTATTTTCTTTTTGTGTATAGACAAGGATTCTCTTATATTGTGTAAAATATATACATGTATATATATATATATATATATATATATATATATATATATACATATACATGTATGTATATATATATAAATTTAATTCTTTTTACTTAGCAAATGGAAAATATTTTATAAACTTCATATAAACTGTTACAAATATTTATCAGCATATCTTTCAATTGAATAAATTTATTATAAATGTATTACAATATATAACAGATGTAAAAAATCGAAAAGTGAATAGATAGAGATTTCTCCAAAATATAACAAATTCTTTATAAAAGTTTTTTATATTATAACAAACAATAACAATATACAAGAATTATATATCCCTACCCCATACAGAATACCTCCAGCCACATTTTACATGTTTTTGTTTAAAACTATAGTAATAGTATGAAAAGTCACAGCTTTGCTTTGTTAGTTTCCATAAGAGTCTTCAATTTTTGTGTAAGCATAATGTTTCCAGTTATTTTTAATTTTCCACGCATAAATGCTAATTGTGGATTTAATTTACCTAATGCCTATAACATACAATCATTACTGTTAGTAAAAAGAAAAGAAAAGAAAAAAAAAAAGAATTACATTATATTTCTGTTATCATACAACTAACTTACAATTTCAATCATATCTGTATCTTCTACAGTAAGTGTTGCATCTGCTTTTCCAGATTTAGGTTTTCCTTTATGCACTTCTGCATTTTTTAAATCAAGAGCTATGACAAGAATTATTTATATAGAATAGATAATTAATATTAATTATCTCTATTATTACTAATACCATAATTAAAAAGATATGGAACGTAAATATGACGCCTTTGTCTAAATCTGATTGATTAAAAACTTTTGAAATTACTTACTCCATTCGGATACTGGTTTCCCGCCGACAGTAATATTATATAAAAAGACTGCGTTCACCTTTTTAGCTTGATCCGGATTTAATTTTACTTGTTCACCGATAGTTGTAAATATGGCATCACTCTGCACATTTTCTTTTCCAGAACATGGATTTGCTCGAGGTATTTCCGTTTTAACATCTAACAGATCAATGTAAGCGCCTGAAAAATAAAATATTATGTTTTTATTATCTACTCTACTTTCCCAAAAATAATAAAGATTATTCAAATAATAGAAAAAGAATATTTTACATATATTATAATTTTAATTCTGATATGTCTGATTATATATAAATGAATTTGAAGATAGTATTACAATTTTCTATTAAACTTTAAAATCTTTCAAAACATTTAAAATGATGTATTTCAAATAAGTATATCATTTCCTATCATTTTATAATATAATATTTTCAATTTTATAATTTTTATTGTATAATATAGTATTTTAAATATAGAAATGCTATATTTTTTTACAGACAGAAAAACAATTACACAATTTATAATGTATACGTATGTGAAGAGATGTGTATATTTATAACATAAAAAAAATATATAATTTTATAAATTTTATGGAAAATGACTAACCTGTTATAACCGGTATATTGGTCTCGACGAGAGATGTTTGGAAGTGTATTCTGTTACCGTTACGCCACATATCAGTGCGTAAAGTCTGGCCTGGCAAAACTGGCTTTGCAAATCTCACCTAGAATTATAATATATTATGTAAATGGAAATATTCTAGAGATATTTATTCAAAATTCAAGATTCTATTCACAAGATATGTTAAAATCCCATATATATAAATTAAAAAACATAAAATGATATAACTATAATAATTAAGATTGATAATTATCGCATTTAAGAATACTGTTATAACAAATAATATACACAATTGCACAAATTCCATGTAAGCGAAATAAATAAATACATATATTGTAATTATATCTGTTATATATTAAACAAACATACTTAATTATTCAAAATCAATAAAGCTCAATATCATACATATAATTATTAGAACAAAGAAATAGTATTTTACTTTTGCAAAAGTTAGAATAATTTTTCTAAGTCTCCTCCATATAATTTTTTACATACTTTAATTAAAATATTTTGTGCTTTACTTTTTTCTTCTTTTCTTTAATTATCTATAATTGATACTGACTTTACATTAATAAATACAAGTATTAATTAAACAACTCCTTCATCATATATGTGCTTAATACTGAGTGCCACATCACACTTCACTTATCTATAACGCTCGTTATCGCAATACTGTTATCTCTTGCGTAAATATCGGGGTCGCATTTTATGTATATTATTATGAGATAATTAAGATGTAAATTAATACAATATAATAAGCTCTTATAAATAAAATTTATTTTCCTGCACATAAAAGTTTGGCATTAAAATAAATTTTATTTATAAGAGCTTATTATATTGTATTAATTTACATCTTAATTATCTCATAATAATACAAGATTTATATATATATATATATATATATATATATATATATATATAATCAAATATATAAATATAAATATAAATATAAATTTATAAATATAAATATATATATATATATATATATAATCTTGTTTTTTAATTTTCATAAAGTAATTAATTGTTGTTAAGTTTGTTTCTATTCTAAAAATTTGTCTTAACATAAATATTTTCTTCTAAATTATTTAAGTTTGAATTTTAAATTTTCTTCATAAAATAATCTTAAAACAAAAGTACAGGATATTTCTATATAGGTAGCTGGAATAATTTTATTTTTTTAAATTTTAAGTTTGCAACACATGTTGCATGTGTGTTGTTATTTAAATCAAACAAAAAATAGTCTCTTCTCCATTTGCATTATCAAAATATCTGGTTCGTTTTATTGTATCTCAAACTATAAAATTTATTATATAATTTATGAAATACTTGATAAATATTTTTTATAAATATTATTTTATAAATATTTTCTCTTTAATGATAAACGCATACCTTAATGGCTTTGAATAAATATGGATCTCCGGCAGCATAAGTTTGAAGAACATGACGGGTAGAGAATCCCAATGAACACAATCCGTGTAATATTGGTCTTTTGAAACCTGCCATCGCCGCCACATTAGCGTCCATATGTAGAGGATTATAATCTCCGTTCAATCTGTACAAAGCAGCCTGAAAAAGCAATAAATATCATCATACATTTATGTGCAGTATCAATTGTAGAAAATTAAGTGAAAGAAAGAGAAAAAGAAAAATAAAATATCTTTTATCATAAAAAAATAAATTAATTAATTAAATAATTTGAAATTTGATTCAAATAGTTAGAAATCAAATCGAAATTAGCAAATAAGAGTCACATATAAAGCAAACGTTTCGGATTATCTTTGATCCTTTTTCAGCGTGATGTTAACAATATATATATTACAAATTATTATGATATATTAAATTGTAAAAATTGTTCCACTTTCGATGCGTAAATGACATTAAGTTGTCCCGCGAAGATCTGGTAAGGGCATTGTTTTCAATAGTTCTTGAAGAATGATCCGAAACGTTCGCTTTTTATTAATGTAATTATTTTTATTTTTAAATAAACGAATAATCAGAAAGAAAGAAATTGCTTCTTTGCACACCAACTATCCCGCTATAACTCTCATTTGGCAATTTCGATTTAATTTCTCTAAATAAATAAATATTATTATATATTTATATTATTATTGTGTACCTCAATTTAATATACATAGACATTTAAATATTTCAGTGATGTTTTAACATGCAAAAAAATTCGGAATATTATTCGATCTTAACGAGACATATATATGTAATATAAAGTTATATATGTAATATATGTAATATAAAGTTATATATGTTATATATGTAATAATGATAAGTCTAAAATTTAATTTTCAAGATCATGTTTTTTTAAAATGTATTTTCTAAAATATTGTTTAAAAAAATTCTAATTTGTATGCAAAAATATATTTATATAACATATCTCTTTTTTATACCTGGTCAACGTTAGTCTGCTGTATAACTGTTACATCCGGTTTTCGACCAGGAGGATCAACAGTCGAAGTGGCATGAGTCGATGTCCGTTTTCCTTGAAAACCACCTGCTCCGATGATGTATATCGATATCTGTCCAGTTGATAGCTTCTCCTCATTTGCTACATTGTAAGTGTCATCTAAAAGAATACAAAATATATATTTAATGTTGATTAAAAACATACATTATTACAAATATTTCGCACAATATACATACATATATATTTAAATATTTTTATATTAATGATATTATTACAATTGTATTATAAATGATCTGTTAGTCTATTAGATCTGTTAATATCATAGGAAAGGTTCACACTGATAACAAAATTTTACTTACGTTGAATTATGACAACAGCACCTTTTCCTTTATCCAAGATATCCTGAATCTTGAAGCGCGTCTCTACTGTAGCTTCTGTAGGCAACTGTTTACAAACTTCTAGATATTGCTCGCCATGAAGTATCTGCAAATATAGCATAAAGTAGCAATATCTTAAATAAACATACAAATTTAGAAACTAAAACCAAATAAAACTATAAATAAATTAATATACTAAATATAAACATTAAAAAACTAAAAATAAGTAACAAATATCAATCTAATCATACTCGTGTTGGATCAATTTGTGTATTTGGCAGAGCGTCCTGTAGTATAGAAGAGGACATGCATCCCATGGGTGCGTAGGAGATGTAAAAAGTAGGCAAAACGGCGAATCCGTCAGCATTCTCATACAAATAACGGATATTGCTTGGTTCCTGAACTGTAGCTCCGACTGAAATATAAAATCTGATAAGTTTATATAAGTGAAATGGATTTATTGTACATTTGGTCTGCTTAATGTACCTCCGAGAGCGTATAATATAACATCACGGTAGTTGTAATTACTCCTCAGGACATGATCTGTCTGCAGGCAACAGGAATAATATAAATTAAAAAAACATGTATAATTAACCAAAGAAAAAAAATATTTATAGAGCATAGCTTACTTTATTTGAAGAAGTTTCATTTTTCAAGTTTTCGATAAGACCAAAAAATTCTCCTGTTACATCCTAAAAAGATTGCCAAGATTGTAAGAAAATATCAAATCAAGTATATATACAGGATGTATCAAAATTCGCGAATGCGGAATGAACAGCGTGATAGTTCGTGAAACAAAGCAAAAGAAACAACTTTTCCCTTTGGCAAAATTGGATCTAAATATTACTTTTACGTGTATTCTGGTACACTCTGATATAAAAAAAAACTTTTTTACCTGAATCGAATCGAATCGCTTTGCCGATGTCATATCGATTACTTTGGACCAATTTTCTTGTACATTTTCTGGTGTAACACTAGCTGATAAATTTTGCCGCAAGACACATCCTGAAGAACGAACTAAGTGACCTATAAATTCGATAATTTTTTATAACTAATTCTACAATATTTCTTCCAATTTAATATAAAAATGTAATATTTTGAAACTTAGAAAGAAACTGAAATAAATGTATTTGAAATAAAAACTTATTTCAAATACTTAACCATAAAAGATTTGAAAATCAATTATTCATGAAAAAAATTTTATTTGTCTTTACTGCAAAAGTTAATATCTAAGAAACTACAAAAAATATGATGCTTATTATCAATTATTTTTTAATATTTTAAAAAACTTATGATTTAACTAATTATTGCTCTTTTAAATTAATAAATAAGTTTCTTTAAATACAATAATCTCTGTTAAAATAAATTAGTTAGAGATATAAAATTTAACAATTAAACAACTCACATTTGCCAGCCCAACCTAATGCTGTTTCGATTATAGAACCGTTTTCTATACAATTCTCGTGGCACAACCAAAAAACAACCGGTGCTATCAATTCAGGCTTCAATTGATCATGAAAATCTGCGAAATGTTAAATAGTTTTTCTATTTTACTTTGATGTTTAGCAAAGTATTCAGTGTTATTGAAAAATCGTAAGTTTTTTCTTAATCAAATAATATTATTTATTTCACTCATCAATGTATTGAAATTGATAAAAAAGACATAGAGAATATTCAAATAAAGTGGCACAAGAATATATAAAAAAAGCCAATAATTCACCTGGTGGAAGCAAATCTTCCGTTAAACGTGAGCCAGCCGTAGGCACTATTACATTAGTGTAAATATTCTTTTTTGCACCTTCAATGGCCAATGTATTGGCTAATCCTACAAGACCCAATTTCGCCGAGCTGTAATTAGTTTGTCCAAAGTTCCCGTACAGACCGCTGTTGCTCGAAGTTAAAATTATACGGCCATACTTCTGTTTAATAAAATACGGCCACGCTGCTTGCGTTGTTTTCATAGAACCTTTAAGATGGACATTGTGTATCGTATCTGAAAATAAATAAATATACATAAATTTACACAATTACATAATGTATAAAAGATGTATATTGTATTTTTTCTTGCATATATACCCCATTGTGCTTCCGTCATCTTCATGAATGATACATCCCTCAGAATACCGGCGTTATTAACAACGACATCGATGCGACCGAATGTTTCGATTGCCGTCTTAATAATTTTTGCACCATCCAGCACGGAATCGTAATTTGCGATAGCTTTCCCTCCTAAAGAATTATTGTTTTTACTTATCCTGTTGTTATTTTTAATAGTAGAAAATTAAGTAAAGGTTAATTATATGTAAAATGTTATAAAAAAATATCAAATATTATCTGAGGAAGATTATTTTTTAAACAAAGAGAATCACAATTTTATAAAAATTTAAAATTTGTACATTTATTTAGGTAATTTTTTAGAATATTAAATTTTTTAAATTCTTTCAAGTAAATCAACAAACTTTGTATCTGTTCTACTAAAATAGCTCAATTACAAAGCGGATACATGTGCAAATAGCGGATACATGTGCAAATTTTTTGTTAATTCATAGATATAATTATTTCATTATAATTATTTCAATATTTAGCATAAAATTTATGTACAAGATAATTTATGGATAAATGACTATTAGAACTGACCTTATTTTTATAAATAGTAAATATACATGAAATTTTTAAATACTGGACACACAAATAAATCTTAATTTTATTACACCTTATGTCTTTAATATTTCTTTATTTTATTAATAAAATAAATATTTGCAGATTTTTTATTGAATACTTGTAATATTCAGTAAATTAATGAAATTTTAAAAAATCTATGAGCTTCTTTTATGCATTGCAAATACTTATTTAGGTTTATTTTGTTAACAAAATAAATAAATATTAAAGACATAAGGTGTTATCTTAATGAAATTAGGATTTATTCACGTATCCAGTATTTAAGAATTCCATTAAAGTCTATGATATAAATCCAACAAAGAGAGTTAAAAATTTTAATATTTTTATAAAAATTTTGTACAGAGAACCATGAGAAAATTAGACTATAAGTTCATATATTATTAATTTGATATTATAATTTAATATATATTATTAATTTGATTTAAATAAGATGTAATTCATATAATTAATTCAATTCACACTAACCACTTTGCCGAATCTCTTGAACTACAGCATCCGCGCTTGCAGTGCTACTTCCATCTCCATGTCTGTTGCTTCCTAAATCGTTCACAACTACACTGGCTCCTCTGGATGCAAACAATAATGCATAAGCTCGTCCCAATCCTAAAATATTAATTAAATTAATTTCAATATATGAATATGCAATGCAACATAGCACATACAAATGTCAATGCATATCAAACAATTCACACTTTCATATTCAGAATTATTTTTCTTGAAAATTATATAAATAATTAGAAAGCATTTATATTTCTATTTGTTTCTTTATAAGAATTTTTTCTTTTTATTAAGAATTTTTTTCTTATCCTAGATAGATTTATAGAGTATAAAAATAGTAAAATAAATTAGTAAAATATAATCAAAGATAAATAAAACTTAATTTTACATATAGTGTCAAATGGAGGGAAATTTTTGGAGAATAGATATTTAAAAAATAAAAAAAATTTACCTGCGCCTGCTCCAGTTACTACAACCACTCGACCATCGTAGCGCAGCTGTTCCGGCATTTTTGACGTTTAAATGAAGTGATATTCACTGTAAAATTTGGCAACTGATAAGAGACTTCAGCTCAAGTTTGAGGCTTTTAAATGACTGCTCCCTTCTAAAAAAAATGATATTCGTAATGAGAAAGCAGAATTGACATCACTTGTGTTCAAAGTTCATCTTATGTTGATTTTAATGGCTGCGTCAGCAGACTAAACAGTTGGGCAACATTATTAAATTTTCCGATACAGTTCGACGCTGATTGGTCGGACTTAAAAGTAGAAACCAATCATATTCGATTACTTACTTCGCGGTTGAGTCTGTTGAATGGGCCAATGTAATATCACCTATTAATTTCACATTGCAATTATCACAGGTCATTCCATACATCAGTTATAGATAAGATAGGTATATATTGCATCTCAAATTTCAGGTAACATTCCGCGCTTTTATCCACGGTGTATATACATTCGAGAAAAGATTGAAACATCTTTTTTTAGAATTTTGGAACTGCGTCAAAATCGAAATATGAAAAATATCCCGATGGTTCTGGACGTGTTCCAGGGACTTTTAGCTAGTAATATATTTCTCCCTATCGCATCCAGTGATGTCACCCTAGATAATCAAACCAAAAATTCCCTAAATTGTCATTATATCTAGAAACACTACACATGCGCGCTGATACATTTCACTCTGGGACACTTCCGCAATAGGACATCTCGCATCTAGATATTCGTGCATTATGACCGAAGATAAAAAAGAATGCAAAATGCTACGTAACGATAAAAACGGATAATTTTCTTCACGAGATTGTCGATCACACACTAACTCGCAAATATTCCTGCCGAATACTTTGCTGAATTACTGTAATTTTTGTAATTCTTTCGTCGGGTTGCCATGACACGCAATCGATTTCCTGACATATGTCGGACATCTTACTTCTACGCCTATGTATGACCGGTAGTCTGATCGTAATAGATAAGAGTTGCGAGGCAGGAAAGAGGGAACTTCCGATATACGTATAGGGTGATATGCCTCGATTTGCGTCAACGTTATCCGTAGGAAAAGAAGAATGTGGGTCGAGTAAAAGTTGCATCGAGGAAAAGATACCTCTTGGTCGAGCTTCGATAGTTCTCGAAAAATGTATCACTTTACGATGACAGGAAATATCTCGTAGTGTCTAATCTTTGATGACCTCGACATTTTTACGCATATAACGAGGAAGACTAGAAAAATCACATAAGAGAAAATCATATACGATTCCGCCCAAAACGATAAGAAGCCATTCGTAAAGATGAAAATTTACGTGCTCTAATAAAAAGAGCGATCCCATTTGGAACAATGCCGACTTATAACGCGTCAACACCATACAAATTTGTTGCTCGACCCATTTTCCTCTACGATAATATTGATGCAAATCAAGGTGCTGTAATTCCAAGTACCTTACCCTATATATCGGTCGGTTCATCGGCGTGAACACTGATGGGCACTGTAATCTCGGAGGCATACATTACGCTCTCTCGTGACATACGATATACGATGAGTCATCACTCTTCGTCTGACATTTAAAACGTAGGTGAAAAAAAAATCGTTAAACAGAATTAACCGATTATTTACACCTGTACTTAGCGCTTTAGATTTAGACGCTAGATAACGATCGATAATGGATCTTATTTACTCGACGCGATAATCTGTCGTATTTGACGCAAGGGCGAGGCCGACCGTCGAATTTAACGCTGAAATTTAGCGAGACGAGAGATCGAGATTTTCGGTTCGGTAATTTCGTGGAAATTCGTTGCCGCCTCGTGATACGCCACGACCAACGCAACGGATCCCTGCCATTCGTGCGTCGCCTCACGTCGAGCAGCGCGAGCAGCGCCAAGCGCACGTCGAGCGCGAACCGACGCGAACACAGCCGAGAGCGCTAATGGGCGAGGTGGGAGGGGAGCGCGTTTCGGTTGCAAAGTTCGGCTAACGAGAGCGGGGCGAGGGGCGCGAAGAAACGTGGGCGCGGGGAGCGAGAGGGGGTCCGTCTCGGCCGCGCTCGGCCGTCCTCGGCCGGCCACGAGCGTTCCCAGATGGCGCTTCGGCCGTCGCGACGGGGTGGGGGTAGGGACGATGCATGGGCCGCGACTAGGAGGCACTCGGGAGGCAGGGAGGGCATGCGAACGACGGTGGAGCGCACAGTTCGGTAGTCGCCATTTGCGAGTTCCCTCGTGTCTCTCGCGCATTCGCGACACTCCGTTGAATACTCGCGTGGAGCCTGGACTCTAATCCTCCGTTTAACATTAATATAATATACCCCCGTCGTGGGCCCCCATGCGCGATACCCCGATGCAGAGATATTGCAGCGAGCTCACCGAAAAATTGTTGAAATCACTTGACAAGGAATACAATGTAAGTAAGGCGGAGTGTGGTGTGTCGCGGCGAGATGCACCGCGCCGTCTCCGTGTCCGTACGCGCAAACGGCTATCGGGCCACTCTCGATCCCCCGTGCGCGGTCTTGCTGCTGCCTGTACCAGTGACGTGCGCGAGTGCCCGCTACGTGCCCATGTGTGCGTGTGGTAGCGTGGCGGCCGCGACGGCCGCGCGTGTATGAGTGCCGCCGCCGCCGCCGCGGCCGCGGCCACAGCCACAGCTGCGGCCGTCCTCGTCGCCGTCACCGTCGTCTTCGTCCTCGTTGCGTCCCTGTCGTTGCGCTGCCGCGCGCGTTATATATGACGGATACGACGATAATCCGCCCGTTACGTATGACACCCTCCCTCCCCCCGTCTCTTTCTCCGCTCGCTCCCCCGTTCGCTCGCACACTTGCTCGCGCGCCGCCGAGTGTACGTGCAGGTGGAGAAAGCGAGAGAGCGAGAGGGTGAGGAAAAGGACACTAGAGAACGTATGTAACGTATGTGAGACCCGCGCGTTCTCAATTACCTGGGTACATAACCTCAATGTCCAGGCGATGCGATCGCCTCGGTGAACCCTCCCTCGCGAACGTTCCTCGTAAACGTATTCTCGATGGTGCGTTGTACGTTTTCTTTTTCCTCGTTTTAGGTCGCGGAAATTGTACGAATCGCGTAAAGTCTGTCCATCGCGTTGGCCGTTGATTCGAGATTGACTTTCGCGTATCCGTTTTTCGATCGTCTCGATTTCCTGAAATACATATGACATTCTTGGCGAGGAGCGATTTGTCGCTTCCATCGACGACGATCGAGACGTGGTCTCCGTCAGAAATTTTCCTCCCTTGCTTTCCATTCCTCGACGGAGACAGCCATGCTGCTCACGGGACTGTCCAAGTTTCGTCCGCGTTTTACGTTTTCGAGACGTACACGTGTACAGAACGTTCTCGCGCTGGTCCGTGCACTTTGAAAGTTCGTTCTGATAATCCTCGAAACGTTCGCTGCAAGAAACTTTATTTCTGTCGTAAAACATCGTTGCCCAGCGCAGATTTGCCATTTGATAAACCGTGACGCAATCTTCGTGCGATCGGAAATTTTGATTAAATCGTCGATTGAATTTCTTGACAAACATCTACAATTCTGCAAAAATCTATGTATGTTATTTTGCAAGAGACAAAAAACATGTGTATATACACATATATACATATATGTATATACATACTATACACACTATACACACACACACATACACATATATACACACATGTAATATATACGTATCATGTAAACTTTTTGTTAAAATTTTCTAAAATATGCATCCCTTCTACACCGAAATTTAATCTTTAATTTTCATACATTTGTCATTGAAATAAACGTATGTCAAAAATATTAATTACACATCTCCATTCCAGGTCGTCGATATGCGAACTGTTGTGGATGTCATTACGGCATTGGAAAAGACGACAATCACTAAAGAAGTGTTGGAGGTAATAATTTAATTAGTTGTATGTACTTTCTCATAATGTATTGTGCAGTATATAATTATCAACTATATAAAAACATTTTTTTCATTTCATTTTATATATTCATTATTCTAATTTATATAGTTTTATACCATTAATATATATGAAAATATGAGTACAAGTATATAAATATGATGTAACAAAAATATTTGTAAAAAATAGAAAGTTTTATTATGTTATTATTTTAATCCAATATAATATTATTATTATGGTATTATTTTAATCCAATATAAAGTGATACTGCTAATACATATTAAATGCTAGATATTTTTTATAATGCATAATATTTAGGACAATTAAATTCCAAACGTTAATACATAAACATATTTGTCCAATTTTTTTGCAAATTTATTGATATAATTATAATAAATAAAATCTTTAAAAAAATTTGCATATTAAATATAATTATATAATTAACTGTAATATATCGATAAAAATATTGTCCACTTTTGCAATAATGAATTATAAATTACTATAAAAAATATTTTTATAATGAAATAGATGAAATATTTAAGTGATTAAACAAATTATTTATTTTTTTATAATAATAATTATTATACATATCTTTCAACTATCAAGTTTATTTAATTTAATCTTACCCTTAGTAGCAAATTTCTGCTAAATAGTAATATTGGAAGAGCAATAATACTATAATGATGATATAACAATAATTAAACTAAAGGAACAACTTTTGATAGATTACAAGGCTTGGAAAACACATCAATGAGCTTCGTCGAAAGACAAGTAATGAAACCTTGGCCAAGCGTGCAAAGGATTTGGTACGACACTGGCGAGACATGGTTTTACCATCGGTGCATTCTACACCACAGCCCACCCTGGCTGATACTGCACCGCCAGCTCTCAATGGCGCAAAGGAAGTAGCCTTGAGGAACTTCAAACCACAGAGTCCTGCGTTACGAGGATTACTTAAGCCTCACAGTCCTTTATTAAAAGATGCCACTCCTCTCAGAGTGAGTTTTTTTCTTTTTTTACAATAAAACTATACTTATATAATTTTTTACTTTTTGGTTTTAAATGTTATCTTGGATAATAGATCATTTAATATATCATATATGTATATGTATATACATAGACTTTCAATATCAATATGCTTGTAAATATTTACAATTATTGACATATGTCATTGTATAAAATTAATAATTTATTAGTTAATGTAGAATTGTATTATTTGTTTACTATGAAATGATATTAATTTTGTATAAATACATATACAGGGTGTAACAAAAAAGATTGGGACACTAGATTATCTCGAAAAGTATGAGTTTTACAAAAAAAAAATGTTTCATATAAAAGTTGTAAGGCTTGAAATGATATATTTACTGATCTTATCAGTTCAAACTGATAAGATAAGATCAGATAAGATAAGATCTTATTTTTCAGATAAGATAAAATTTTATCAGTTCAAACTGATAAGATCAGTAAATAGATCATTTACAACTTTTATCTGAAACATTTTTTTGTACAACTTATATTTTTCGAGATCCGGTGTCCTGATCTTTTTGTTACACTCTGTATATATACACACACATCATATGTAACATTCATGAGAATTTTGTATAATTTATATTTATGAAAAAGTACTTTAATTTCAATATTTAATTTTGCTAATCCCACGTAAAGATTTTGTAAGATATTAATAAATTATTTTAAGTTTTTAACAAAATAATATACATATATGGTATTTACAATTGACTAAGTTGATTTGCCATAAATATAAAATATATACTCTTTATATCCAAGTGAAAAAGTATTGATTGTAGTAAAGGACGAATTTATAATTATAGGTACTCAGTCCGGCGCTATCCATGCACAGCGATCATTCGCGATCTCCCAACGCATCAACAAATAGCAAACAGTCAATTACACCGACCAGCAATCACAGGATAAGTTCCTGCTCGAGGAATGCCTCGCCAGTGCTCAGTTCCTCGAGCCAGAATCACACAATAGAAGCAGTACCGCGTACACACAGTTCTAATAAACGGTTACGGAAAGAGGAAAGCGGTAAGGAGCAACATCAATGCTATCAATCGCCACACGGAATTGAGCCGATGGTAGAGCAAGTCCCTGCCAAAAATCAACGGCTCAATGGCGAGAATATAAGTGGTAATTTAAATTCGCAAGTGCCTAGCCCCACGCTGAAGGAACGAATCTCCTCCTCTTTTACGGAGACCGATTCTCTTGAGGTAACGGACGATAATCCAGGTCCGAAGAAACGCGGCCGAAAAAAGGGCAGCAAGTCGGCGAAGCGACAACCGTTCCTTGAGGACAGCGTGAAAAAGAAGCTGGCCAGTATCTCAAGGACTCCAAAATTGAAGACCACGCAGGAGATAGTGGCTCAGCTGCAAGCGGGTCGAAGCAACTGTAGCCCCGGTAATACGAATGCCCTACCTAGTCAAAGCGTCGTGGAACCACCTAATACGGAGGACGTTCTGCGAAGCAGCAGCAACGATCAAGTGTCTAAATATTGTTCGAGCCAAAATCTTCACAGGAGTCTTGCCTCCTCGGAAACGTCATCCACTGGTAAAACACAGACGACACGATTCGCAGAAAACTGGCCCGAGGCATGCCAAGACCGATTGCGCGAAGACGATAAATCTACAGGCATCGATCAGTCATCGACGTGTCGGTCACCGTCGCATCGAGATCTCACGGTCGAAGAGATACTGGCCAAGTTACCGCCCTTAGATCCCAGTTCGATAGACTGGGGTGAAGATGAAGAACAGAACTATATCGAATGTTCACCACCACCACGGAATGCTACCGCCGAAGATCTTGAAAGGTTACATACGCAAAGTATCGAAGGACTTAATGGCAACTTTCAGCTCTCATCAATGACCGCTTGTCGTTCCGATGGTGACGAGCACTCGAACGCCAGAGACGAAGAAAATAAAGTGTCGTCTGGACTATCGAACGTGGATAGCGTAAAAAGTGTGCATAACAACCAGACTGATAGTGCGGAATTTCGGGAGTGGCATCAGATGCTGGCAAGGTCCAGTTACCAGGGCGAGATCCTCAACATAATGCCTTATGTTATTATCGATTAGTGATTTTATCATCGTATTCTCTATTATTATTCTTCCCCTGAAAAAAAAAGAAAGAATTGTGAAGAGAATTTACAGATGATTAAAAACGACCGATCGGTCAAAAATCAATCGGTCGGTTGATTTATTAAAATTAACAATTTCTATAATTGCGGTTTTTGAGATTGTGCTGTTTATTTCTATTTACGCCGAAGCGTCTATACCGCCATTCTTCCCCTGTCATTATCATTCCCCCGTTGTTATATAGTTATTATCTCGCTGATCGAACATGTGCAACCGCGCGCGGCGAGTGGCCATTCTTCGTATCGTCATCATCGTTATCAACATCAAAACGTCATTATTATTATATATTAATATATTAATATTAATATTATAATTAATATAATATTAATATTATTTTTATCATTTTTAATATTATTATTGTTATTAATACTATATTGTCAATTATTATTACTATTTCTGCTTCTATTCCTCCTCTCTTAGTTTCATAATTTTTATTATCACTATCATTTTCATTATCTTCATTATTGATATCATTATCCTAACAATCGAGAAATTCAGAGATCACTATATGAAAAAAACAAAATCAGTGCTGAATTATAAATATCAGAGCAAAAACACTTGTGCAATTGATTTTATAATTGCACTGCATGGGATGAATTGTTGGATATGTGAGATATAAATTATGTAGATATGAAATAGTTGATATCGCGAAACGACAGTGCTGCTTATTATTATTATTATTATTATTATTATATGATAATAATAATAATATTTTTACACAATAATAAAATAGAAATGTCGACATTGCTCGACTTTTCATCTTTGAGTACCAATAGTATAATAATATGGCAATGGCTCGCTTTTCACGTATTTTGTGATAATTTTGAGGAAGAACAGAAAGCGTTAAATGACGTGCGTTTTGTGCCCTACACGCGAAAAAATTGATTTATAATCTTTTTTTTTCATTGCATGCTGTATAAAATTTATATTTCAAACAATTAATCTTAAATTCGAGGAAGAGAAATGGGAGATAAAAAAATGAATGCAAGCATTACTTTTGAAAAGTGGGAAGACATGCAAGTAACACATATAACACATAATGCATAAATCAGATTACTGTCAGTTTTAAATTATTTTTGAAGTATTTTACAAGACTGTGCATGGACTCTTCGCGCGAATGTAGAGAGCAACTCGACTTCTTCGAGCTAAGTTAGGTACAACGGTGCCTTAATTGAGCAAAAAAGAAAGATATATTTGTCTAATCGTGTCATAGAGATTTTCTACTCAAAATTTTTTCTTATCATTTCGTGCGCAATTTACGATAAATGTGTTGAAAATCACATTATAGACAATCGCGTGACAATTACGATGCGATATGTAATTTCTTTGTAAGTGCAATATCGGACAAAATTCAAGTTTAATGATATACAAGATGTGTCCAAAACGTTGCAGAGAGCTGAGTGAATTAAACAAAATAAAGAAGAATTATAAAGAAATGTCGAAAAAGATATGTGTCTGGCTTGTCTCCCTCGAAGTGATTCCTATCGAGCTCAATGTTATGATAAGACATCTAGTCCAGTAATTGAGAACGTTGTTTTGTAGAGTTGCGTTCAATACATTTGTTAAGATTACTTGCTTTGGGCAAAAACAATAAGTTGTTTAATTCAGCCAATCCTCTCATCCTCGTCATCCTTCAAAACTCAAATTTCTTTTTATCCTGGAATTGAAATTATAATCGTTAGGAAGAAATTTAAAATTATTAATCTCTTTTTTTTAAAGAGTATAATAAATGAAAACTCTGACAGAAACAAGAATTTGAAATGTTTCAAATAACAGATGTAATCATATCAATATTATATAAGTTATCCATCGTTCAAACCTATATTTGAAGGGCTTTGAAAGTGGCAAGAGAGAGAGAGAGAGGAGAGAGAAAGCTACAAATTTCTTTTAACTTTATTTCATGATAATCCATTCAGTTTCTTCAGAAACTTTTTCGACGTCTCTTGTATATTTTATGCGAAATAAATCAATTAAATACTCTCATTCATCAGAATATCACGTTCATTGTTCCGCGATGTAATCTTTTTTGTCGTTTCCCTGAAAATTTAAAGAGATTTTAATGTTATTGTATCCTATGCGTGTGCGATAAAATTGTAAAAAGTTATAAGATTTGTCTCTATGCGCTTTTGTATCATTTTTTAAGGAATTATTTTCTAATTATTTATTCCAATCATTTTTACATTCTTTAAATTCGCAAAAGAGTTCTAGCGTTTATGACTAAATTAATAAATTATGCCTCGAAACGTTAAACAATTGTAATGTTGACATTCAGATTTTTATTGATGCATTGTACTCTATCATTGCTTCGCGATTAAAGAAAAAGAAAATAATGCAATTGCGGAAACGTCCCGTTTTCGAAATTGCTTTGCGTGACTAATACTTTACTCATACCGCGCGCGTGTTGTATGTAAATACATACTCGCATCTCTCTTCAGAATATCCCAAAATTGAAGAAAAAAAATATGAATATACATGGCAATTTTATTATTGAAAAAATTTGGAGTCGCTTTCTCTCGACAAAATATTGGAGGTACTAACAGTTATCAAGTTAATAAAAATGCACGGCTTTTCAGAAATCAAGGTGCAAATATAAATGAGAGAAATATTATTCTTCGTTTAGACTTTATCTCAAAAATATTTTAAGGTTTTCTTAATAAAATATCAACTGATGAAAATTTGTCTTTTTTTTGTAAATTTTCGAATGTTCATGTAAATTTCGAATGTGCATGTAAATTAATTAAATGTCTCTAAACATGACAAGACAAGACACTGACAAGATAAACATGACGAGACAAATTGATATTTTAAACGCAAATGTCTCTATAATTTATTTATACAATGTTTAAACTGTGCTTATGTAAATTAAGTTTATTGCACGGCGATTATCTCGCATGTTAATCGCAATGTTGTTTAATGCATTTGATGTACGCCAGCTGTTTACTACAATTTGTTTGTGGTTCGTTCGACTTTTATCTTTATTTCAAGCTTTAAAAGAATAAAAGAAAAAAGGAACATTTTAATATAAAGAAATAGAATTTTCATCAAGCAAATTTCTATCAAGAGAAAATAAAAATTAAGCGACACAAGAATAAAAATCCATAATCAAGTATATGATCAGTCGCGCGTTTTATATTCATCGGGATAATTGTTCCTTTCGTCGCGTAATGTCACCAAGACTGTCGCCAAGAATTTATATCAATCGAGGTCGCGCGGAACAATTCGGGGTCGTTTCGATGATACATATGTTACAAAGCACGCGCTACTTTCAATAATTCTGTCGGTCGCTTTGATCTTTTGTAATTTCTTCTCGAGGGAGAAAGAGAGAAGAAGGACTCGAGACTCTTCCCTCCTACCCCTTTCAAATCTTAGCGCCTCGCACGGATGTCTTCCGAACTGCCTCCGCTCGCGCCTCGTTGAAACCCGTCCATAAAAAGTTCGCGAGTCTCGGCCGCGAGATCTCGTACTCTCGAGTCTCTCGAGGCTGCTCGAGGCTCGCCGAGGGAAGGGGGGAATCTCAGCCTTGGCTTTTAGCGACTCCGCGGAAAAACGTCCGTGACAGCCCACGCGACGTGGGTATCACATATACGTACGCACACACATACACACGCGCGCGCGTACGTATACGTTCTCGTTTTGAAGACGAAGACGACGACGGCGGCTACGCTACTCCCCATTATCGGCGCGCCGTCAGTCACAACACGCTTTCGCGCGAGATGAGCATTTAATCGCGCGTGCGGCGCCAGCGCGAGAGGCTCACGCATACAGAGGCTCTGATAAATCCGAGGCGAGAGGGAAGATGTCGAAAGCCCCTGACAGACAGAGCTACGCGCAAACTTACAAGCTCGTCGTCGTCGGTGGTGGTGGTGTCGGGAAATCGGCGATCACGATACAATTCATTCAAGTAAGTACAGCGTCCGATGTCGTGCTTGTTTCTCACTGCTAACTGGGAGTATCTTATTGTATACGTCGTGCGACAATCGAGTGTCACAGATACGTCGATTACGAGAAACGGAGTTTGTTTTTTTTCTCTCGTAAGTTTCTTCCTCGTATTCCTTAATTTCTTTCTTATCGAGACGCAATTTTGTTCCTCCGAGTCTTCCGAGTTTTCTTCGACTCGCTCATCGGCCAGTTTGATATTTTTTTCAAATTTCGATTCCTGGAACAGATAAGCGCGAATGACATAATTGTAAAAGTCTCGAGCGAGGTTTATCGTTTTTTATCGTGTAGCGTGCGACGTGTTACGATAGTAGGCTGGCTGATGGATTATAAAGTATTATGTCATAGCGTGTGAACGCAATCGTCATATATGGTCATACGCGGCAGCGCCGTGGAACGTCAATCCTGACGAAGTGCGCGAGAAGCGCGACGCGTCGACGTCATCGTCGTCGTGCTTGACGGGTAATGGATCGGCGCCAAGCGCCAATTTGCCATCAATCGGTATCCTCGACAACTCGGTACTCGATGACATTTCGCCCTCGACAATCTGTAATTCGCGACCAAAAAAGAATTCTGACAGAATTCTATTTATAACTTTGATAGACGTTCCATTTGATTAAGAAACGCTGCATTAAAGCAAACACGTAGATGCTGTCCAGTTTGAAATTTGAATCGAGAATAATGGAATTGTTACATGCATTATTTCATTACAGTTGATCCATGACTAACATATTATTTTATGGCATAATATTAATTTTATATTTAATATTTTTTATATAAAATTAATAGCTTGTTTTAGATTAAATTATTTGTCGGAATACATTTTATTTTATCACAAAAATTATATTTCATGTATGATATTTTATTGTAAAGATTTCTATTTTTTTCTTTTAGAGTTTTTTTGTGACCGATTATGATCCAACAATCGAAGATTCTTATACAAAGCAGTGCGTTATTGACGATGTGCCAGCTAAGCTCGATAGTAAGTAAGAAATAAGAATTTACGAGAAACGCTTTTCGCCAAATTATTGATATTTGTTAAGAAAAAATCGGAAAATTCTGAATCATCAATAATCATAAATCCGTGGAATATCTTTTACATATAAGCAAACACATTCTTTATATTTATTTTAGTATTGGACACTGCTGGGCAAGAAGAATTTAGCGCAATGCGCGAACAATACATGAGAAGCGGCGAAGGATTCCTTCTCGTATTCGCGGTCACCGATCACTCGTCTTTCGACGAAATATTAAAATTTCATAGGCAAATACTTCGGGTGAAAGATCGAGACGAGTTTCCTATGCTAATGGTCGGGAACAAGGCAGATTTGGATCATCAAAGAAGCGTGAGTATTGTTATGAATAGTAGTGTATAAATTTTCTCATTTTTTCTGTTAGAAAAAAAATCGTGATTGTAAAATATATACAAAACTCTAGCTCATTTTTCGCATCATAAAAATTTGCAATTATAAATCCTTAATCTTAGAAGCTTCTAAACCTTTTTCTTTGAATAGCATTTTTACAATATACAATATTTACAATATTCTTTCCAACTTCCATTATTCTCTCAACAAAGCTTAGATTTTTAAAGCTTTCATATTTTGTTTGAAATGTTCTTTTGAAAAAAGAATAATTCTGCGTCGTTAAATGTCGGTTATTATTGTATTCGATTTTAGGAATGATATTTTTAGAAAATGAAAGTTTATTTACAAAGAAAATAGTTTCTTATTCTTTTGAATCTGAAACCAGAATGGCATTTCTCGAAAATTCTCTAGTACTTTAAAAATCTATCAGATATTATTATTAAAGTTGTTACATTATTATTAAAGTTATAAGAGAAAAAAGTATATACCTACTTGAAGTATCTCAATCTATTTGAATTTTTTCAGGTATCAATTGAAGAGGCACAAAGTATAGCGCGTCAGTTGAAAATTCCATATATTGAATGCAGTGCTAAGTTACGAATGAATGTTGATCAAGCTTTCCATGAATTGGTGCGAATCGTCAGAAAGTTTCAATTATCAGAGCGGCCGCCACTGAAACCAAATTACAAGAAGAATAAGAAGAAATGTTGCATGCTGTAATAAAAAAAACTATTTATCTTGACAAATGATTTCTATGATACTAATTGGATCGGTGAGTTCTAATTCCAGTTAGAAAGTATGGTAAATTCGAAATGGCAGAGAGATATGATTCTTAATAATGTACTTTCTCAAAAATTTTTTATACTTTTTACACATGATTAATTAGAATCATGCGACATATAAATTATATTAAAACAATACATTGACTAATACATGTGAAAAAATTTAAGTAGGAAATGATCGAATCACACATGTAAGTCTTATAAGATATATATTTTGTTTTAATTTTATTATTTTTTAATAATTAATAATTTATAGAATAATTAATAATTTATAGAATTCAATAGTAATTTTTTTCAATTTTTGCACAAATGAAAACATTATCTCAATGATGCAGATATATAAACTATTTTTTTAATAATTTTTAATAAGAATTGTCTACAAAATTGTTTACAAAACTACTGAGGTTGAAACAGTCAACTCGATTTACTATTATTATTTATAATGCAACATCGTTTAAAATTATATATTTTAATTAGTATGTCAATGATTAGATTGATTAAAAAACAATTGTACATATTAAACATTTTAGGATCTTTGCAGAATCAAAATCAGTTGAATCTCAATTATTTGGTATATTTGATACATTTAATAATTTCGAATATAGTAGTGGGATATAATTATGAAAAATGAAGCAAAAAAATTATCTTGTAATGAAAGTTTGTACAATATATGACCAATATTTTATAATATATGTAAGATATATAAATATATGAGATTCATACTGAAACATAAGATACATTTCATACTGAAATGTAAGGTATATAATTCTTCTTTTAATTTCTCACTTTAAATAATACATTTTAAAATATTCTCATATGAGATTTGTCAAAATTCGTTATTTGTTTAATTGTTGTCACACACATGATTCAATGAATATATATCAATAACATTGTTGGTACATATAATATTAAAAAAAGCACATTTATTTTCAATGTGTAAACACATTGAAGGATTAATAATTTTATATAATTTTTAAATACATTTTATACTCTCTGCCACTTGCCGAAAGTATTTCTGCTATTATTAGCAGTGTTCTAATTCGTCTTCCTTTAGATTGAGTCATAATGCCTAATTGCGAAAATCAAAATGGCGCAATGATATTGCCAAACGAATAAATTATCAAATATAAACCGTTTATGTTTATGAATTATGAATTTATAAGAATTGTTCAAATTGTTTAGAGTTATCTCTATATATTTACACATAGCACTTAGTAGTTGAAATTTTGTGCTATTGTTGTTATAACGAAGTCATGGGGCCAATAACATTTTTAACACAGACGAACCTGTAATTAATAATATCTTAACAACATATACTCCACAAATTCTGATTAATGCATGCTGTGTAACATTTAATATTTTCAATGGTAAATACAATCAATGAACGTTTTTTGAAACTATTTGTATGTTCCATATAAAAAAATATAAATTTGTTTAGATTCTAATTTTCAAAACAAAATATTTTGCATATTTATTTATTTAAATATGTTCATTATATCGATAATTAAGCGTCTTCCAATATGGTTATTACTTAGATGCATGTATGTTCTATGATGTTATTTTTATTTTACAAAAATAATTTCAATGTAAAACGATATTCTAATAATTTTTTGTTTGTCAAATAATATGACAAAAATATTCAATAATTTCATTTTTTTTCCCGCTAACTTATTTCAATCTGTTTAAATCGAGTGGTACATAATATTATATTTCTGGCTAAAAACGCTGTATTTGTGGAGAGATGAAAATGTGTTCAGCAAATTTCGGTTTCACCAGCAACAAGAAATATTTTTAACTATTTCACACATCACATTTCGTCATAGTTGTTGGTGATACCGATCACGAAATGTACTAATAATGAAGCTAATAATAATGTACTAGTTTTAATGTAGTTAATAATAATAATATACAATACATTTATAAGTTTACAAACAATATTACACGATAAATTACAAAATTTTGCGACGATATATCATTAACAGTAATTAATTTATATATGAACGTATATTTTTTGCAAAATGTAACTTGTAATAATTTGCGAAGCGACAAGAACCGAATAAAAAAATTCCATTTATTTTTGTAACTGACTATTTATATGTTTGTAAAAAAGAATGTCTATATATATGCAGACTGATTTTTAGATTCAATCTTTGTTTGTTAAATAACTTCTGTAAACCAAATAATATGAATATAAATTAATTGTTACTATGTTTTGTTATTTCCAATCTTCTGATATTTTATTTGAATTATTTTTTTAGAATGAAATCTCGTTATCATAAAACTTAACTTTCTATATTTAAATTTTTGATAAACTTATATTAAAAAATTCCTTTTAAAATATTCATTTTTTATAAAATCAAACAAAAAAAATAGTTTTATTTTTTTACAAACGATGAATGAAACTGGGTAAAGCAGTGCATTAATCGAATTTCGTAGATTTGACGAAAGATGCCATCACTAATATCAAAGCGAAACAGAAATGTAAATCGGTAAAGTCGAGAATAAGTAACGTACCGACAAATTGATATTTTTAATTTCGATCAAACGGAGGCAGACTTTGTCATTTCAAAAATGAAAGTAAGATAACATAATTAAAACATTTTGCTAACTCAAAATTAAAAAAAAGTATAAATGCATAAAAACAAGTAATTTCATAAATGGTCAATAAAGCTCTGTACTATTACATATGACGCAATGACTTTATAATATACTTTTATATAGGTAATTAAATTTTTATATAAGATGTTATATAATCTTTATATCTCTAAGCAATTAATGAAACAATTGCATATACTCGTGGCGAGTAATTTTACTTAATCGTTGAATAAAAAATCAAGGTCGAATAATGTGAAATAGTTTAATAAAAATATCGTTTCTTTTATCAATAGTAAATCTAGTTTTTTTATGAAAAGTCTACAGCAATTAATGCAACTGTTTTTATATATAAATAATTTGGTACAAAATGATACCGTATAACTTAATGCGATTTTATTCTTGCTTCGTTTCTAATCATTAAATTTATAGTGATATTATCGTAGTATCGCGTAACAAAAATCGCGTTGATTATTAGCAGTCGCGTCACGATGCGATTACTCGATAATAACGAATAACGATAATATATGCAAAATATGCCTCCAACGGCACATTCACCCTAATTTAGAGGCCGACCGATCTCAGGGCGCAAAGTAGTCAGACGAGATTCCCACCTGGGCTATTCTTGACCAGACCGGGCTAATATTGATGCGATTACTTCCAGTCATGCTATCATGTCCGTAAATATCTCATCTCTTTTTCTTCTACTATCTCTTGATACATCTCTTGGAATACCATGATCTATTTATTAAGAACTCGATTATTTTGATTTTTAGCTTTTTCGATTAGATCATACAATCCTCAAGTTTTTCTATTTTAAGATTCTGTTGTAGATCTTTGTAGATCTTTTGCAATTGTACTTTGAGATTTTTATATCGAGTTAAAGTTTTTTCATATTATGTATTCTTATATTTTTTCATATTATGTATTTAGTCTTTGTACTTATTTCCTCTCTATTTCGTATTGTGAAGATTTTATATTCATCACATTACATACATGAGTTTTAAAATTAAAGTGAAGAAAAATTACACTAGCTCAAAACAGTTTAAAAATTTGAAATAAATAATAAGAATACTCAATGAATGAGAAACAGCAGATGAACGCTGTGCGAATGCGAGTACTGAATAGAACAATTATAACGTGAAAATAAACGCGAAACGTGCGTCATCGCACAGTCGCATAATCATTTGTTGTTCATTCATTGGACACTCTTTATTTCAGGTTTCTTAATACGTTATAGTTTCCTTGGACTTTAAACGCCTCTGTTACAGGAAATCATAGGAGATAAAAAACAATTATTTATTCCTACACTTGACTATTGTTACAAACAATTTTTTTCTCTCATTCCAAGATATGGCAGCAATTCCTTCATCCACAGCACTTCGTTCATCGGTCACAAGGTCGCCATAACGGTATATTTTTTCTGAATCCATCAACGCGTTAGGAAGACCGAAATTGTCTATTTTAGGAGTTCGTTTTAGCACATATTTACGTTTAACGGTCAGAGAGTATTTCTTTTTTCCGAATATTACGGTAAAAGACGCAACAAGTTCCGCGGTTTTCCATTCGGAGCTGGCGATGATGCATCCGAATGCACTCTAGCAAAAGTTAGATCGTAGGAAAGAACGCGGCGAATACCTTCTTGCGCGAGAGTACGTCGAAAAGAAGAACGTTTACCGTAATCGATGCTGTCTTCTTTGTTCGCCGACTCGGGTATTCCGCGGCAAAACCAGTTCTCGAGTTAGTGCTTTGCTTAGGCTTGGACGTACGTGTATGTCGAATCATGAAAGTCGTCCTCGCACGAAAAGCGACCTACGATGAAAAACATTATGTTAATAATCGCATGTGGAAGATTGCGAAGGTAGTGAAAGGTGTACGCTGTACTCTGGCGCGCTATTAAGAGAGAGAAAGAGAAAAGAAATATGAAAAATACCCCTTTCGCGGCGTTTCAATCCGATCAAAAAAGCCGCGAAAAAACACTGATAAAAAATAAAAATAATTATATATCTTCATGATTTCTTATCCGGTTAGGGTTAAGGAAGAAATATTTTTTTTCCTTAGAAAGATTATTATTATTACTTCTATTTTCATTATTTTATGCGATATCACGCGATTTTAATATTCGTTTTTTGTTAATCAATATTAATCGAAAATGAAAAATTAGGATAGATCCTGAAATATTTTGAAAAAAATGAAAGTAATACATACATTTTTTTTTCAAATATAGCATATGTATATGTATAATAAAATCAACAATATCGAATTAAGTCCCTTGAATGATCAGCAACCTTTTGGATCTTCGCTCCGTCATGCTTTGCGTATGTTTCTTGGGTTCAAGTAATAACAACGCTACATGCGCGCAGGTAGTCTTCGAGAACGGGTGAAGAAGGACGAAGAAGACGAAGAAGAAGAGGAAGAAAAGAGGAGAACTGTGGGATAAAAATAGCATGGTACAGTCGCAAAATAAAAACTAATGATGCGAACCTGCAGAATGACGATCCAGACTCGCCGAGCAAGGAGGGGCTCGAAGAAGAAGGAGAAGTACAAGGAGCGGAAAAGAAAGGTCATTATCTAAAAGGAAGATCAAGATTCACCGCCAGAGGAGAAAGATGAGCAAAGAAGAAGCTCCCCCATATTCTATACAGTTTACAATCAGTAGAATAAAATATATCGATTATGATATACATTGATAGGATATCATTGATAAAGTTAAAAATTAGTTGCAAATATAATAATTTTTTGCTATCATTATATTGAAATAGAAGAAGCGCGAACTCTCTTGAATGGAAACTTAATTTTCTGATACTTCGTATCTATTGACGATTGTTAATAGAGTTATAATTATGATAGTAGACTTTACATACTCACAAGAATTATATCATACATGCTCGTTCCTTGTTACTTTTGATTTTCTCGATAATAATAAGAACAACATTAATCTTCAGATTTCATTCCAAAAATGTGCGGTTCGCACATTATATTTGGCATTCTAATACCCTTAGGAGATGATATCCTGCAATATGCATAAAGTAATTTATGATTTAGTGTCTTTTGGAAGTAAGCAGATATCACGACATAGCGCGATGGTGGGAGCCGAGCGAGCGGTGGTTGTGCGTGCAGCGGAAGAAATCTCCCACCCTCTCGGTGATCGCGTGTTGGATCACTCTACTCGACCTGTCTCCACCTTGTACTCTCTCCGCGGTGTACCGGGAGCACCTCTGTGTAGTAGTTGAGTTAAAAGTTTGCATTGCCAACTAGCCAACCAGCCAGTCAGTCAGCCAGCTAGCAAGTTCATCAGGTGGTCAACTCGAAGAAAACAATCCTTACGCGCTCATCGTACGTGGTGCACACACCGGTCTTATAATGGCGAGACGCGGTGACCATTTTGGTACGATAAAAGTCGAGGGCAGCCTTCGGGTGTTCTTGCGCCGGTTCGAGAAGAGCTGAGGAAATAAAAAAGAAGAGGGAGAGGAACGGGTTCTCCAGTGCCAGTGTGCAGTCTAGTCGAAGACACAGGATGATAGCGAACGTCCGATGAGCATCCTGCTTCCCGTTGCCTTCCTGCCAAAGAAAGAGTGAGAGAAAGAGAGCAGACACCTTCGGGGTGATTGAGCTACTGCCACTTCCATCCTTTCTCCACCACCGCAATAAGACTAAGAGATGCCGAAACGAGAGAAAATGTCCAGGTGAGTGTGCAATTATTATTGTCTTCAGATAAAAGTAGTCATCTAGTCATCTTGGTCATTGTTGTTGATTATTGATTTAGACTTCTCTAATATTTAGATCATTAACTTGACTAATTGTGTCAAAATCCTGGACCTCTTTGGACTCTCGTGTTTTATGTACTTTCTGCTGAATTATATATATTGAACTTGACTTTTAATTTGGGAGACTGTTTTAATGTAGAATCTGAAATATCAATTGTTAGTCTTGAGAATTATTTCAACAATTTCAAAACTCATATCATGTGAAGCTCATACAAATATATATGTGTATAAATATATAAATCAGAAAGAAATGATACATCTCTTTATGACTTACCGTATTTCTCCATATCTCTTTATTATTCTGTGATTTGTTTTATTTAAATATAAGAATATAAATTGATTTTCCTTTTTTGCATCAATTTTATTATTTAATTTATGGAAAGAAAGCAATTTAATATATGTTATTTATGGTAACAAGAGAAAAAAAATATATTTTCTAAAAAACGCGCGCATATTTGCTTTATATGTTACATATTATAACATAAATAACGATCAAAAAACATAATTATAAATATAAGTACTTTTTCTTATACTTTAGAAATATCCTCAGATCATAAAATATTTTTATTATCAAACTTAGATGCAAAGAAGATATTAAAATACAACGCTAAGTAAGAACATGTTAGATTTGTTGACTAATAAAAAGAAAAGACACAAAAAGAGGATATTAGATTTGTTGACTAGTGTCATTAAAGCGTGGTAATTTTGTGCATCGCGTGTCTCTCCTCATGTCATGTAATCTTACATATGCTTGATTTATGGAATCTAGACAGAAACATACATGTTCGTAAATATATCTTATATTTATGAACATACATATTCGTAATATATATTTTATGGAAATGATATTGTTATTGTATTTCCATTTATAAACTTGAAAAATTAATTTCCGTATGTATGTGTCCAAGAAATATATAAACTCTAATTAATAAAAATTTTTTTTACATTCCGTGTAACGAAAGATAGAGAAAATTATGTAAAACATTGCTTATAGATTTTAATTTAACTAGATCTCTATATAACTGCAAGAAAATAGCAAGAAACGCGAAAAAAATTAACTATTCGATTTGTAGTGATGCTGCAAAATCAATTTACAGCTTTATTTAGACACATCGCGAATAACATGCATCTTTAAACTTTGCCAAAAACAATAATGCATTATTTAACATTGAATTAACACGTATTTCTCTTTACTTAGTTTTGTTATCTATATATATCTATAATCGTATGTCGGTTTCCCTCAAAGTGAAAATAATCTGAAAATCTCATTCTTTATCCAATTAGTAATAAAGCAAAAAAAATATACGTGCAAATGATCGTTTACAAGAGACAGTTACTGGCTAATACTCTCTACGTATGCGCGTATTTTACACCTATCCGTTAACTTCGTATCAAAACGTGTTTCACCTTTCGGAGATTTTACTTACGAATATTAATTCATCGTAATGCTTTAAGGCGTTTGAACATTAACGAGTCGTTTGTTAGTTATTGCCCGCGCTATTTTATGCACGCTACGGCGACAGAGAGTCTTAAATTCACAAGTATATAGATACTTGGTCCGATGGTTATGCGAGAAACTCGTAAAATGATATTAAATAAAATTTAAATGTAAAATTGTTTAATGTCATAACGGCCTGTCATGGTTGTGTCACTTGTATTTCCTGTGAATGAATGCTAAGTTATACACGTTATAAAATATCTTGAAAGAATTTTTTGCATTACCGTAATAATCGCTATTTATTACCAAATAGACAAATTGTGTGATTTGCTTATTAAATAATATTTTCCTCGCAATTATTTATATAAGGAAAGCTTGTAACTTTTTTCATTCTAAAATCTAATAACGCATATACACACACACATATAGTGAATAGAACATAATGCGTTAGAATTAATCACAAATTTTCAATATATAAATCTATAATGAATATGCAAATATTATTATTTTTATAAATATAAAAAAACATTCTATATTTGAAATTTTTTAATAATTCTATAGTAATTTGCTATAAAAATAATTAAAAGAATAAAACTTAATTTTGATGCAGACTCTAATTCTTCTATATATTCTTATTATTTCTTATGTAAATACAAATTATCAGACTTTTATTAACGTTTCTTATTAAGCACATTGATAGAGTATGTGATACAATATACTTATATACTCGACAGTTTTGAATAATTCATTATTGAAAAGTAGATTTAAAATTTGATCAAATGTCATCCAAGGTTATTAATATTTGATCAACTGATTTTTTTAACAAACAGATAATACGAATGAAACAATAAAATTAATTAGTCAGTTATTTAGTTTGTTTTTCTTTGTTTTTTATAACATAGTAAATGAATTTCAGTTGATTTGAACATTGACATTGACATTCAGCATTAAATGATAGATAGAATTGATAATTGATTGAAACATCGAAAGATTCTTCACAAGCGTCAGATTTTTAAAAATATATATTTAACATAATTTTTTTATCATTAATCTGTAGATGTATGTAATGATGTAATGATGTAATGACATTCACGTTTAAACTTCCGGCTTTAAGAATGTATTAACAGAACCGATAATTTCTATTCACTTTATGAAATAATGTACTTGACATAATCTCTTTGCATTATCTCTAGCGCATGTGATGATATGTTCATTTTTGAACTTCCGGCTTTAGAAATGTATTAATAAAATCGATATTTTTATTCACTTTGCACATATATGTGTTTAAAAAGGAAATATTTGACATAATTTGTCACTTTATATATGTATGCACATGCAAAATTATTTATTTTTTATTACTAAAGAAATATATACCTTGGGAAAAGAATCCGCCATTCTTGCTTTGAATTCAATATATCTTTCAAAAATTTTTAGCTTCCTTCACGTCGTATTTAACAGATCAACTCGTAGATATTATTCATCGTTGTTGACGAGATTATCGAGAAAGAAATGAGGAGGATCTTCGAATTCGAAAGATCAATCGCGAGGTCAATCATTCCACGCACTTTGTTCCGATCGGCAGTACTCGCAATCGCGTTCGAACTTTTTACGCATCCATAGTAAAGGGAATCATTCATGGAATATCTAGGCGTGTTGTTTGCGAGCGATGTGTCTATTTGTTGCATAGTAGTCGTGTAACCGTGTGACCGATTACGGGACTTTTCTCACCGTTGCGCCGCACTATTGACGCGACACCTCGCCTTGGAATAAAAGATGCAAATGCAGATGATGACCCTCGCGGCGCCGATTAATGAAATTAAAAGAACTGAAAAGAATCGAATATTATTAATATTTTTAAATTTGATTGATTAGAAAAATATCTTAATACATATTTTTAAAAAATTTACTTAGATGTTCAAATACGATAAAAAGTAAAAATATTTTATATCTTTATTTTTCAATAAAAAAAATATTGAAAAGAAATCTGACGATTATTTAATGATCTGTTTTAAATTATAGTTTATCAAAATTTGACGAAAGAATAACAGAATTCTAAAATTTCTCCAATTTTTCAATAATTCTCTTAATTGTTTCTCCAATATTAATTATTGTTAGATAAAATTCGGACTCATAAAATCTTTATAATTTAAATTAAAAATTAACATATTTGATATATTTAATTGATAAAATCAAAAAAGAAAAACATTTTTGTATGAATTAAACAATTTTTTTTATCATAAAATGTATAAAAGACTGGTACTGACATAAAACCCAAAGTACAATATATTTTTTCTTTGTAGTTAATTTAATTTCTGATAAACTGACTTATTTTAAAATAATTTGTCTAATAATCTGAATCCGTTATTGAGATTCAAAAAATTCAATAAATTATTTGAAATTAAACGGATAGATAGGAAATAGCCCATTTATTATATTAGGTATATTAAAGTATTCCTATTGCGAGGGTATTTATATATTTTTACAAGTTTTAGAAGATATTCGTCTATCAGAAAAGACTAACATTTCAATAATATTATCGACATATTTTATCAAATCTTTCAATAAGATTGCATTCGAAATAATTCAAACGGAGATTGAAACATTAAAGAATTATTGCAGAATTGGTCGTAAGATATTTACGTAAAATTGTTGATATTTCAAATAGAATACTGCAATGTTTTAGGTTTTAGAAATACATAAAATTGACTTATAATCGCCAAAATTGACTTCTAACACAAGTTGACTTATTAGATTTGACTGACAGTCGACTAAATTGACATTCAGACTGATTTTGAAGTCTTTAGACTTCTTCTGCTGACTGACAGTCAACTAACTGTCTACTTAATGCTGTATAAATAAATATCAATGCTTTTCACCCTCTGTTAAATCTCTCTGTTAAATTATCAAACTTCCACTTTACGTTTCCAGTCATTCTCGACTAAATTAACATAGTAGGTACAAAACGTGATGAAAAGTTTAAATCTAAAAGCCGCATAATTATCATTAGCTATGTAATTCTAAATTAATAGCCGCGTGCCACGCGATAGGATCGCGTGATGAGTAACACCGAGTATCCGTCAGGAACGGGTTGGTACGCGACCGATGCGCGAGAGAATATAACTTGCTCGTCATCGAGATGTTAATTAATACGACAAAGACATAAATCGAACCGAGACGTCAATGAATACTGCTAAGTATTTTATTTTTATCATTTACTATATTTTGGTGTCTTCGCATCGACACGTTAAACGCCGTAAATATCATTTTAAAAGAGAATAAGAAAGAGAGTTAAAATTATTCGTTTATCTATGGTTTCAAAAAAAGAAAAAAGAAAAAAATTCTCGATAAAAAGATTTTGCTCTCCTACTTTTTTAATCCCGAATGGATCGATATCTAATTAAAAGTTTACTTTTCGTTGCTTAACACTTTTAATAATTTTAAACTTCTACTTTTAATTCTGAGGTCTCTTCCAAGGTAATCCCCATGATGCTTGCTTTCTATCAAAACGAAAGATAGATGCAGTAGTCTACGAGAATCTTGTTTAACGACTTTCATCCTATAGGTTTCCGATGTGTGCGGTGTTCCGTGATGTATAAGCAATCGGGATATTAATATAAGAATCTTAGATATACTCTCTCTTTCATATGCGACTAAAATAGTTTCTCAACTATATATTTCTCGTGTACGTTTATAATTAGAAGAGCAAATCGCGAATAATGCTTCGAACTCGTCGCACGTAAGTACACATGGAAGTTTTTCCCCGATGTTTGCGAGTCGATCATGAATGATAATGGGACACGTTTTACGTTACAATTCCAATGAACGCGAATTTCCAATGAAAATTGTACGTGCGTATTCTCGGTGCATGCACAAGTGAACGCGCAAAGTTATCGGTTGTACACAGCCAAGTGTGAAAAGAAAATCCTTCAGGGAAAAAAGACTGTGTAGCTGATAGTGCAAATAATCGCGCAAAGGAAATACGCCTCTCATTTCACTACTTAAACATCATTAATTTTGTGGTAAAAAATACAAGATATGATAAAAAATTAATGAAACTTCTTTACGAAATTGACGTTTCATGCAAAGATAATAGAATAATCCCATAGAACTTGTGTCGATTTTATTGAATATCGTCACTTCGATTTCTCTATCGCGTCATTATGAAATAGTGTAAAGGATATCACCAATGCTGGATCTATCCTTTTAATGCCGACAATAATACTCTTACCTTCGTGCGGCAGAAAGTGTCTATTATAATCTACGCATAACGACGCGAATGTTTGCAGTCGAGAATCACAGGAAACTTGCACGCGGCCTCATTGCGTTGCGATAGAAAAAAGCATGTCGACCAGGAAAACGAAAATGATTCCGCCGGACGGTGGATGGGGCTGGGTGGTGCTCTTCTCCGCTCTCACCGTCAACTTCCTTATCCCGGGTACCGTCAAGTCTTTCGGCGTACTCTTTGTCGAGTTCCTGCACGTCTTCAAGGCATCCTCCACGGCAGCTTCTTGGATGCCGGCGTTATGTTACTTTCTGTACAGCTCGTTAGGTAAATACAATTCCGTAAGAATATATTAATCCTTGGTTTAAATCCGCTTGGAATTTTAATTTTTTTTCTAAGAGAGCACACATGTCAATTGCATTTTGATTCGCAAAGTGTTCGACGTATCGAAATATTTTTCATGGCATCTAAAAAATTTTAATTATTAGACTGTTAGTAATACACATTTTTATCATTTAATAAATATTTAAGAATTTTATATCTCTTTAATTTAATTGTATTATTCTTCTCGATAAATTTTTAATTATATACACGAAAGTTTATAAATATAAAATTTCGTTAAAAAAAAAAACAAATATTGCGCAATGTATATTTCTTGTACAAAAATATAAAATTGAAATTTTTCTGCAGGTCCTTTATCTAGTATTCTGTCGACCAAGTACTCTTATAGAACTGTGACTCTCATTGGCGGCGCTTTCGCGGCCAGCGGGATGATGCTAAGCTATTTTGCCAATTCAGTTACTTATCTTTACGTCAGGTGTGTTATTCATATTGAAATACTTGAGATGATTTTTAGGTTTTAATAAAGCGCATAAATAATGTATGTTAAAGTATAAAATCTTACTCTGGAAGATAAGAATTTGAAATTTTCATTTCGTAGCATTTCTTGTAGACTTAACAATCTTTTTATACGCAGTTATGGACTTATGGTCGGAATCGGTGCTGGATTATCATTTCCACCGACGGTTTACATCGTCACGCAGTATTTCGAGAAGTTACGAGGGGTAGCAAATGGTTTGTGCATTTCCGGCAGCGCGATTGGCACTATAGTGCTACCACCATTACTACAATATCTGCTGGATTGCTTTGGATACAGGTAATTAACTGAAAAAAAATAAACAAATAAAATTACATGTATTCTTGATAATAATTACCTTAAAATGAGATAAGAATAAACATATAGAGGAGCAATAAATATTAGAAGAATAAATATGAATTATTCAGATGTGTTCCTCGACGCCCTGGTTCGAGAACAAGATATCTGTTCTACGCTCCCACACACAAAAGACTTTATGCACAATTCCAACTGCTTTCGACGAGGCAGAAAGTAGATGTGTTCTGAAGCGGTTCGAGAATACACACGCCGAAGCGGCTTGGGAAGCAAGCATAAAAACCTTTCGCAAATCTTCGCCGAAATCTTCGTTTCCAGGAAGGTCTCGCAATTTCAAGTCTCAATCATTTGGAAATTTTAATTTCTGCAGTTTTCTACGCGTTTAGCATGAACGATAAAAAATTGTACGCTATACTAGATATTCACACACATAACATATACATATAATCATAATCTGACTTGCCTTTGCTTTTCAGCGAAATTTTTTTACATTAAATTATCGCATAATATAAATAAATTTGTACAAATAAGTAATTTATGTATCTGCATGAACTGAGAAAAAAAAAGTTGTTAACTTGACTAAACCATTTAACTAAATTATTATTTTTTTAATTCAAATATTTAATTATTTAAATTAAATAATACATATTAAATCTAACATCTATTTAAATCTGACATCTATTTAACTTAAATATTTAAATATTTCAATTAAAAAAATAATTTAATTAAACAGTTTGGTCAAGTTAACAACTTTTTTTTCTCAGTGTATTAAGAGATAAATTCTTCTTAATTATCAATTTTATACAGAGAATACATGAGATTAACTTCTATCTCTTTTAATATGATATACATATTCGCTGAAATATTGCAAATGTACTAGAAAAATATTATCTCAGAATAATGACACTCAATTTTTCATTTGCTATAAAAAAGTATAATTAAACCATAATTAATATAATAAAAATCTAAAAAAATTACAATTGCACATCATTATACATAATTTTTATGTTGTAAAATAATACTAATAATAAATGATATTTTAAATTACATTTATAAATAAACTATTCTTTCTTCTCGAACCGTTCCAGAGCGCTTTAAATCGCGTGTATGGTTCTTAAGAAAACTCTATAATGCAATAAATATTATATTTTCAGTTACAATCTCTCATTTGACAATGTGCTTTTATTAATAAAATATCTAAGGGAAAAGCTGTATAAATTTAATTTATGTAATATATGTATCTATTTAATTTCTCTATTTAAACATATATATTGATAGAAAGCTTTTGAAAAGAAAATTATACAAATTCTTTTCTGAAAACTTAAAATTGCAGCATTTCTCATTTAATTTTTAAAATTTTTATATTCCGTAAAATAAATTATAATTAAAATGTAGCAAAATTTTCAAAAATAAAGTTGCATATATATCTTACTTAAATTTTCTGTCATATTCCAGAGGAGCGGTACTCATTATGGGCGGAATCACGCTAAATACGTTAGTCTGCGGCCTGCTCTATCATCCGGTCGAGAAGCACATGAAAATCATATATCTAGACGAAGGTATTGATAATGAAGCACTGACTCTCGATGAATCTATCGATGGAAAACAAATGGCAACTGAAAAAACAGAAAATGATTTAAAATATGATTCAAATCTCCAAACTATTTACAATAATGACAATAAACTCTCAAATTTCTCGCACAATGTAGTGCTGGAATCGATCAACGAAAAGACATCGTCTGAGAAAAATGATCGGAAAATCGACACAATTCTTAGATTACGATCCGATGTTTCTAATGAGGATGTGAATTCTCGAACGCGAGACGAGATTTCGCAAGAGGATATTGCGAACGAAATTTGTTTGACGATCCGTCCGAATCTCACGAAAGAAGATATGAACGGTGATATGCAAAATTTACCGCGACGAAGCAGCGCTATTGCTGAAGACGACAGCAAACTGCACTTCGATTCTTCGAAAATCGTGGACAATTCTAAGGATGACGGTAACAAGAAGCATGCAGAGGAATCTAAACAAGACGACGCGCTCTCGAAATCGGTAAAAACATCAACGAAGAACCTCGATCAGTCCGAGAAGACACCCTTTTTTGATCTGAGTGTGCTGAGGGATCCTATTTATTTGGTGATTTTAATTTCCAACACCACATCGGCCATCAGCAATACGAATTTCATGATACTGTTGCCGTCCTACGCGATCACCGAGGGTTTCGACAAGAGCTCGTCAGCTCTGCTACTGTCGATAGTCTCCGCGTTGGATTTAGTTGGTAGGATCAGTGGCGCATCTCTATCCGACATCGACTTTGTCCCAAAATATTATTACTTCGTAGGCGGACTCGGCACCAGCGGTATCGCTCTGGCATTATTACCTATGGCGACCAGTTATACTATGCTGTCCTTCTTCTGTGGTCTGTTTGGTCTATCTTCGGGCATGTACATCGGCATCACGACGGTCATTCTAGCAGATATGCTGGGAACTGAGAAGCTCAGCTCGTCCTACGGAATATCATTATTCGTTAATGGCGTTCTGCAACTCATCGGACCACCCATTTGCGGAGTCGTCTTTGAGAATGTGCTTTCATATAAGCCCATCTTTCTAGCCCTTGGAATTATCTTGATTCTGGGTACTGCACTATGGGCAGTAGTACCGATCATCAATAGAAACAAAAAGAAGGACTTAGAAACGATATAAAATTTTACCAATGCTTGGATCGAGGTCTCGATGAGCCAAGTGTTAATTATAAAAGACTTTTTTTAGACTACAGTCACACGAGAATCTTTTTAGAATTTTACGATCTGAAAGAGATTCAAGAGTTCTTAAATACATGAAACGAACGTTTAAATTCGTTGCATTTAGTAAAATTTTGATACATACATATATATATATATATATATATATATATATATATATATATATCAAAGAGAATTTTTTGAGAAAAAAGCTCGTAAAATTCTCATATAACATATTAAATTTAACATTGATGAATTTCTTCATGTATATAGTTATTTGCACAACAGATATTTACAAATATTCACGACAAATATTCCGCGATTCATGCCATTATTACTTAAGATTCCTACGTCATGTAATGAAGGCTTGTATAAACTGAATAGTTGTAAACTGCTAAAAACAGTACACTCACAATTTTTGTATTTTATCAATTATATACATATGTTACTTGAAATAAAAAAATATTTTATCTTTCAATGATATATTTTTATATAAAATTTTATACTATTTTTGTAAAGAATAATGATTAAATCGATACAAAATATACGCAATAGGTGAAAATGAATGGGATAATTGATAATCAATTATTATTTTCAGCAATTTGTCGATCTTTATCGAATACTATGTTAATCATTTTAGAGTGTAATATATGTATCTCTTCTTCTATCATTTCCTGGTTTCTACAAGCCTCTTCTACATATACATCAAGTCACAATTGTGATTTGATCATTCATAGCCTTACATAAGTTTACTATTATTGAAAATAAGTGTACTGCCAGTAACAAAATAATGTCATTGACAGATCTATTTTATCTATTTTAATTTACCTTAAATTTACTTTATAATGAAGAGATACAAAACATGTCAGGAGTTAGCATAGATAAGAACACATATATGTCGTAAGAATTTTCCGTTAGATAACTTCGTGCCAAAGCGATCAGAAAAGTTTCTAGTGGTTCAAACCGCATTAATACTTAGTCAGACATTCGTCAATTATAAATCATATAAATATTCGATTATGCTAAATGTTGAGTAGTTGAGATATATACCTAACAATGTAATGCAATCATAATTAATGTAGTTATAGACTATGTGGGGCCATAACATAACTTATATATGTGGTTTAATACCTAAATAGATAGACTGAAATATTTTCTCTTCCTCTCTTTCATGAAGATCTTATCTGTGGCAAAGACATCATTAATGGAACTTTAAAACTCTTAAATATAATTTGAAATCTGAAAACATTCTTCGTTCTATGGATTCTAGACATCCTTTATTTAATATAATATCCAGATCCATACATCCATGTATTGCATCTAACAAATCCTTTTTTACATTATAATTTGTTCCATCACAGCGTTCCTGAAATAATAAGCAATTGAAAATTTCAACAGAAAACTAATCGAATGCTGAATATATTTGGGGATGATGTAACTTCCGTTAAATAGCGAGTATCAGTATAAGGAAATAATATAAGACATATGCTAATTTTTAATAAAATTAAATTCTTTTAAAGTATGTTTTCCTTTTTCAACAACAAAACACATTTTCACTTTCCGAATATCGCTTGTGTATTTCGGTGAATGATTTTAATTCATATAATTTAGATTAATTGAAAAGTATTGGAATAAAAATAATAGTTGAAAATAATTCCAGATAAAAACAGCCTTCTATGGAAGATGTCAATGCTGTAACAGAGATATAAGAAAATATTTTAAATAATATAAAGAAGAAAATATAACAGAGAGAAAGAGAATATAATAATAAATATCTTTTTTCTAATTTAATTTTATTGTAATCATTTAGTTCTAGGACTTTTCTGACAAGTTTCGTGTATATCGAATGCGAATAGTGACTCGAAGAAAACTAAGGATGAGAACAATGAAATGAGATATATCTTATAAATAATCTTCAAAATTTCGGCAATGCTGAGTTTAATTGTGTAGAGCCATGTATGCAAAATATATTTCTGTACATGTATGTGCGTGTCTTTTGCTTAATTCTCCTTTGATTTGTTGAAGATAATACATACCCTCTCCTACTAATTATACAATTAATTAATATTATATTATTTGTTGTATTTTTCTAACATTTCTAATTCTTCAGTTCAGCTTTATTTACATGCATTATATATTTTGTTAAATTGCTCAAAAGTATATATGCTGTAATGTGGGATAAGTTTTATAACAAAGTGTGTATATATATATATATATATACACATATATATACACACACAGCATACAATAAAAGATATGCTCCCCACAAACACAGCGATATTCCGTAAACTTGAAATGATATTCTTTTAGTAAAAATTTGATTGCACGCCATATTTTGGTTTTAATTTCCTTAATTATTTATATTTAAATAATGTTTTAAATAGAAAATATGTCAAAATGTATCATTTGAAATCGATAGATACAAGATCGCAATTAGATGAATATTATAAACAATCAATGCAAAATATTGGACAAATGCAAGAACTGATTTGTAATCAATTCTTTTTATTGTATAATTAATCCGCGGCAAGCATACGACGTTTTGATAATGTTTTAAGTGATCTTAATTGTTGTATAGCTATCAATATAAAATATATAATTACAAATGCATCAAAGAATAATGCGAGATAGAAAGCTAAAGAGAAAGTACTTTGCAAACCTCAAAATTCCTTTGTCAGTTTTGTGCAATGTTTGACGGAGAGAAAGAAAAAATGAATTGTCAAGTAGAGATGCAAAATTATGTAACAAATGTAAAAAACATTGGCAGATTATGAAACTGTAGTATCTCTTCGTCCTGTGAAGGAAACGATGGAACGAATACCTTTCACGGAAGTCTGAAATGTTAAAAATAAAACAACTTTGATTAGCTTTGTTATTATTTAAATAATAATAATAATAGATTCAAAATCACCTCAGCATATGGAGGAAAAACTGTAACCAACCTTTTTTTTGGATCCATTAAGAAAATCTTTGTACATTTCCGAACGTAAATATCTCGAGTAACTATCACTCTTCATCAGATGATATACATGTGCCTAAAAATAATAATAATAATGTAACGGGGAATATATATGAGAAAAAATTTTATGATTAATTTGCTAAAAATTGATCATAATCACTTAATATTTTCTTAAACATATTTGATATTTTCTGCTTCGAAAATGGTCGCATCTTATTTTACAGATAAATAAGAACATATCTAACAATCTTTTTAAATTCCCCTTAAATATATTTTGTCTATTTCCATTCCTCTACATGAAATAATAAAATTAAATTCATACCGCAGCAACGTCGAAACACCATTGGTCCGGTTTTTCGAGATTCTTTTTCGTTATTTCGTAAGACCGAGAATCGACATTGATCGGACAACTGGCGTCCGTGTCCAAAAATTCGCGCCATATTTCTTCGACTTTAGTCTGGACATCTTTCTGCGGTAAAGTTTTCAATTCCTGAACGGTTTCCCAAAATCTGCACATATCATAAATGATCTCGTCTCCCTGATGCAAATTTAATATCCGTTGAATGAATGAACGTAGATAAACAATGTAAATCTCTTGGCACAAAATAATGATATTTAGAGATGACGAAAAAACGCGCGCAGAGATTATCATACGTACTTGAGATTCTCGCCGCTAAATTCCTTATCTAAAAAGCGTATAAATTGTTCTCTACCGACAGGATCCTGCAAAAGTTCTTGAAGACTGAACGCCCATCTCTTAACTCTTCTTGTAGATATTTCTTTCCTATATATCCATAAATATATACATATACATATTTTGAATGAATTATAAGTATCATAAGCAATTTTTTTCTCTATATTAATAATATACATACGCTAATTTCTCCTGTTCCCACATTTCCGGACTATCGGATACCCATGGATTTGTTAACTCGGGTTGGGTGAGGAAGGGATCATATTCCATGTACTGCTCAAAGTATCCAATCAAACTAAAAATATCACATGTATTGATTAGTTTATAAATGCATATATTACATATGTATAAAAAACTTAAGTAAATATAATATTGTATCATTAAATGATACAAATAAAATGTTGCTAGGCTTTCTTTTACTTTCTCTCTCTTACAGAGAATATTAAAGTTAAAATTCGATTTGATAACTTGATTAGTTTTGATAAATGTTAATAATGTACACAAATGTTTCATCAAGAAAGAAAACTTTTGAATTATTTTGTTTAAAATAAATAATTCTATCGACGTACGCTTCTGCAACTTTCGAAACTTTAATGACCGTTCTATCCAGTCTATCTTTCAGGGTCTCGATCTGTTTCTGCAAAAATTCTATCGATGAGGTCGCATTCGATTCCGGAGACGGCGATATTTTACCTCCTGCAACGCCCAGTTGCAAATGCTTACTTGGTTGTATGACAGATTTATAACTGCGACAAGCCTTCTTAATATCCAGTTCCGTAGTATTTACGCATCCAGGCTGTAAAATATAATTGAGATACATATAGGAATGATAAAAATTATACTTTGTCCACAGTTTAAATTATACAAATAAATATTACCATTGGCCGATGTACATCCCAAAAAGCTCTCTCTTGACTATCTAAGACCTTTCTTTCTAATTTGTCTCTTTTCTTGTCAACTTTGCTCTGCGCTTCTGCCTGCATAAAAATAAATTCCCATTTTCGCGAAAACATCTTTTGTAATCTAGCCAAATTCTCCGCTTCATAATCCGCCAATTCCAATCGCGTTTTGTTCTGCATCGTCCTTTTGCATAAATAGACAGCTGTAACATTTAACATAATGCATCAACGAACGTATCATAATACAGAGGTCTATTAAACTAATTATAAATGTATACATATCCATACAACAACAAAAAATAGATATAAATATAAAATAGTAATATTGATAACATGTAATAAATTATACTGTTTTTAAACTTATTTTTACTGTTAGTTAAGAATTATTCGCATCTATAATGCATGAAAAAATGACAAATGATAAATTAAATTATATTTTCTAATAATAATATTAATAAGCTTGTGTACCATAATCAGTGTTTTCAGGTTCCCAACAATTTGATGGCCAAAAATAGGGCGTTTGAAACCTGTAGAATGTGTTATCATTTTTTACGGTAAGGCAGTGGTCGTCGATAGGAAAGAAATAACCATGTGATGCCATAAGATGAGCCACATGAAGAGCTTCTGTAAATTAACATACAAAAATTTATATTATATATATTTCAAATTATGTCATATAAATTACAATTAGATTTTAAGAATTAGTAAATAATTTTACCTTGATCATCTATATCCATATTCTTCATCATCCATACTATAAGATCTGCGCCTGAAATACAAACCATATGCAATTTATTAATCTCTGATTAAAAGATTATTTGGCTTTAGAGATTTGCGTAACAAAAATTTTATTCTCACACACATATATTCTTTTTTATGTATACATTCTTTTGCAAATTTATATACTATTTAAAAAAATCATATTTATATAACATTATAAATATAATCATTTCCATTTTTACCTGTGAAAACAGAAGGCGTCTTTGTCATAAAAGTCTTCACTGTTTTTACAGGAACACCAGTAAATTCATCTAACATTTTTTCCACAATCGATTCCATCTAGAAAAAAATGCATATGTGAGCATGTATATACAATGTATCGTTTATATATAAAATATTTAGAAAAATTAATAACACAAATAATATATTATTATGTTTTAAAGATAGAGAAATTCTCATCTCAATAGAACAAAATGAATTGAAAAAAATGAATAACAGTACATAAGATAAAAATAATTTAGAAAATAATTAAATTTAGATTAAATTAAAATTAATGAAGCCTATTCTTACAGAATAAATATCTATATCTCTCGCTAAGAATAAAAAGAAGTTCCGCTTAAAGTTTATTTTTCTATCGTCTTTCAATATTAAATCTTTTAATCTTTTGAATCTACTATATTATTTATCTTGCGCCTACTATCATTATATATTTATAGTACATATCTATTATATATATTGCTGTTACCTTCTTGTAGACAAGGTAATTAGGGGTGTCTTCGGCGCAAGAGGCAGTGACGTTGTATGTGGGGGTGTTGGGGGATAAATCTGGAGACTCGTTCGTACGAACGTCGTCGTTTTTTTTATCCGCTTCTTCAACATGTTCGGACGTCTTTTTGCCGCTACTACTGCTGCTGCTGCTTTTCTCCACTGGTTTTCGGCGGCAAGCCGATTTTTCGGAGTTCATAGTTACCATATCCACCCTACGAGAGATACAACGTCCCTGCACAGTTGTACATGAAAATATGAATAATTGTAATTGTAATTGTAATCGTAATTGTAAAGTGTAAGTGTAATCATCGATGTAATTGATCAAGTTCAACTTTACGAAAATAAACTTTAGAATAGGTTGAAAAAAGATTCGAAATTAACTTACTGAAGTATCTCATTTTATGGTAAATTTCATGCTCTTCTTTTTATTGCGAATTTATATAATAATTATTTATTTCTTAACAACATACATCAAATATGATCTTATATTATCATGTACCATATTTAGCGGATAAAATCGCTTGCAAAGTACCGCAGTCTTTTTAGATATATATCCCGATATCCTTGCGCAATTTTTCTCGCGTGAGCAAAGTTTTTGCGACATCGATCCGACGACCAATTATTTATATAATTACAATACAAAGTGTGTTCGAGAGACTTAACAAATTATTTTTTTTTTATCTCGATTCTTTAATTTAGAAAACTATTTTCTTTTTTAACAAAAATATCGACAAGTAAATAATTTTTAAGTTTTTAATCATTTGGTCAAAATTGGCATACAAGACGGTATTTTATATTACCCCTTCTCCATAACTCGTCCTTCTGTCCGCTCGAGAGAATGGTATCCGTGGGAGGGAGACAGCAGAGAGAGTAGGATATTGTCTTTCATCAGTCAATCTTGACCAACGTTGAATAAAAATACAAAGAAACGAAAAGCAAAAAAGTAAATTACGCACATACTCCACACTCTGACGCTCTTTCCGTTACAAATTACAATTATTAATAAAATAAAAACATCCGAGAAATCGATACTGCGCTTCTAAATACAGACCTACCTCAATTGTAACACCTTGACCCACCGATCCGTTCTCAAATCGCGCGAGATTCACGCGCTGTCTAGCGCGAAATTTATCGACGCAATCTCCATTGTTTCTATAAACGCCGTAAATTCACGCTGGTGTTTTCTGTTGAAATCCGTCTTCTTCTCGATAAGTACGATGATGACGATTGATGACAGTTAGCGAATTTACAGCATCCAACTTGGAAGTGTCACGCGTGCAATCCTTCCATCGTGCCTTAAAACACAAAACATTCTTCTTGGAGAATAGCCAATTATCTTCATAGCTGTTTCTAGGATTAATCACAGAATTCTCCTGCACTCTCTTTTAACGAGCGTTTTCCAAACGTCCAAATTCATCTCTCTTCGCACTTGGAGAAGGAGCGACACGTTTGGGCGCAAAACAATCGTCCGAATACCTTCCTTCGCAAAATGAGTGCGGAAAGAGCATCTACTGCTCGATGTGCATACTCGCACCTCCCGATGATTCGCGTGTTGACCTGAGCGAAGATCAGGTCAAGATAGCTGGGGAGTGGAAGCGCGCGCGCGCGCCTTCATGATCTACGCAGCGGTTTGTGTTTTCTAAGGGGTGCGCGCGCTAAATTGACAGAGCCTCATGCTGAGGCTGCAAGTGCGCAGGTTTCGAATGCCGTTTAGTGCTATCGAGTGCCGAGGGCGAAGGTCGAAATCCTGTCGTCGAGCAATGACAGGTAACAGTCGATAAATGAAAAAGACGCGGCTGCGCCGAAGCGAAGCGTCTTCTAATACTACGAAGAAAACGCGACCTGTTGAAGTTCTCGAATTTTAATTTCTAATAAAAAAAATTCATATATTATAGCAATATAAATATATATAAAACAGGAGCAACAATTAACATCTTTTTTAAAGGAGTTTTACCTACATTTAGTTATGGAATGTGGTACCTACATTGACATAGATTTTTTACTTTCCCTCATATATATAAAAGATTAAATACAACATCTCGTTGATTATTAAGATGTATAATTTATTATCAATTAAATTATTCTTAATTTCTTTCTTTTTTCACAAAACGTTTCTGACAAAACGTTTATATTTTTCACTACATTTTATTAATATCGTCGTTTCTTAATCTCGTTTATCTAATTTAGCTGTTGATTTATCTTTCTGAAACATATAAATAGCATAAAATGAATATAATATACATAAATATAAGTAAAATGTGCGTTAATTAAGACACAATGCAATAAGCGAGATTAATACACAAACAAGCAAATCAAATTATTCAGTAAATTATAAAAGTGAAAACAAAAATTAAGGCAGACACCTAAATTTACTTCTATTCAAGTCAACTTCTTCGTGCATCAGTACTGTGATTTGCCGAATGTGTGGATGATGTTTCAACTATCGATTCAGAGAGTTCCTTGGTGTTATGATATGTTACACAGCAGACATCTTCTGCCTTATCTTGATTGAAACTTGCAAAGACTAATGCATATTGTAACTTTTTAAGAGAAAGTATTTGACAATATTTGACAATATATCAGCATTGTCTGACAGTGCATTCTTTTATCTATCATTTTAGTTAACATAAAGCTACCTTAAATTTCACAGAGAGATATTGGCACATTGTATTAAATTTTGGACAATGCTGATTGAATCTTGATAAATTCAAGTATATTAAAATAAATTATTCTAAATTCAAATCGTAAATTTAGATCTTTTTAACCAAGATTTCGCGGGATCGATAGTATTCTAATAATTGAAAATGAAGCAATTTTAACAGCAGAAATTTTCCTCAACACATTCTCAAGAATAAGAACTACATTAAGGTGTAAGGGAGGGACGATGCAATAGAGAAATTTCTTTGTTGCATCCTACCTCCTTATTATCACTTAAAGATGTATATATGTTCTGTGCAAAACTACCAACAGTGGTAGTCACTGTAGAACCTATGACAATTGTTAAATCTACAAATTCCGAAAAAGATGTTGGTATTTTCAATTTTGGCAACTCTGGTATTGTGATTTTCAGCTGTCGATCATCACCGGGCTTGACTGAAATTATTTATAATACAATATAAACTGTATATACCTTTATAAATCATCTTTTTTTCGATGGTCACTATAATTTATTATATCTCGGTCATTTTATTCAAAATATTTTATATGTTCTTCTTTCAATTCTTTGAAAGCTGATGACTTATAATGTATATATTTTTTATTCATCCAAAAAAAAATATATATATATAATATAAAAATATTGTAATATTTCTATTACCACCATAAACAAAATTGTAGCCAACATTTATGTAATGTTTTGCTGTATCAAGTCCCTCTTCTGCCTTTTTGGGATAACAGACAGCTGCTGTAGCGAGAGCACCTGTGCTAGAATATACTACTCGCTTAAATGTACGTCCTCTAAGTCCAAGCACTAATCCAGCCAATCCACCAATAGCAATAGCACCCATTCGTGGCATAACATTACTTTCTTCACGAAGATAGTCCAAAAGAGCTGCAAAGAAATGGGCCTATGTTAATGTATGTTAAAAATATAAATAATAAAGTAACTATATATACATTTGTTTTAAATATAGACATCTTCACACTAACATTTGCTGTGTTCGACACCAGTGTCAATGGTATCAGAGATCACACCAGTGTAATGTTGATATTCTGACATGACTGCTTGAACCGATTTTCGAATTTTGGATATGTTCCGCTCCAATGCAGAGGGTGAACATTCTGTGCTGTTATGTAATATTATGATATGTTATACAATATAAAATAACAGTACAAGTAATGACAATCTAAATGATAATTTAATCATTGATCCCTAAATAACTTTCATAAACAACATTTGTTTGTTGTGAAATTAAATTTGTTAATTGTAAGTTCAGTCTCTTGTCTGCAAATATAATAGTTATGTATGTTGGAATTACTTGTGCTTTACCATGGGATCTGTTTAGAATAATCGTCTTCAAAGGGGTAAATCGGTAGTTCGGATGGTCGAATTAATTTCTTCACTCCTGACTCGTTACTGTAAGGTGACATTTTGCTTTCCGATGGATTTTCTGGTTTTATCACAGGTAACGCACATAACCCGCACGGCATTAAAATTTTCTTGAAAAACTTGACATACAAATATATCGTGTGTGGCTTATACTTAATACATTATATTAAATATCGCATGCACGACATATGAAGAATCTTTATATAATTACATAATTACCATTATTTCTCGAAAACGGAAATTGTTTACATAAATTAACTATTCCACTCTTTTACGTCTCTTTTGTATCTCTCGTATATCATACAAAAATTCGTGAATTTTCATAAACTTAGCCAATTTTGTAATTCGATATATTAGCAGAAAGACAGAAAGACAGATATAAGATAACTCACAAACTTAACATATTAGGAGTTGCAATGTTGCAATCATATACCCGCCATCGCCCGAAAATTCTGACAGTACGATAAATCACGTGTATTGATTTATAAATTAAAAAATTGAAATTTATTTTATAATTCTAAACAGTATTATTTCGTACTTACTTTTTTTGGAAAAATATCAACCTTGTCTCTATAAATTGTCTATAAATACGTATATATTTCTCAAAAATAGAAAATATTTTTAAAAAGTACCGCGTGATTTAAAAGACTCGTTATCGGTAAGCATTTTCGATGCAAACAAAAACAAAAGAAGCGGGACTTTTTTTTGTCAAACTAACCGAATTGCAGAATTATAAAAATTATTAGTATCTAAAAATTCAGAAATATGAAGAATTATTAATATTAATATATATATATATATATATATATATATATATTAATTCCTTATATAGACATGTTTATGAATGTGCTAATTCATATAAGCATATTTTTTATCTTAAATACGGAACATTAAGCAAAAATTTTCAAAATTATATAAATTTATATTTAATTTGATATCCTCCAAGATACTTTTAATTTAAGAAAAATCATCTATTATTATTCATACATTGATACCAGTTCTGCCCAGTTCTACCAAAGTACCCGGTTGATAATCATCACAATGATGCACAGGTTCTCGACAAGTTATATCTTTACCAAATACGTTTCCGATGGTAGATTCCAAAATTTTGTGCACAATATTATTCATATCCGTATTTTTCAGAAATATAAAATCTCAATTATTTAGAACATATGTAATTTGATTACTGAAACTTAAACGTCACGTCGATTGTTTGACATCTATATATTAAAAATCTGTATACTCTCGCATTTTTATTATTTATACAAATTATGTCGAATTCAAGATGTTTTTTTTTTTAATTGATGTATCATATCTATAGATATCGGCGCATGTATTGTATGACTGTAAAAAACAGCGACCTATAAATATATTTAATTTTCTTTTCAATCATGAAATTTTTTTTGCATTTAAGATATTTTAGTTATAGGACATTTTATTTGAATTTCTTATAACAAATAATATAATAATATATTTTTCCTTATGAATTTGTATTGGCATTAGGTCCACGTCGGCGACCAAAGGTTTGGACGACATTAACGAATCTGCGGTTATACTGAATGCGTCGTTTAGCACGGCCAGTCTTCTTTTTACTCTTCTCTTGTTTTTCAACCTAATAACACACATTACAATACATTATAACATTTGAACATAAAATTTTCTTATTTAAGATTCTAATCTGAGATTTTAATATGTACTTTCTTTAGAGCTCTGTCATATTTAACACACACACACACACACACATGTATATATATATATATATACATTCAGACAGAGCTCTAAAGAAAGTACATATTAAAATCTCAGATATATATAATATATGAACTATAAAATCAATATAATTTAATTTGTAAATAATAATAAATATAAATTGAATTTTAAATATAGAAAAATGAAGTATGTTTTTACTTTGGGTGTCTGAGCCTTCACTTTGCCAGCACGTGCCAGAGAACCGTGAACTTTTCCTATAAACAAACAAATATTCGGTTATCTAGTAATCAATCATTAATATTTTTTATACTTGATGATAATCACGCAATATCAGAATTAAAAATTTAATATACTTTCTCTAAACAAACACATGTAATAAATGCAAGGTGGACTGTTTTGATTATTTAGATCCAGGATTTTTAAATGTACAATTTTAAATGTACACTCTCTATGTGTCTTATTTTGTATATATTAACTTACCTCCTCGTAGGGGAACAGTCAAATCAAGTACATTTGATGGAAGTTCACCAACACATGCTTCATCTGTTAATAAACTCCCATTGCAGTAAAGGTTGAATTCTTCCTCGATACCATGAAGGCATGCAATTTTTTTCTATAAAAAAATTAAAAAGATTTATTTAAATAAAATATTTTTTTAAATTAAACATTAAGTAATCAATCACAATATCCTCTATGAAAAATTAGTAGTATATTGTTTAATTTACTTATGCTTATTTTAAGTTTTTTATTATAAGCTATTATATGTTATTTAAATAGATTCTACTATACTTTAACATTTTATTTCCTTCTTTTTTATTTTTTGAGTAAAATTTATTCTTCTTGTAAAAACTTGTTATAAAGATAGCTTTGTAGTAAACTTATCAAGAGTAAAAGAACAATTACTTTTGCTCTTTCATAAATTTACACATTACTTTTGCATTATTGCTCGTTCTAGCATTTGTGTAAAATTAGCAAATGCTAGATTATCATTTTAATGCTACATTTTTACAAAATTATCGTTCGAAGCCAAATACATCAAATTTGATATTGAGATTAATAATAAAAGAAACACTAATATACCTTTATGTGTTGTATTCTGTCATTATCTATACAATCAATGATAGTTGTCTCTTGTCCACGAATCTGGAGCTGCATGGTGTTTGTCATTTTCTGATCTAACAAAAACTCTGAAACATAAGCAAGTTATAAGAAAATTATAAGAATTTTAATTTCAATATTTAATACTTATATATTCTGATTGATGCTATATGATAAATCTTCTCAAAAGTAATATAAGTAATATACAATATAAAATATGTGAGTGTATATGTATATATTTCTGTGTGAAATTTTTCTCTCTCTCACACACACGCACACACATACACACGCACGCACGTATAAAAAAATACACAATTGCATTTTTTTTTATACAAAAATTCTACGCAAATTTTTATGGTAGATTTTTAGTAGGAAAAATAAAAATACCAAATATGAGATTAGCAAAAGGTACGAAACATGCCAACAACGTGTTCTATAGGTTATGACGCATAATGTAAAATAATCTCTTTTACATCGAGAAATTTAAACGTAAAATACTTAATGAATAAGTAGGCCAATATATAAGTACCAATAGAGCAACTTGAATTATAATCGTACGTTGTTTCACGTACGCTTATTCAATATATTGGATTTCGATTACACGCTTACCTTCGTCGAAGATACGCAAGAAGGGAAAAGAGACAGTATCGTTGTTTTGAGGACGCAGTCAATTCTCCTATTGGCTCTTATACATGTGATGTGGCAAGAAGCTACTAGAATGTTCCAAAACACATTTAAAAAGAACGATCATGGATTGTGATAATCATGATGAACTACGTTAAAAAAATCTATTCCTCAGATGGAGTCTGTATTTGATTGACCAATCAGGACAAAGATTTTCTGGTTCTCTTTGCTTTGATTGGTCAATAAAATATTATTCCACTGCGAATCGATCTAGTAACATTTCTTGGAGTTGGATTTGTAATCTTTTCATGTTTACCTTTTGGATGCGAGATGCAGGAATTCTCTTTGGTATAAGATTGAATTAAGTATTGTGAATTAAAATGTCGCTCAAATTGAGCTCAAATACCACATCGTCAATTGAATTAAGCTCCTATCGTGATCAACATTTTAAGGTTGGTTTCTTAAAAGTTAATATATCAAAGAGTAAATAATAAATAGTAGTAAATAATTTCAATATCATCAGGATTTTACATACTATTCATATTTGCGTATTCTTATGATGCAATTTAATTGTATAAAATTGTTTATGCAATTATTGATTTCACTATCCTTTAGGGCTCAAGAGCTGAACAGGACAGGCTTTTAAGGAACTCTTCCACTTTGTACGTGGGCAATTTATCCTTTTATACTACAGAAGAACAGATATATGAATTGTTTTCGAAATGTGGTGACATTAGACGCATTATTATGGGCCTCGACAAGTATAAAAAAACACCATGTGGTTTTTGTTTTGTTGAATATTATCAAAGATTCGATGCTGAACATTGTATGAGATACGTCAATGGTACTCGTTTAGATGACAGAATAATTAGAACTGATTGGGATGCTGGCTTCATCGAAGGCAGACAGTATGGCCGTGGCAAGACTGGAGGACAAGTAATTCTCTTTAAATTAATATCTTATATGGGACTAGTTTATATCTAAGATATTTGGATCGTTGAAAAAAATGTAGTAATACTTAGTATTAATAAACAAATTTCTGGCTAGTTTGGTCGACTACATTTTTTTCAACGATCCTTGTGATTATCTGACTAGCAACATAAAGTTATTTTATTAATTTTAAGATATTTGGTATATATTTTTCCATACTTATAGGTAAGAGACGAATATCGATCAGATTTTGATAGTGGACGAGGTGGTTATGGTAAAATAATACAACAGAAAGTAACATCTCTCTCGGATGGTGGATTTGGACGGTGAAATTTTGAAACAAGAAACAATTATACATATAACATATACGTGTAAATGTTTTCAATATGTATTTTATTAATCATTCATACATTGTGAAATAATTCATTGTATATGTAAATATAATGTTTAAGAGGTAAATTATATTAAGTAGAGTAATAAAAGTAATTATTCGTACATATACTAAGGCCATGTTAAAATGTGCTTTAACATGCCTTAACATTGTAAATGACATTTTCCATTGAAATATTTTCAAATAACTTTGTTTATGTAAAATTAATGGACATGTTTTTCATTATAAAATTGATTTCCAAATTCATTTTTACATTCCTTATTTCTATATACTATAAACATTTTAATAACAAAGTAAGATATAAAAATATAATATAAATACGTGCCGTATAAAATAACGTTAAAATTTGGAATCATCATATATGTATATAATATATTTATTATTATCTCCAATATTTATTGTACTGTTAAATATTTTTTAACTAGGTTTTAATTCAGACGTACTAGATGTATCATTGTTGTTTCCTTTCTGAGATAATTTTTTTTTAATTAAGCTCATAAAATCTAATGAGTCACTTCTATTATTTTTAAAATTTTGAGTTTTTACAGTTCTACAAGTGACTTTCACAGATGCATATTTTTCATTATCATGTCTTGTTACATTTTCATGATTTAATACAGTATTAATTACATGATTACTTTCTTTTCCGTTAATATCAGAAGTTTCCTTCTTTAACCCATCAGCAACTATTATTTCATCACTGATATCACCAGCAGCTATAATTTTTTCCATTTTTTCTACAATTTTGTTGAATGTTTGATTTTTATTTTCTTGATTACAATTATCTTTATCTTTATTGTGCTTTATCGTGCTATGATTAGCTTTCTCTATTAAAAATTCTGCTGTATGAATTGCAGCGATATCTTCCTCTGATGTATCCAGACAAAGTGTATTTTTGTTAACAACTCTGCCTCCATGCAGGAAAGTGGAGATGTTTTTTCGCCGCCACATTTTGGAAGTACTAGGCACAGACTGTTTGCATTTTCCTTCAAATTGGAATTCCTTTATGTCAACATTACCAATCTCGCCTTTTAGAAAATATAGATATTTTTTCAATGCTGTGTAAAAATGCAACTTGTCTACCATTCTGGGAAAATTAGCACATCGTGCACTGCTAGATGGGGTCACCCAAATTGCAGTATCATCAATGCGTTCAGGTTGCAATCCAAAATAAAATGTGTCTTTAGCTCTGATGTTGGCAAACACTTCATAAATACATTTACCATTGAATACTGCAATTTTGGGCTTGTATAATTTTAATTTTTCTTCCACTATTTTCGCACCCTCTTTGATCTCTGTACGTTTGAGATCTGCAGCAGATCTAGTGGGACGTGTCACAATATTTGTTAGACCAATACTATATTGCAACAGTTTATAGTCTTCTTCAAAGTTAAGAAATCTTGGTGTTAAGCCAGATTCATGTAATAATTTATAAAAGTGATTACCAGGACCTGCATAATATCTACCACGATGTGCTGCCATTAGACTTGGATTAATTCCAACAAATACTAAATCCAGATTCATCTCCAAATAATCTTCCAATGTATATTTTTGTACTTCTTCTTCAGATAATCCATCGAACCGGTCTATTTTTTTTTTAGGTTGTTCAGAGACTTCTGGCGGTTTTCTCCTTTTTAATTTTTTTAAATCAAGCGTCGACATGACATTCGTGCCTCGAGAGAGAGATACATGCAAAAATCGATCTGTAAATTTTCATAAATCATACAAATATTTAAATATATTTTCTTACTTGTAGAAAGTAAACTATTGTTTGTTGCAAAAGATTTATCATATTTGTTTGACAAAATTAAGTGAAAAAAGATTTTAAAGTCATATTTGTTAATCAAAATATAAATGTATAATCATTATCTTTATACAATTATTATCTTATTTATATTATTATTATCTTAATACAAATTCTTAATATCTTTGTAGAGAAATTTAAATATATTTAATTTTACAATATTGATATCTTTAAACTCACATATTTTATGTATTATTTTTGAGACGTACAAATTAAATTTATTCGATTCCGTTCTATTTTTTTCATAATTGCGGTTGAATACAATGACTTTTCACATGGACAACTTGTTAGACAAGTATATCACGAGGTCGGTAAGTATGAAAATGATAATATATACGCATCTCTTTCGAAAGCGCCCTCATTTAATTTTAAAAAGTATCGCAATATATTATAAATTTTTAGAATATCAGAGAGAAAAAAAATCAGAAATTACATTCTTCAGAAATTCTTCTTTATCGCAAAAAAATTTATCTTGTTATAAAAAAACCTAAAAATTTGAATGTCACTAATTTTACATATAAGAAAAATGTTCAATGTTATATTTTATTACATGTAAAAATAAAATAATCTTTATGTCCTTTTCCCTCTTTATGTCTTTATATCCATAAGTAGTCTTTAAAAAAGTTTTACTTAAAACGTTAGAAAATTATTTTAATAGATTTGAAACTTTGGATGTATGTATAATCATAATAGAAATAAATTAACAAAATAGTGTTCTTTTTTCACAATATTTAGTAACTTAATCTTATGCGAGAATAAAGTCGTTTCAATTCGGTCTTGAATGGAATTCGACGAAAGAGGGAAACGTTTCCTTAGAAACGAGCGAATACATTGTAGTTGGAGAACGATAATCTTTTCGTGATCCATGGTCCGTTTTCCATTAAAATATAACGTTTCGTTAACCTGCAATCAATTTTTTTCGTCTAAAACAAAATCGTTATTCGCGACAAAAAATGAACAAAAATAGTGCACGGTTTTTCCCTTCGAAATTTACATTGAATGACTGGCATTATAACAATCAATTCAGGTATTGGAGTAAGTCATACATACATTATTCAATAAAATTGCGTAAAAACCGTCTTTACGATTGCAGCTAAAATTACACATCATTTTATTGTAAAACTAAGCTATGACCGCAGTAATAAAACGTCGAGATATTGTTCCATTTTATGTAATTTTTTATGTATTATTTTATTTTAAAGAAAATAAAAAACAATTTTCCGCAAAATTATACGCTAAAATTATACACATTTTAATTCGTTTAGATTCCGAACAATCCTCCTTTTTTAATATCTAACTATAATTTCGACAATTTAGGTATCGATGCTCTGAAGCACAACAGGAATCATCAGACCGTATCTTAGCTGAAGCAACGCGCGCGTGCGAATTGGCCGCGGAAATTGCGAAAGTTAATAAAGAGGAGACGGATCATCGTTTGCAAGAAAAGCTTAATGACATCGAATTTCGTAAGAAGGAATTGCTGCGGATCAGAAAGGACATTGCTTTGGAAATCGACGCGTTATCAATGTATAAAGAACGGCTTACGGACGCGTTAAAATCCGTGAAAAGAAACGCCCTCGCAATTTGCGAAGAGTGTCTTATTGCCAGGTCATTTACATTCATCAGACATCACTTTTCTGTCTATGTACTTTGTACGCCTATCAAAATACGAAAATCAATTTAGAGAAAAAGAGAGATTCTTTTCTTAATTAATCTTAATTTTCTTAATTTTCCATAACGATATTGTATAGGGAACGTAGACTAGGAATCGATTTAGTTCACGACGACGTGGAAAAGAACTTGTTAAAAGAGCGTGAAGTAATCCAAAGAGCGGAGAACTTGTTAGATCGAATTTGGAAAGAAACTAACGAACAAATCCGCAAATTAAAAGCTACATTGTATTATATTGATCACGATCTCGAGAATAAGGACACCAATTTGCACATCGATCGTCGCAATATAATTCTGAAAGAGACTGATTTTCATTTGAGTATCTATCATGATACTTTGCCTCTCGATAAATCGTACGAAATATTATCATATTAAATTATGTATATCGCAGCGTTTGCGCATTACCATTACAAATTAGAATTTTTTGCAACTAATATATTCAGTTACGACGAAATCAAAAGTGATTTTTTCCTTTTTTATTATCATATCATTATATTTCATCAAAATAGTCTGATAAAGAGATATCGAAAAAATTTATTTAACGACGTAAAATTGACCGATTCTCTCTCTTCACATCTATATTTAATATATTAATACATTAATATATTAAATAATTTATATGTAATTATTCAAGATTGAAAAAAAATTGTATATTGCAGAACAGTAACGTTAAATGAATGGGAATTGCAAACGAACAATAATGTTATTAGCGCAAATAAAGAGGTGAATGATTCAAAACAATTACGTTGTTATATCGACACGATAATTAAACAAACGATTGATGATCTAAATAAACAAGAAGACGTTACAAACGAGGCTTTTAAACAGCGTATCGAGCAGACTCGAGAAGCTAAAATCAAATTGGAACTTCAACACTCGGAGGCAAGTAAAATGACATATCTTGAAAAATCTTGGAAATTAAAAAGTTAAGCTTTCGAGAATCGATAATACTTATATTTCTATTATTAAATTTCTATTTTTAATACTCAAGAAAAGATGTTAAAAAATTTCTCAGGCCAACTTTAAATGAAAGAAATTTCAAGCTTTAATAGCATGATGCATATTAAAGTGTTGTATTTTTCGATGGCACACTATTTTATCGTCTCGATTTACAATTCATGCTACATCTTCTACTTTACATTATTTTTATTATTTCTTTTTAGATAATCAAACAAATTAACGCCATGTCAAGTAACGTAGAGCATATAAAAAAATCTATAATTGATAAGGAGGGTTATATAGCTTTGGTTTACACAAGATTAGGACATCGATGTCAACGTCCAGGAATGGAACTTACTCAAGACTTGGTTGAGGCTAATCTTGTCAAGGAAATACACGAATTACGAAATGTCGTAGCAAATCTACAGCAAATGCTTTGCGAGGTTTGTCGTATTTCTTGCGTTTTATAATATAATTTGATAAATCGCGAACGATACAGTCTCTTAATAATTTGATAAACTTTAACAAAAAAATAATCATCGTTTTAAAATGTATCATAGGCAGAAGCATCGTTACGTTACTTGCTCAAGACACAAATTCAACTCGAGGAAGAGATTAATGTAAAGACGAATACTTTGAAAATTGACGAGGTCGAGTGTATGACTTTACGTCAAAGTATAGATTATCACGCGTATTAACACTATCATTAAATAAAATAATCATCATCTTTCTCTCAATCACATAATCTCTTCTTTTATATTTATATAAATTCTTGTGCTGTCAACTTAAACTATACTCATACATTCTTTCTAAAAAATAAAGAAAAAAAAAATATATATATATATATATAAAATAAAATATAAGAAATATATGATATATAGTTATTTTTTATCCCTCACTGTCGTCATATTAAACTTTGATGTCAAGAAACAAACAATGTATGCAAAATATTGAATCATTTCAATTTAAAGGAAAAAATAAGGAAAAATTTATATAATTTCTCGTTTTTATCAGTATGATTACATAACTGAAGGATTCGTTGTTTTAATAATAAAACAATAAATTAATAATAAAGCAATAAATTTATCTGGCATACATTTGAAATCATAAAAATGCTATCGATTGTCGTATAATGTGACATATTTTTTTACAGATGTAAAAAACGAGATAAAAGTATTTTTTTACGAAATGAGGTCAAAAGTAACTAACGTCTTTTGCTATACTTTTTGTTGATGCAATCGCAGTCACGCATAGTTGCAATGTTTCTCTCTCTCTCCCTCTTTCTCTCTCTTTCTCTCTCTCATTCTCCCTCTTTCTCTCTTAACTGAAATAAAGCAAAAAGCGGACGAAGAAATAAATGGCGTCCAAGAACCGGTACGCACGTGAGACGAAAGAGAGGGAGACACTTTCATGATCGGTCTAACCGACTTGCCGCTGCTATTTCATTTTAGTTCGGATACAGGAATCGAATCACATAGTCACTATATGCATTTAATCCGTCGACTACGTAGAAGCCTATGTTTGCATAATTTCCTCCTCTTATTTATTGAATTGGGAACGTCGGAGAAACCGCGTGTGTAAAATTTAGTACTTTGTGTGAATCGTCCGATATGTACGTGTGACGTGAAATTTGTGCGATTGTACTTAAGTAATTAATTATTAAAATAAAGTTAAATATAAAGGACCAAATTTGATCTGTACTTAAAGACATTAATTATCAAGTTATTATTTGTATTATTTGTGCATGTTTATTAATATTTTGTATAAAAAGTATATAAATTTATGAAACCTTTTTTATGAATCCAATCTGTGCAGTTTTTTAATATTAAAATGGCGGATACTATATCGAAGATATCAATTAACAACAATAATGGAATGAATGTCACACAAACGATCGAAAAAGATTATGTAAGTATTTTCGTATCATAATTTAACTTAACTTTAAATGTATTTTTGTTAAAATTGATTTCAATTTCTGCACACAAAAGTTAAATAATATTTATATAAACACGAGTGAAAAATGATGAAGCAGTAGCAATTTAAAGATCGCTTAATATAATCATATTTAATATAAATATTTACAAAATTTTTTCTCTTTCTATCTAAAACTTTATTAAAATATATTTCTGATATGCATGTGTAAACGTATATAAGACTTTAGAAATAGGTAAAACACATGAGCATAATTACAAGAAAGATAAATTTAATTATATGTACGTTATTTTTAAAATCACGTGTAAAAATAATTTTTGCAAAAAATATATTGTATCTATAAAAATAAAAAGAATACATGAGATATTAACTCTATTATTAAAAGTGTATCACCCTGTTTTTTTTTAGATGCATGAGTAATGTTTAGTAAATGTTTAGTAAATGCATGAGTAATGTTTAGTAAATAAGTCTTAAAATTAAAGCTTATACTTGATTTAATCTCAGATTTTAGAAAGCGGTATTATTTGATCTAATATTCAATTTAAATTTTCGCTACTGATTTGAAATAATGATTTAAATGACCTAAATATTTTAACAACTTATTCTCTTCATGGAAATATATTCTTTTTTCACGTATTTTGAATGTTAAATATTATTTGTGTGTTAAATATTGTATGTTATATCCGAACAAAATCTCACCTGTTGATGGATTCACATGCTTATTCGAAAATTAATGGAATTTGAAATTTGTTAATGAACTAATTTGTACTCATTGTATAACACAAATGAACAAAATTTTTTTTATTTATATTAGGGAATCTGTTCCTTTTATATCTCTAATATTTAATTTTATGTAAATAATTATTATCAATATGCTCTAAAAATTTTGATATTAATAAATCTAGATATTAATGAATTAATATGTCTTATTCCTTAAGTCTGCAAGAAATTAGCGCAAATTAATATCATATATCGAGAAAATTTAGCCTTATTACTAGATATAGTAGAAAATTAGATACATTGCAAAACAAACAGAAATAAATATAGAAATTAGCAGAAAATTGTTAATTTTTTTATTATGTAACATAATTATCTTCCATATAATGTCTTTCATTATAGTCTTTAAATACAATTTTCACTTCATATTGACTCACGTTTGACTCAATCAAACGTTATTTGCAACGAGCTTTATATAATCAGGGATCGTGACCCGGCATAATTAACTAACATTGACTCAAGTGAAAAACGAAACTATTTCTTTCTGTATAATATGTTACTATTTTATTACTAACAAGTTATATTCTGTTAAAATAATAAGATTCCTAAATCGAAGAAAGAGCGATAAAACCACTGCATAAAAAAAAAACAAATAAAAAAATTATAACAATAAGAAAATCGTAAAAATTTAATTCGTTAAATAGAATGATTTTCCTTTTCAGACATTATTTTAATATTTTTGATTTGAAATAAAAATGATAAGGCGATTCAAATATCAATATTTCTCACAAAAGTGTTAAAGTAACGTTTGATCGAATTAAAAAATAAAATTCGCACATGCATATGAAAAGGGGGTCAATGATCAAATATTGTTATGACGATTGTTATCACGTCATGATTGTTATCATCGATAATACTGCTTTTTACCGCGGGGTAGCGACATTGTCGTGTTATTGATTATAGTACAGACCGTAGAGAGATTGGGGTTGAATCGGCTGGGGTGAAATTCGTCAGAAAATTGACAAGCGGCGAATTGTATAAAGCAATCAAGTTCGCTTACGGTACGCGATATCTGTGCGGATAAAGAAATATTAATCGTCACATGATGCAAAGTGCCGTGAGATAAGGGCGAGGGTGGCATCCCTGAAGGAAAAGGTGGCGATTCGAGCGTATTTTACGCGCGATATTAAACACGCGATTCAAAAGGATCTTGCAGAAATGTGTGTTAGCGCCATTTAAAGCACATGTCGCGTGGAGACGCGCTTCTGCTCCCGTAGTAAGTACATATGCGCGACGCACACGTGTGTGAGCGCCTAGATAAGATGCGTTCAACCCGGAAATGCATAAAGCGGAAGTGGTAGAAAGCATTAATGACGCCTGGTGTACAATCTTGCGAGCAAACAAGAAACGTGCGCGGCCAAACGTAACTACGGTCACGCGATAGTTTTGCTCGTAATATGTAACGGCAGACGGTACATAAGATGCGGACTGTTACTGTAACATCGGACGGTTACACGTGTTATGGCCTCGTTTCACATCAGATGTTTAACATCATTGCAATTCAAATTGTAACTGTTAATATGATTTGCGGATTATACGCGTAACACATGTAATTTCTGCAATTATTTGGAATTTTTTAATTTGCGACTTAGTTGGCAAAATACTTAATAAATATTTGACCATAATTTTTATAATAATTTGGAATTTTTTAATTTGTTACTTACTCGGCAAAATGCCTCAATAAATATTCAACCGTTCAATTGTGTAATAAAAAAATATCTCATTGAAATTTACTTTGCGTATATATATATCATACATGTATATCTTTTTAAGTATAATGTACAACAATTTTTAATAGCAATTTTTTATCTTGTTAGCTTAATTAAAACTTTGCAAAAAGACTGCAAAGAGCAAGAAAATCAATTCTATACATATATGGATGATAGTTTATATAGCAATAATTATACATTTGATGTTTTTATAAGGAAAAACTTGTAAATGACGTATAATATTAGCAGCTTGTAGCAAGTTGTATTTTATGTAGTATACTTTAGCTCGACTAGGTCATATAAGCAGAAATACGATTGATAGGAGAAACTAAATTGCACTAGAAAGTAGTCGACTAAACTAGAAACCTTGCAATTTGTTCTAGTCAATCAGTGAATGGAAAATATCTTGAATGCACGACGTTCTACATATGTGGAATATTAAATTGGAAGATATTTAATCAACGAAAAAAAGTTCTTTTTGTATTTCTTAATTATTTGAACTTTCTGCAATGATTGAAAGCTTGCAAATATAAAAGATACATCTTACAAACTAATGTCACATACTAAAGTATATGAAAAAGAAAACTTTGTATTAATCTAACATATACTACATTTACATTATATATGTAAATAAATATTTATATAAAACATAATTTTATATTTGAGTATTTAACTCTGTCCATAATGTACCTAAGTTTTTTTATAATATTCTCTTATATGTTATATAAAATTGTACGTGACTTGCAGCTTTTAAGTAAAAACATAAATTATATTATCAGTTTACATGACAATGTGCGAGTTGTAGCTTCTACAGGAACATCAATCTTATTATCAGTCTTATCAGTCTTATCAGCACTCGTGGGTGACCTATGAATTGACAAAACATGACGACGCGATCGTTCCAAGATATTCAAACGATCGCGTTTGCGGATTAAATTAGTCGCTCTCATTTTTTAATTAAATCTTCAAGAATTCGCACGCATTTTGCAGGATATCGAACGTGGCGAGGGCCGTTTCGGAGTAGGAGTATCGCCGTCGACAGGCCACCCGCGGCCAGCGTCGGCGTCGACATCGGCGCCGGGTTCGGCGCCGACATCGACGCCGCGCGAATCGTCCAACGCCAACAGATGTGACTTGAGGGTAACGGCCGGAGTGGGGCGCGATGTAAACGCAGGTACGCACCAGGACGACGGGCAGTGGACTGCACGTGCCGGCGTGGGCGCCGGACCGATGGCTCGGAGATCGGAGAGAGACTCAGGGAGCGGAAGCCGCTGGAAGACGGTCGGCCGTTTTCTACGACGCTTGACTTTCGTCATGTTCTTGCTGGCGCTTACAGCTGCCACCTTGGCTCTGGTTACGATTTACATGGGTCCGATCTATCTCGTGCAGCTACTTCTGGTGGTCTCCGTTGCCTATTTCGTCGCCGGTGGCCGCTTACGATGGTTCTACGTCGCCCTAAGAACATTGCCACGTGATTGCAAGTGAGTCGAGACTTTTCGCACTTTATGCATTGATCTTTGTTTGTTCTCAGTTAAACTATATTTAATTATATAACTATATTTAATTATAAAGTCGTATTGTAATCGTCGACCTTTGATCGTTGGAACGATCATGAGATTGATGTTTACCCGATTTTTTCATGAAATGAGAAAGCAATGACATTTCATCGTTTTATAAATATCACTGATTAATGATCCCATATAAATATATGTAAATAATGTTAGAAAGATCTCTTTAGAATAAAAATCTTTGCATAATACTGTACGAATTACTAGATTGAAGGCTACGTCAATGGATGTACAAGGAAACTGTAAAAAAAACAGAATATTCTACTATTGAGAAGCCATACAACGTGACTTTAGCGATAACGCGTAAATAAAACATTGACGTAATGATATTACTAAGATTTCAATATTTATATTCACAAAAATACAGAATATTTATATGACAGTATATTTATTATATATCGATTTTATCTATTTTATTATATATTATTATATATGATCTATTTTATTATATATATCTTTAGTATTTGTATTTATACGTAAAATACATTGCAGAGAATCTTAATTTTAATAATAAGTTCTTCAGTATTCATGCAATTTTATTCCTCAGACATCTATAATATAATTGGTTCTGCTAAAAAAAACTGTCAATGATCAATGATCACTATTTTTTCTATAATAATGACTTTATTTGATATCTTGCAAGGATTAAAAATTGCTAATGAAAATCTGGTGAAGATGTCATGTTATAGAGACAAAAATTCTTGGATTTTCAATTTATTGACAACAAAAGAAATGATCAAAGAATTTAGGATATTACCATTTAACGGTTTGTTTTGATCTGTTCTTTGAATTCTTATTAATGATAAACTCGCAGTGCTTCATCAAAGGATCATTTATATTTTGTCGCAATAACAGCATGAGTGTGTATCATAATGTGCAATTAGAAAAAATGGCTAATTTAAATTCTAAACTTTTTTTTGTCATAATACACGTTATATAATGATGACTTAATTCTTAATATTCTTAATAATTATATCATCTTTAAATAATAACCTTGTTTAATAAAAAGTATATTTAAATTCAAAATAAGCTTTATAATAAAAAAACCGGTCTTTCGAATGGAATATATAAAAAGTGTAATATTAAATTATCGCTAAAATACAAATATGCTTGTTAATTACTAATAATTGCTGATTGTGAGATTCAATATTCGATCGAACAAAAAAATTGAATAAATGTACAATAGTGTCATTTTATGACGTAAATGCCTTTTTTATATGAAACACACATATAAATAATACAATATAATTTCTTGTATTTTCTTTTCTTTAATACATTTGTCTTCAATTATTTATTAATTTAATCTGTAAAAAAAATAATAACATATTTTATTTTCCTCTTATATTGTAGATTCTGATTATTGTAGATTCTGAGAAACACGATAAAGAATTGTTGGTAAAATTATTTGCATCGTTGTAATAGAAACTTGAAACTTTCTCTGCAAGAGTAAAAAATAAAATGTCCCAGTTTAGTAGATTTGAATGAGTGGATCAGAAAGGCGATTCATAATAACTATAATTTCTTTACACAAACACAAAGCTTAAATTAAAAGTAATTTTATACACACATCATAGATTTTTATTCAGATTTCCTTAATAACCGGTATTATACAAGGCTAAAAGACGTACGCGAAGAAAGATGCAGCGACTTTCACCGGAAACTGCATATACGAGGTGTACAAAGAATAAAGTAGGAATATTATAGATCGAAATTAAATGAAAAAATATATCGTGAAAGCGATAGAGAACGTTACCCACTTGAACTAAAAAATATAAGAGCTTTACTTTGATTATCTCGCTTTCGCGCGAGTTTTATAGCGCTATATATTGTTCTATTCACTTTGGAGATTGTATAAAAAAATAAATAATTAAAAATCTATAAATAAATAATTAAAGATATATACAATCCAGAAACAAGGATTTTCGGATCGTATAATTACAATGGCACATACTCCAAATATATTATTAGATATGCAAAACCTGTTGAAATGCAAATTAGCTTTAAATTTTATTTATTAAATTTATATGGTATAAATGTAGCTTTTAATCCTTGAGATTGATGTGAATAATGAGAGTTCCGCGTGTATGCGCGCTTCTATATATATATGTATGTGCAAATATACATTCAATCTTGAATAATTGCAAAGTCATATACGTAGTGTGTATTTTTCCGAAGTATAGTATTTTATTTCAAAATTATGAGAAAAAGAATCTTTTTAACTTATGGAATATTCTTTATTAATCGAGTAATATTTATTATTCTATAACTCTTTCACTCTAGTTAAAATAATATGATTTTATTTTTATATAAAAATACCGAGAGAGATTTTCCATTTACTTTATAATTAATAGCATTTTCGAAAAATTTAAAGGAAAATAGCGATAATTGCCTTATCGCTGCTTCAATAATTTTTTACATCAATTGTAATGTGAATAGAAAATTAAACGTAAATTAGTTTAAAGTTTAAAGTTTAAAAAATTAATTGAGCGCTTACATGATCTAGAAAAATACATATTATAAAATGTTATACATATTATAAAAATCATGATTCGTCACGTACATTCTTTTGCTGAAGATATCGACGCAATGATATGGAACGTAGAAACGTGAGTTCTCGATAATTTGATTTTTCGAAAAGAAGTAATTTTGCATGGTTATATTTATAATCATGACCGTGACTATGAATATTATTGTAGTCATAGTCATGGCCCTGACCATGATTAAAATCTAGGTTACGATCAAAGTTGCGATTATGACACTTCGATATATTTTGCAATTCAGAGCATACAAGATTAATAAAAGATTACATTATCGAATCGATCGCATCGCATACTCTTGAATCAACATCATATTATCTCAGAAAAAAATCTAGATGTCATCGTAGGAACGGAAGATTAAGTGAGAGAAGAAGAGAAACAAAAAAAAAAAGACGTAAAGAATTCAAAAATAATATTTAAAAAAGAAATGAATTATTAAATTGATATTTCATTGTCTTTCGCGACGCGCAAACTTTTGATCGACTCTATATTATATGTTCTTGTCTTTTCCCACTATACTTTGTAACTTGCCAGTGTCCTTCCGCACTGCTGCTGAGAGAATGTAACATCTTTTCTTGACCTCGAGAAGATATAACGGAATTTCTTGGCCGTTCGACTTGGTTACCTATCCCGAAAATGACTGCACGTATTTGAAAAAAATTATTTATACATATCAAATTTTTTTATTTAGAAAAAAATATATGAAAAGCAATATATACAAATACAAATAAAATTGAAGACAATTAATTATTTTATTTAATGCATTGTTTTACGCACGTTCTGCAGTACATTAAATAAAATAATTGAATGTCTTTGATTTTGTTTGTATTTGTATATATTGCTTTTCATATATTTTTTCTAAATAAAAAAATTTGATATATGTAAATTATTTTTTTTGCTAAACGTATTTGCTTAGTTTTTTTTGCAATCTTAGTCTATACTAGGCATTAAGAGCATTTAAATGAATAAATGAATGAATATGCATAATCCATGAATATATATAATCACATCTCCTCTTGTGCAAGTTGTTATAAAAATTATTTTTTTTAACGTAACTTTTATTTTTTTCAGGGGACTTATAGCTTATATTACAATATTATTGTCAATACGTGGTCATGAGAAAAAAAATAGAAACGTCGCTGATATATTTAGAGAATGGGTCAATCGTCATCCTAATAAAGTCTGCTTTATATTTGAAGATCAGGAATGGACTTTTCAACAGGTAAAATATATTTTTTTACACAAGAAAATAATGCATTGCTTTTTATTTAGTATATATATTTTAATTTCAGAAGAGAGAGATATTTCATACATACTTAAATATATGTAAATAATTGATTTTGACTTTATATTCTGAAATTTACAAGTTTAATAATCCAAATTAATTCTTTATTTATTCTAGAATTTCTGTCAAGTTCTTCTTGTGCAATTAATAATTCAATAATGTAATCAATAATTAATAATTCCAATTAATGATTTACTTTAGCTTCAATAAAATTCGCTGAGTGCCCTAATGACTTATACATACAGCGAATTTTGTGATTTTAAGAATAAAATACATAAAAATATAATTTGCTTGAATTAAATCTCTTATTCTCCTTATACATATAGTATAATCATATGCCATAACTAGCAATCTCCATTTTAATAATCTCTAATCTCTATTTTAATAATCTCTAATCGATTCTCTAATTGATTTGAAAAAAATTTTAATAATCTCTAATCTCTATTTTAATAATCTCTAATCGATTCTCTAATTGATTTGAAAAAAATTGAGATTCTTTTTCTCTTATTGTTAGATATATTTATTATTAAAAAATGTATCGTAATGTGCGATTTTTTATCTCTTTCTCTCATAGATAGAAGATTTTAGTAATAAAATTGCGACAATATTCAAAACTCATGGTTATAAAAAAGGAGATGCGGTTGCTTTACTCTTAGAGAATCGACCGGAATTTGTTGGAATTTGGCTAGGTTTAAGCAAGCTTGGAGTGATAACGCCTTTGATCAACACTAATCTTCGTAAGAGCAGCCTATTGCACAGTCTCAATATCGCAAAATGTCAAGCGCTTATATACGGCGCAGAATTCTTTAACGGTAAGAGGATATTAATGAATATGATAATTCTTATTTTTTGCGCGTTAAAATCGAAGTAATACGTGGAGGTTTGACATTTAAACATAAAATTTCTCTTAATTTAATAATTCGATTAATCATTATTTTTTAACTGTTTTTAATTTCAAATATTTTATTTTTAAACAACACTAAATGTTAATTTCAGTTGTGACAGATATCGCTTCGTCTTTAGATGCTAAATTGGCATTATATAGATTTGGGAGTCATCCGAATGCAATGTCGGTTGGATTAAAAGAGAAAGATTTGAATACCATTCTGATGGATACATCTGCAGCACCACCGGTGGTGCAAGAGAAAGGTGGTCATAACGATAAATTGTTATATATATATACTAGTGGTACGACAGGTCTTCCAAAAGCAGCTATTATTACCAACTCAAGGTGAATATAGTATATATGTCCTACTTTTTTCTAAAGAGATGTAAAGTTTTCGGAAAATTTTTACCCGAAATTTTTCGAAATTCTAGAAGTAGATAATTAATTTTATAACTGTCTGTTTCTTTTTCTCTCAATTAGGATGATAAAGATATATTATTATGCAAAAAGTGATAAATATCAAGATTGAAACAAATTATATATATATATATTTTTTCCTAGATATGTTTTTATAGCGGCTGCTGTACATTATGTGGGCTTTTTGCGTAATTCCGATAGAATTTATACACCTCTGCCATTGTATCATACTGCTGGCGGAGTTATGGCCGTTGGGCAAGCTCTATTATTTGGGCATACAACAGTGATGAGAAAGAAATTTTCAGCTAGCGCATACTTTAGTGATTGTCTTAAATACAAGTGTACCGTAAGTAATTTTTAATTTGTTAAATATTAATTAGATAATTTTAAACGTTATAATAATTTAATTTATGCTAGCCTCATTTTTTATCCATGTATATATGCATGATATATGCATATATATATACATTGTTAAATCTTAGTAATATATATAGAATGTTCTTAGTAATATATATAGAATGTATAATCTATATTTACTATATATTATTGTATTTAAACTATAAGTCAGTAATAAAATACATCATCAACATGAAATTATATAAAAACATTATATTTATATATTCGATAAAATTTTGGAAAATATTAGGTTGCTCAATATATAGGCGAAATGTGTCGATATGTCCTGGCAGTATCACCTAAGAAAGAGAACCAGGAGCATAATGTTAGAATGATTTTTGGTAATGGACTAAGGCCACAGATATGGGAAGAATTTGTAAAACGGTTTAATATTCTCAAAGTACTTGAATTTTATGGCGCTACCGAAGGCAACAGTAACATCAGTAAGTGCAAAATATTTTAGATCCATTATATATATAATACATGTACAAATAAAGTGCATATAATATGAAATAAATATAAAAATACCGAATCGACTTATTTGTCACATTTACATATATTTCAAAATATCTCTCTTATCACATAAATATTTTTAATTGAAAGTCAACTTTTCGAAATTATCTTTATCGAATAATTTTGTTTCAAAAATATGTTGTAGAAGTCGCTAATATTTGAAGCACTATAAAAAGCGTTTTGTTTTCAGTGAACGTTGATAATAAAACAGGTGCAGTAGGTTTTATTTCAAGAATTATCCCTTCGGTTTATCCAATATCTATTATCAAAGTAAATGAAGATGGCGAGCCTATACGCAATTCTAAAGGGCTGTGTCAAGTTTGTGAACCAAGTAAGTTGTTAATATGATAAGCTTAATTAATGATAATTAATTTATCCAAATTTGACAAATGAGAAGATAAAAAATATTAAATTTCACAATTTTTGGTATCTAAAAATTTTACTGTTATAATATACATAGTTAAAAATTGTATTAGGCTAAATAGAAAAAGATTTTTTTATGATTTGAGTAAGAGATATTTTAATCAATATTTTTAAGCACTTTATGTTTTGTACACCATTAAATTTTTTATTTAACAGATGAACCTGGTGTATTTATTGGAAAAATTCTACCAAACAATCCGACCAGGGCATTTTTAGGATATGTGGATGAAAAAGCATCTGAGAAAAAAGTGATTCGCGATATTTTCAAAAAAGGAGATTCTGCCTTTTTATCAGGTGCAATTAGTTTATTTGTTTGGTTTATCTATTGCATTATATTATATCAAAACGAATTTGAAAACAATATATAAATTCCCAATCTAATTTAAACGATCAGTTATAAAATGATAAAGAACATTTGATAATTTGTGAATTCAATATTTGATAATTTGTGTGTATTCTTTTTAACATTATATACATATAGTATTTTAATTTTTTAAAATTTACGGATGGTTATATTAAATTGAATAATTTTATAAATTTGACTAATTATTTAGGAGACATCCTTGTGGCTGACGAATTAGGATATTTATATTTCAAAGACAGAACTGGTGATACATTTAGATGGAAAGGAGAAAATGTATCCACTTCAGAAGTTGAAGCAATAATTAGCAATCTCATCAACTATCGAGATTGCATAGTATATGGCGTTGAGGTAATAATATCGATTATTATTTTCCAAATAATCTTTTATGATATCGATTCACTAGTGCAATAATTATCAATAAAATATATTTACAAAACTTGCAAATTTTCGAAAACACGATTTAGTAATAAGATATGTATATAGATATAATAATGTAATAAGATTATCGGTAGGTTCGAGGTATGGAAGGTAAAGCAGGAATGGCTGCAATTTACGATGAAAATGGATCATTGGACGTAAATAAATTAACCGTCGACATTAAGGAACAATTACCTACCTATGCTAGGCCACAATTTCTCAGGATTCTGACAAAAATTGATCTCACAGGTATGCGTTTAAGTATAAATTCGATATTAATTACATCAGGAAAACAAATGTTATATTCGAACTGTTAAGTACATGCTTTACTTAACTTAATAAAATTGTTTAAAAATTATAAAATTATTGTTTAAAAATCGCGTTTTAAAATTTATGAGAAGTTAAATGACGGTACGCGCGCAATTTTTTATGCAATAATTTTTGTTCCTTATATAATAATGTGGAATATATATAATAATGTGAAATATATGTGGAAAAAAGATATGTTGACATATTAAATTATATAAAATAAGCGCTAAATATCTATCCATGTTTTATAGGAACATTTAAATTGAAGAAAAAGGATCTCCAAGAAGAAGGATACAACGCGGAAAAAATACAAGACAAGCTATATTATTTAGACGCGAAGAGTGGTTACCAATTATTAACACAAGAGATTTATGATCAAATTCAACAAGGCAAAATCAAATTTTAAGTATGTCAGCCAGAAGAATATAAATTATGTTATAATATTTAATATTTTTTAGAATATTTTACCATCACATACATATGTATATAAAATTGTTATTATACACGAATCTCAGAAACTCTTGGTTTTTTCAAACAGTAAAATAATTGCAATATATTTATCGATATATTGATAACTGTTATTGGATTATGTTCATACTGATAATGAGTTTATATTTTATATACAGAATATATATATGTGTGTGTGTGTGTGTGTGTGTGTGTGTGTGTGTGTGCACGGCATACACACACACACAAAGTACAATGACAATGTCAACAAATGCATATAAAACAAATAATGAGTAACAGTTCAAATTTGGATGGAACTAAATAATTAAAATTGTGCAGATTATTTGTAAATATGTAAATAATGCTCTTGGAAATCAATATTTGAACAAAATATTTTTAATCTGAAAATATTATTTATATATGTATTATGTATAGTAACTTCATTAAAATTTATTATGTTTTTATACATATTATTTCTAATTTTTATAAATTATGGTAGTCTTTTCTAATTCACAACAGTTTTGATATTTTGCAATTATTTAATTATTTGGTTATATCCAGATTATAACGTTTTTATGTTTTCTATTAATATTTGTATTTGTTTTATAAAAAAATATTTAAAAATATTTGTATAATAAATTCTCATTATACAAATAATTGTTTATCTATTTTTATATGTATATCCATTATTTGTGCACTGTTTAAAATATTAAACTATAATATAAAAAAGTTAATTATACAATTCTACAAAGAATAATTTCTGTTCAATATAAAACTAATTATAAGACTATTTAAAAATTGTCCATAATTTTTTCAATGCAATTTTCTTTTTAATTTGCTTTATCATATTATAAATTCGAGAAATTTGTAATTAAATATTCAAGAAAATTTTAATGTCTCTTGTCAACTAATCTTATCCTTATATTGTTTTTGTTGAATGCATTATATCATTTTAAGACGGATCAAAAAATTATCAAAAAATATTTCATCAATAAATCTATTTTACCTTAAAATTAAATAAAAATTTATCACTTATTAATGTCTACCAAAGATTTTAATTATTATGAAAGTATGTTGATCTGTATCGTACAAATATAAAATTCAAATTACAACAATGTTAAAAATAATTAATATTTCAAAAATTATTATATTTATAATAATTATTGTTATAGTAATTGCCGAATTTTATATTCGAAATGATGCGTACACAAAAAGAACCAGATATACATATACAAATATGAAATAATTTTATAAATTTTAAAACAACTATTTTTTAAGTAGAAATTTTTATATTAGGATTTATATAAAAAAATTTTTCTCTCTTGTTTAAATTATTTAATAAATAAATTGAAGCAATGCGCGTAATTTATATAATAATTAAAAGAGATACAAAATAATAAATATTTACCCCAGGGTTTTAATTGTTCCATCGATGTCCGATGTGCCTCCCTTAGGTCTTGTCCTCCTCAAAATGATCAAAGTCATCAGGATCCGTTGATTCACACGTGCGATACTTTTAAAAACGCGTGACATTTCTGAATTTCGTAATTGCAAAACGATGTCCGAGGATCACACTTCGAGTAATCGCAGGACGAGATAATTTATTTGAGCGAGGGTTAAACCTGAAGTTTAAAAAAAATGAAATTACGATGCGCATCAAATGCACGCGCTATATAAATTATTTGCGACTAAATTCATAGATTTGAATATTTGGTTCCTCCTTCAGGATAAATTTTAAGGATCTATCCGGATACAGAATCCTTCCACGTTAAGCGATGTACCTGTTGGAAGATTAAATTTATTTAATTTTGTAAAATACATAATATATTTGAAATTTATTTTAGAGGTCATCTATTATCGTATCCTTCTTTCATTTCGATGAAAAAGTATACGATGTAGATATGTTTTAAAAAACAAATAGCAAAAGTGAAACCAATTATTAATTCGCTTAGAATCTTAGAATATCATCTAACACGTGTACATACGTGAAAATATTTCAATAATAACATATATACATATTTATAATGTAAAATTGAAAAAGAAATCATCACGTACCTGGAATAAATTATTAAATTTGTATTCTTCATTTTCGCACAATTTATAGGTATATGTGTTACGAACGACCGCTCACGAGATACTGGATCTGTTCTTTTCAGCTGCACTGCTGCACTAGTGCAATAAGTTAGAAAGAGACAAACATACTTTCTTTCACTCTAACTAATTGCACTAGTGCAGCAGTGCAGCTGAAAAGAACAGACCCACTGTACATCATCGAGCAAGCGCGAACGAAATGATGATTTTACCGATAATCGATAGAAGAAAATAACTACGTAATTCCAATTTTTAAGATGGATATAGATGGCGTTGTTAAACGAGATTTGATAAGCTTTCTATAAAAAAACGCCGGGTTTCTTTCAGTTTCTTTTCCGATCTAAATTTTGCGTGCGATATATGTGCGGATGCATGCTATATGCATCATTTTATTTTCGTTCGAATTTTACGATAGTAGATCGCAATGTAATAAGCTGAAATAACAAAAATTTATATGTAGTCAACATTGAAACATCTGTAACGACACGGCTTAATTTTGGATGATTCACGCATCTTTTGATCGCGCGTGCCAGACAAAATGCGACGATAGCTAAATTCTTTGGCTTGTTAATATAATTGCAGCAGAAACATTTAATCCATTTAATCGTGACGAATTCATCGAAACTCTGTGTCATGTGTTTCGCCAGACTTGTGTTCTTCTCTGCGATTTAATTAGAATTTTTTATAGAGTAAGATATAAACAATAGATTATTGGAAAGATCGAAAAAATTTAATTATTCATAATATAAAGTATTCTCATGATCGAATTGTTCATTAAATATACAATTATATATCGCTAATAGAAGGTGACGAACTTTTTCTATTATCACTATACAATATACGAATAAACAACTATTTTTGAATGTGTAGTATCTTTTGAATTTTGAATAGTTATTTAAAGATTATTAATAAAATCTTTTAGTGTGTTACATCAAGTAATAAATATCATTAATTTTGTAATAATATGAAGAACATGTGTTTGACAATATTTTTTGATCTTCTGTAATGATATAACGCATATGGTTAAACATTGGTTAATTAAACACAATGTGATTTTGTTACAGGCTTATGAGTGTAGTCTATTAAAGTGACACAATGCCTGGAAAAATAAAAGTGAAAATATTAGCTGGTCGTAATTTACCAGTTATGGATCGTTCTGGTGATACAACAGATGCATATGTGGAATTAAAATTTGGCACTATAACATACAAGACAGACGTATGTCGGAAATCATTAAATCCACAATGGAATTCAGAATGGTATCGATTTGAAGTTGACGATGCAGAATTGCAGGATGAACCTTTGCAAATTAGGTTAATGGATCATGATACATACTCTGCAAATGATGCAATAGGCAAAGTTTACGTAAACTTGAATCCATTGTTATTACCTGGTATGCTGCCTCCGGTAAAAAATATTTGGACTCTAGAAGCAACTATGAACACTAGTGCTGGCTCACAAGGTGATACATATCTAAATGAATGAAATATGATAGATATTTATCACATATATTTTGAATATTTCTAAATATTCTTTTTTCTTTGTGCATTTGCTATTAGGATCAGTTATGACTGGATGGATACCTGTATATGATACAATGCATGGTATACGTGGCGAAGTAAATATTATTATCAAAGTGGAATTATTCTCTGATTTTAACAAATTTAGACAGTCATCATGTGGGGTACAATTCTTTTACTGTAAGCATATTCTTAAGTAAATTTATGTCTTTGAAAAGAACAATAGACAATAAATTAATTTCACAAGTCTCCAAGTGAAATATTTTTTAAAATTTATAATCTTATTAACTTCATTCATATATACTTTATATACATGTAAAATTAATAAAAATATTTGGAAAACATTTATAAATATAGACAAATTATATATTTTAGCACCAAATATACCATATGGATATCATGCACAAATGATACATGGATTTGTCGAGGAACTCGTAGTTAGCGACGATCCTGAATACAAATGGATCGATAAAATACGAACGCCTAGAGCATCAAACGAGGCACGACAGACTTTATTTTTTAAATTAAGTGGAGAAGTCCAAAGGAAGATTGGATTGAAAGCCTTGGATCTTGGTGGAAATGCTGTGATTGGGTACATTTCTTCTTTCTTTATAGAATAAAATTTTTAATTTTCTAAATATATTATATCAATCCAGTTCATCAATATTCAAGAGTTTTTTTTAAGAATAAGAAACTGATTTAGATGGTTTTTGATTACTTGTTATTTTATCATCTAATTCAATATCACATAGGTACTTGCAAAATTTTGATCTGGAAGGTGAATCCGGCATTGTTGCCAGAGGCATAGGTACAGCAGTGACGCTCGTAAAATTACATGATGTTCTCGGTTTCCCTTGCGACAATGTCAACATTGAGGAGTGAGTACTTTTATATCTTCAACATTAAATTGTGTCTGATGGTGCCTTGTTATTGAATATAATTTCATATTTCGATTATTACGATAAACAGTAAATTGTCACGCAATTGCGTCTGGCATCGTACGAGTCAATTAATCATATCAGCCAACAGACCGACCATAAATTTGGCGTCCATGAAAAAGCTATTTCGAGAATTTCGAAAATATAGTCATACAAGGAAATATAGTCCCTTCTACTTTATGGCCAAGACGTTTTATCTCTCGTCGCTGAAAATAATTTCTGACAGACGAGTTGAATTTATCGAACAAATCTAATCATCTTAATCTAGAGAACAACATGTGATACTATATATTTCTATCAATTATTCTCAATTTTGCTTTTCATTATTTAAGTACATCATTTTGATGTCACAAACAGACCCAAATTAAGCCAAATTACTTAATACCCTCGATAAACTGGCGATATTTATTTGAGCTACTTTTGTTTGAGCTTTTATTTACTGATTTGACTTCATCTTTTTTATACAATAAGTAAAAAATATTTCTATATTTTTGTAAAATTGTACTTTTCTGATTCAAATCTAATTATTTATTTCATTGTTGTTCCTACTTATGCTAAACTTTTTCAGAAAGAGAGATTAATGGATATTTTTCTGTCTTTCCTATATCCACATGCGTTTGCGTAGGATCGCATTCACGCTCTCCTCATGCACTAAAGCTCAAACCGAACATTTAAATGCCGACGACAATGCGCCGTTTATTCCCATTTCTATTCCTGCTTGGTATCCCATGCGCATACCCATAAATAGGGGTCTTTCATCTTATGCGAGGTCTTTATCATCACTAACGCGTCTAGAACGCGTTAAGACTCCTGGGTGTGCCGAAGCGCGAAGAAAACGTGGCAAGCGCATTCCGTTTTTCCGATGCAATACTTTGAGCACTTTAAACTTAAGGATGGCTGTTTCAAGCAGTTCGGATCTCACCCCGTCTACGGAACTTAATCGAAACTTTATCGACGAGACAAAATCCTTACGTACCACGCTGACGGCAGAAAACATCATCGTCAGGAAAAAGCCGAGAGATCAACTCTCTAAACATATCAAGCACTTACGCGGTAAATTTGGCTCAGTTAGCGAAGAGAATCACTCTTCCATGCAATCCAATTGCAATTCCGATACAGATCTGATCCAATCGCTCGCCATAAATTCTAAGGAGAAGAAAAACAGTAATGAAACCAAAACTAGCATAATGGCCTCCTTACTGATCGGTTCTATACGGAACATGCCTCTGGAGAATGTCGGAACTGATAATCTTACCTCGATCGTTCCTAGCGATGAACAATTGACAACGACGAACAACGATGAAGTAAGTGAAGCGTACTGTAGAGAGAATCCTCAGGAGAATGAGGAGATCAAAAGTGAGCGACAAGACAACACATCGTTATCGATTGATGAAACGGAGATATCCTCCTTTTATGATGATGATAATTCCTCGGATGATGAATCGTCGAACGGCACCACCAGTTACAATATCTTGGACTCAAGATATTCACTCGATGATGACAGAACGGCAGACTCGTCCAGTCTTCAGGAGAAGATTCCAATTACCATTCGTTCTAGCGCGGAAAGCTGCACGGATTCTACCCTGCAAGTAGATTCGGATGTAGCAATGAATTGTCAATTGTCATCGAATCCAGATTTAACGAGCACGGAAGATATCGAACTACGAAATAATGTGATTCCTGTAATTACCGTGGACATTCATGAGAGCGCAGACTCGGATACGTCGAATAATGAAAGTTCTAATATTACAACTTTGGCGAAGACCGATATCTTTGTTTCGAAATCAATTTCTTCATCGGATGAACGAGAAATCGATGACGTGGTATGTAAAATTGATGCTTCCGAAAAATTCAAATCGGAAAAAATTGATAATTCATTACATGAAGCATATCGTGACGTTCATTTAATGACGAAACGAGATCCTTGTCGATCGCCTTCTAATGGGCAATCAGCGCAACTTGAATCCCCATTTCCCACTGAACCGGAAAATTATATAAGTACAGATAGAGAGGGAAATAATCTAGCGATCGATTCACCGCGCACGACGACAAGACGTGTTAGCGTATCGAAAAAAGAATCACGCATGAAGGCGATTGTCGCCGAGAGACGGAGATGCATGCGTGATCTAATCGAGCTTATCGATACAAAGATGATGGTACCCACGCATGCGACTCATCGCGGTAAGAGAGCTGTATCGCTGAAGAGCAAGAAAAGAAAACGTGAAAAAAAGATGCATAAAAAAAATGCAAATACATCGGAGAATTCGCTTGAGAAGATTCCTTCGCGCCGTACACCCACGAGAAGGCACGCGACGTTGCATAGACGACGTCGCGGAGAAGACATTCCTTTTCGCATTTTTCGCGTTCACTCGATCCCCGATTATCTCTCTTCAAAGCAGCAACCGAACGTCTCGATTTTTCATACCATTTCCCGTTCCTGCGACTCTTCCCTCGTTAGTTTAACCGATTATCGTGTCACGCGTGTATCACGCGGCTCGAAGCGATCCGCTCTGCTTTCTCCAACAGCTCCCACGTTCGATGATTCATCCGAGATCTCGAGACAATTGCCAAAAAGCAGTCACAGCAAATCTGATACGGTATCCGCGGCATCTGTCAACGGCGCTACTCGCAAACGCCCTAGCACAATTTATAATTTAAAGAAAGCGTCATGTCACATTGATAACACTAAGCCCACTAACACGGCTAATATTACTCACAACTCGTGTGTGTCCCGTCCTTCTCCCGATCTTAGGCAGCAAGACGAGGCGTCCATCAGTCCATCTTGTCCGCTTCCGGCTGTCTCCTCGATGACCGTGAAAATGTCCCAGTCGCCAGCGACCAGAACCCTCGCCAACGTTCCGCTTCATCGAAGATCGAGCGATTCCGATCTGAGTGTTACTCCCAAAGGTGAGTTCTTCCTCCAAGTGAAGAATAAGAAAGTGATATCTCTGTTTCTTTCTGATGTTATGCACTGTAATTATATTAAATACGATTAGTGAATTACTTTTGTTTCAATTCTTATTTCTATATGAAGAAGAGAATTTTTATAACAATTTATCATTTTAATATTATTAATACATAACTGGAATCTAGTTTCTTTTAGTTGATTTTAAAAAAGAAAAAAATAGGATGAAAAGATCACGTTGCGCTTCAGGTAACTCTCTCGGCAGTGACAGATCGATGGCGGGACCCTTAAGGACACCGGCTGCGATGGTTAGATCTATGAATCAAGATACGTTAGAAATGCTAGAGTATCCGTTCATCACGATGCAACATTATCCATCTGGCTTCATATTACATATAGGTAATTATATTTACTTATTATGCACGTCTCCATCAAGAGATTATACATTTAACCGGATGTACATAGTTTTAATGTTATGTATAATAAACAAAAATAATCCTAAAAATAAGTATAAAAGTTTGCACAAATACAATCAAATACCATAAAAAACTGAGTCTTATGATGGAAATAGGTGGTCTAGTGAGCTCGAGATCTGTGAAATTAATCGAGAGGATAAGTAATTTGGAGGAACCAGAGGGCCGTGATGCCTGGTGGACCGAAATCAGGATGGAAGTTAGATCACATGCAAGAGCGTTAGCTTGCAACGTTGTTATAGGCTATAAAGAAGAAACTAGTATATGGTAAATCTTCTCATTTCTAATGCGCGGATACATTATTTACAAAAATTCAACAAGATTCTCTCAGATTATATTATAAATTCTTAATCTTTTTTCAACATTTCGTTACATTATCGATGCGCGATTCTTTCCACAGTGACGATGTGTGCGTACTGAGCGCTTCTGGTACAGCGGCGGTCATAAATTTTCATAATTCTGGTCAAGATTCGGACGGCGTCGTTCTGAATAAACTCCAACAAAATGTACCTGCTGTCGTCGATTCGGATCGCGAGAAGAGTCAGCAAAAGTCAATGATGGTAACAAAGGCGACGGAGAAAGTCGACAGTGACACGGCCACAGTGACTCATTCGGAACGGCTAAACGGAAAGCTGCACCGACGTTCTTCTGAAAGTAACGAACATGAAAGCTCATGCGCTCAATCACAATTACGATGCAATTTGTGCCATCTTCCTTACAGCGAGAGTAGCGTGCCATTTAGAGTTAATGTATCAAAGTGTGCCATATGCAAACGTGCCAAAGTCCCAGATGTGATGTTCACCACTATAGAAGTGCCCGCGAATATACCGATGACTGGAAGAGGCTGTTTCATACAGGCTACTGTATGCAAGAGCAAAAAGGACCTGCGGGGCGAGTTGAACGCGAAAGAGATATCCGATTGTCTGCCTTTCCTAGAATACGAACTCCACAGTTTACTATTGAATAAACTCAAGATTAAAGGCATGAACGCGATCTTTGGTCTCAAGTTGCAGGTTTCTGTGGGAGAAAGGTTTATAATTGGCATGGCGGTAGGCACCGCAATTTATCTCACGGCATTACCTCCTCCTACCATTCCTCAAATAGCATCTGGCAATTCGTGGCACAACGAGGAGCAATTGGCGGAGATGCAAAAGTCTATTGTAGAAACGGTGAAGAAGAATAGAGAGTTTTATCACCTGAAACCAATTGGAGTTAATGTACGTGAGACTTAACCCTGTTTTCATATCAAAGAATACTTTCGTCTTAGATATCTCTTCGTTAATTATAACCGCGCAATTGTAGGAAGTGGAGAATGGACGCGTTCCGAGTACCTCGGATACAGACGAATCAGATGAGGATCTACCGGAACTTGACCTTGGATTGGGTACTCGTGACGCATGTGTCTTGGAAGTTGACGACATCGAGGATATGGATCGAATAACGTCATTGATGGACAACAGACCGCCTGATGATTTTCACGTCGTTAATACGCAGACGATTCCTGGTCTGGAAGATTTAGAAATTGTTAGAAATTTACAAATGTTTACACAAATTTCAAGGGCTAAGATCCCTATAGGACAATTCACATCAATGCCATCAAAATATTTTGCCAGATTACTTCAGGTATAATCTCTCGATTTTAAAATCTCTCTCTCTCTCTCTCTCTCTCTCTATATATATATATATATATATATATATATATATATATATATATATATATATATATATATGTGTGTATTTACTTATAATTGAAAATATATTCTGCAAAAAGAAATTGTAAAATATTTGTATCAAAATGGATGGAATTTTTTCTTGTATACTTTATTTCAGTCCTTATATTTTAAATTAAGGAGGATGGTTCCCTGTGCTCTATGTGATATGCAGTTTAAAGTAGCATTACCTGAGCAAGATGAAATACAATTGACTGTCGTTGGTATGGCACTTGGATTGGGAGAACCTTTGAATACGAATAAATATAAAAGAAAAATTGTATGTCGTTCGCAGAGCAAGGATCAAGTAAGAAAATCAGGTACTTTTTGGAGCAATTTTTTCTATAAATATTAATATTTTTGTATGAAATTATTATTACGATACATATATGTAATTATTGCTTTTTATTGTCTAAACATCTAATATTGTCTAAGACTTTCTTGAAAAATAAATTCTCTCCAAAAACAAATTTTAAACACAATTTTAATTCTGTTTTTTTTTTCTTCTTATTTTGTCAGATGACAGTGATATGATATTTAGTCTCGACGAGGATCATTTAGAAAACAATGCAACATCTGACAATGCAACACGCACTTGTATAGGAAATCCCACAATCTTGAGTACTGTTCCTGTACAAAAGCCAAGACCACGCTCACCTTTACGTTTAAAATCATTTACTACTCATAGACGTAAACATGTAAGAATTTTTTCTTTGAAATACTTCAAATATATATATTTGAATATATATTTAATACATCGACAATTAAATGTTTTCTAATGCTTGCAATATTTTTACTTCCTGAAATTATTTATAAGCGTTAATATCACAAAAATGTCACTAATTTATTATAGGTGCCTTTGAAAGGAAGATACGGGGTGGATATAACACCTTTATCTTACTTGCCAGGTGGAAGGATAGAAAGATATCAAGGCAATCTAAATTTTTTCTTCATTCGTGAAAGTACATCGATACGGGAGGTGAGTTTTGTAATTTTCAGTCTCATTAGAATATTCTAAACTTAAACATATGATTCTGACAACGATGTATTACAGAATGGTGGACTGAGTGGTTTTACCCACAGTTTTGTGATGGAAGTTTTGGCGATTGTTCGCGCGCATATTACGGCATTGGGAGGTAATGCTATGGTAGCGTTCTTTATGACTCAATGCGTGCTTCTTCACAGTCCTCACAAAAATCAAGTTAGTATAAATATTGTTTTAATATATTTTGAAATATTAACGAATATATTTAATATTTTGAAATACTAAAGTGTTATGTTATTGATAACTCGGCCTTTCTTTAAAATAGCAATATTATTAATTAATTAATTATAAGCAGATTAATTTGTATATTTGAAAAAAATATAATTAATATTACTATTTATATATATAATGTATATCTTTCATAATTGATTCCCATGTTTATCATATATTTGAGTAAAAATATTTTTTTAGGGTCAATGCTTGATTAACGTAGGTGGCGATGTAGTAACAGTATCGTATTACGCGGATGAGAAGCATAGCACCATTTCAAATTGCTGACCCCAGCCTCCACATTCAGCACCGCCTTAAACAATGATACATTTGGAATTTATTCGGCAAATATTTAAATTTAAATGCCAACATTATTACAATAGGTAGGACTAATTCATTTCTGAATTTGCAAGATTTGTATCGCACTGTGCAATATTTAATTTGATATGATAATGATATTCTTTCTTGTTGCAATCAATATTGTTATTTATTTATTTTAACAAAAGGGAAAAAAAAAAAATATATATATATATATATATATACACACACACATCTTATTTTTTTCTTTGCAAATAAAGATAGTACAATATAATGAAATATACCAAAAGCATATTATCAATCTTTATTATTTATGTATTTTGTGATATTTATTTAAATTTTCCGACAAATAATTATTTCCTCAAATCACAATTTTATCTTTTTTCATTAATCTCTTTCTCTCGTATTATCTTGCATATCATTTAATACATACATGATACATATATATCTTGTATATTGTTATGTGTGATATATGTATCTTATCAACAATCTTTCCAGTTGTACAAAACATTTTCAATTTTTTAATAATAATTCAATAAATATTCGATTATATCGAATATTAATAACAGTTTTTGTGTTATTAATAATACAATCAGAAACGTGACACATTTTATATATATAGAACTTAAATTGAACTAATATACATATACATATAAAAATAGAATTATTAGTTCAATTAAATTTTTTATATATATAATGCATATGTAATCTGTAGAAATATATAATGATTTACTTGTCTTTGCTGATTGCATTATAAATAACGAACTATTTATTATAATTAGTATATTAATCTATAGAATGCACTATTACCATTCTTTGTTCAAAACAAACTTACATAATATAGTAGAATTAGATTAAGTTTTTTTTTATAAAATCTTAGTAGAATTATTCTAAAGCAAATTTCGGATTTGTAAGATATATTTACCTATTTCCTAAATCATATGGTTTTAATCACTAGGTGCCTTTGAAATAATTAAGAAATCGCAAATTTAATAATAAAAAATATTGTTTTGAACAAGTATGTATAATTCATTAAAAACAAATCACTTTAATGTATCTTATATTAAAGCACGATATAAAATAAGTATTAACAAAATATAGATAATTTTAAAAAATAAATAAATGGACATTTGAAAAGAGAAACTAATAACTTTTATAATCTCTTCAAACAAATTCTCAGTAATACAATGATGATGCTCAAAATATTGCGTTTTCGTTTCTTTCAATTATTGTTGATTTAGTTTTGTGAATACTTATGTACATAATAAGCATGTTTTGAATATAAGCATGTAATTAACAAAAGAAATGTAGAAGAATGATAATTAAGAAATTGTTTCAATGTTTGATCAACATTTTAATATAGCATAAATGGTATTTATTATAATTAGCAAAATCTCTCGAATAAACAATGAGTTTGTTGTAATATCGATTAAGACATGTCAAATTGCAATCAAATATTACATTTTATGTCTCAAGTATTAAGATAAAAATTTTTATCTAATATCTACTATCTAAATATAGCAAATATAAATTATATTTTGTATTTATCTCATGCTTAGTCGATAAGAAAATGATTGAATAATGAGGCACACGAGCCGAGTATCGAACTGACTGTGTAAAAATGTACATTTGGATGATTAAACTCTAGTCAAAGTTGTTATTTGTTTTACTTTGTTATAAATATTAAATTATCTTAAAAAATCTTCGAAAAGTTTTATTGTTAATTATGTAAGAATTTTTATTAATCCAAGAACGGATCGCATCCTTATAAATAGTGTTTTTTAATCTTTTATTTCGTGAAACACGTTTTTTTAATAACGGAATTAATTGTGTGGAAAAAGATAAATTAATTTAAGGCAATTGCGTAGGGCTTAATTCAATGTCTTAACGTGTCTTTTTTATTTCTTTTTAATAAATTCTTGTGAAATTGTGTGCTACGATGTATTTGATATATTATAAAATATATTGTACGAGAGAAATGAGGAAGTGTGGAGGAGAAAACATGGTATCCCGACTCATCTGTTACGACCGTTCTTAGATTAAACTTAGGATAAGTAGAAGATATTGTGTGATGTATCACTTTGAGTGAATTATATTAGCCGCACTCAAATATAAGTAAAGAATAAACTGTTTTCATTTATACAAGGAAATGTTCTTTTATATACATTTACATAATTATTATATTATATATAATAAAGAGTTGTGTGTGGAATATTCTTTGTTTTATTCTCTCACATCAAAATTTGATAGTATTAGAAATGCACACACACACACACACACACACACACACACACACACACACACACACACACACACACATATATATATATATATATATATATATATATATTCCACATTTAATAAATATTTAAATATTGAATCTTCAGTAATTATAGTATTATTCGAATAGAACAGATTAAAGAAGATATGAAAATTAATATATACTAAAAAATGAACAATAAAATAAAAATGTCACTTCGAAATAAGTTATAAAATAATATACATGTATGTATAATTTTTTTCCAAGTTTTGAAAAGTCACCTAAAAAATATATATCTATCTAATATATATATATATATATATATATATATATATATATATATATATGTCATTTTTTAAAAATAAATTATATTTTAATTATGTGTATATATTTATAAGTATGAAATATCAAATAAAATAAATTTATATAATTTATTTTTAGAATTTATTTTTGAATATCAGAAAAAATATATATTTAAAAACATCAAATAAAATAAATTTTTGATTCTTTGAAAAAGATATATTTAAAATATAAATAATCTAAAAATAAATTATGAAATATTTACACACATATCCAGATAAAATAAACTTGTGATTTTGTGAGTTATCGTATTAACATCGTTTCTTATTCTTTTATCTCATAGATTTCTAAATTAGAAATATTATATGGAATTTTAATGTTTCATTTTATCGCAATGAAATAATATATATTCCGTGATGTTTGTCCATCACGTTTGCGTCATCCTGTGGATAAAACGAGATAAATTACGCACGACTGGAATAAAATATAAGGGCTATCGAGAAATGCACGTGGGTTAAATTAGGGGGAACATAAGATACAAGATCTTTTTTGTCGTTCTATACGCGCCATAAAGACTACTTAAAATGCAGAATGGTCGACCGGGGAAAAACAAATATTGTCGCATAGGTAATTACTTAGACGATGGCGACAAGAGACATCAATCTCTGAAGTTTGCGTGTCATTGCCGGCTTTAAAATTTCGAGCTTTTCTTTACGTTAGATATATTAAATATATGTAAGATAAAAAGGAAAAAAAAATAAAAGTTCTTTAGATGATATGTGCGTATGTGTGATACTAAATCCCGAAACAAATTAATTGAAATATAATCAATCACGATCGGCAAGTTATTTATTACTTTTATGTAATGATCTCAATATGTAATTTTTTATTATCTATCAATCTCTTACACAGTTAACTTTCATTGATATTCTTGATATTTTCGTTTTTTTTATCCTCTCATTCGCGGACAGAGTTCGATTTCCGCAAGTTCGATCCATCAATCGCCGCCGGAAATCGAGTCTCTGGGGAATATCTGGCTCGAAGTATTCTTCTTTTCCCTTTTTCTGTTTTTGATTTTGTAACATATTCTTGGGAATTCCGCATGTAAATTATGTCACTAATTATAAAGTAATTTGTGAATATAACTTACAGATACAATATACATTCGCATGTACCTATTTTTAAAAATTGCCCGATAAAATTCTAAGTCTTGTATTAGCAATCCATTTAATATGGAGAGTGCATATTTTTTTTGGAGGAATTGTTTTTAATTTCACCAAAGATATATATAAAGATATATATATATATATATCTTTATATATATCTTTGGTGAAGAGGAATGATATATATATATATATATATATATATATATATATATATATATATCATTCCTCTTCCCATGTGACACGAGATTAAAGCCGTTCTTGACGAACACTTGTTGGTTATTATATAATATATATATATATATATATATATATATATATATATATATATATATATACAGGGTGATTCGAAAGGTCAGGTCAACCAACTAGGAGATGAAAGAGGAGTTTGAGTAGAATAAATAATGTAAATAAACTTTTTTGATATTCGCTATAGTTTAGTAAATATTGCACTTTATGTGTACAAAAAGCGTAAAACTCCTTCAATAATTTAAATATTTTTCCTCTGTGTAACGTATTACATAGTAGAATTTGTATGACCTCCAATAGCGTTTTCACTGATAACGACACAGCAAGTATGAACAGAGTACGAATGCGGCAAACAATTAGATCACAACATTATGCAACGTAAACAATCTAAAAAACGTACTCTGAGCAAAAACTTCATTAAAAAATGTCTTTTTTTGTACTCGCTATGATTTAGTAAATCCATGTTTCGCTTAAAAGACGACAGTATTCAACTAGCAATAAAGAAGACAAGTTATAACAAGCAAATAAAGAAGAGAATTGGATAACCAAATTCTTATACACAGAAAATTACACCGTGATCAAAAATTGAACATGTTTAGCAACGAGGAATATCGCGATATGCATTATCTGTATGGACTTTGTGATGGCAATGCCGCGCTGAATTATGCTTGCGTAATAAATTAATTAAATAAACAACAGCATTTTGAACACCTGCTTTAATGAACGCAAAAAAACATTATGTGTCATGCAATGTATTGTTTATTTTGTAGTTAAAATATAACACACACATATTTTCTATACACTCATATAAAGTGCAATTACTTACTAAACTATAGCGAATATCAAAAAAGTTTATTTACATTATTTATTCTACTCAAACTCCTCTTTCATCTCCTAGTTGGTTGACCTGACCTTTCGAATCACCCTGTATATATATATATATATATATATATATATATATATATATATGATATAATAACCAACAAGTGTTCTGAGAATTATTTTATATGTATATGTGCATATATATCTGTTATATATATATATCTGTTATAATAATTATGCTTTACAAGTCGAAGGTTACGCATATAACTTTTAATGCAAGCAAAACTATAAGTTAATCAATTGACGATAAAATTGAATGAAACATTATTGTTTTAAATCCAGGATGCATGATGAAAGGTATTCATATTTATATATTTTCATTCACTATTTAATCTTTATTTATTTAAATAGCTGTATACACTTGTTCATATCTCTTTTATCTTCTTTTGCAGTAAATATAATAAGTATTATAATAAAATATTATAATAAATGTCGTCTCTTAAAAATGGCGATAAGTGAATGCATAGCTTTATTAAATTTAGAAACATGATTTTTATTAACAAAAATGATTAATATAAAATATCATTTATCTTTCAATTTATAGTAAAATTTTATAATAAAATTTTTATTCTTAAAAAAGATTTGATATATTAAACCTCGAATTTTGAAAAGTTAGAAAAAACAATGATAATTCTTTTTAAATTAAAAGAAAAGATTTATATATATATTTCAATTTTCTATAATAACGCTATGTGTCCACTTTTTACATCTTGTACGGAGAAATATAACTAAGTAAATTAATTAAATAAACAAAATTAAGTAGCAAATGAATGCATATGTGAATTTAAAATATTGCTTGATATATACATCCTGAGATTAACTCAATTAAAATGTATGTCTAATTTAATTATACCACTTTCAAACTAATTGTCACTAGTGTCACTGATCGTGTTGCGAAGCGTAAAATAATTGATTTACAAAATAAATAGTGTATGAACCTTATACAACACCCTTTACTTTCATGTAGAGAATCATTATCCCACAAGCGAGAAGATGAGAGTGATTAATTGGAAATAGTGCTCGCGCAAAAATCGATACGACACAACGTTCCTACGTTCTTACATTCATAAAGTGGCGATGATAATCTAATTGTTAGATCTAGTTAAAGTAGGATATGGAATTAATAGACGAGTAAATTCGAGACATTCACGAGATACAGTGTAGATTAAAGTAGTACGCTTGTTGTGTAATGTATGTAAGTTACATGTTCTATTTGGCGAGATAATATAGATTTATGAAAATAGCATTCAATTAAGGATATATTGATAACATGTTTGAATATAAAATTATTTAAAATTGACGAAAGATATCGTGGAATTTATTTTTCTAATTTTATGAAAAAGATAGACAATTCTTGAGCGTGTTGCATATAAATTACTTTATAAATATTAAAACATGTTTTTTTTTTTTCAAAAGAAGAGATTATTTTTATATATTACAAAAATTAATTATTTTTCATATACATATAAAAAAATTTTGTTCCAAAAATGGAACGTTGGCCGTTAATAGATATGTTAAGATATAAAACATTTAATTAAGATTTCTCTATAAATGTATCAAATACATTTTTGTCGAATAAACAAAGAACATAAAATTGCATTAAAACTCTTAAAATCCAAAACATACTTACTTTTGATTCAATACTATAATGCTCGAAGAAACCAATTCCTTTTTTATATACAGCAAAAAAAAAGAAGATTATCAAGGAGAATATTAACGTTAATAATCGGGATCAGATAATTTCATCTTTTAGCGCGTACGTATGATTGTAAATTCTTTCTTTTTTTTACATTCGCCAAATGTCTTATGAGTCGATGACGATAACTGAAAACGAAAGAGAACTTGAGATCGTTTATCGCTTGTGCGAATACAGAGCAGGCCATCGTTTTTAACGTCGTTTTCCGAAGCGCAAGAAAACATGATCGACGTCTTGCCTCTTGACACTGCTGTCATAACGGGGCAAGTTCTCTCGATATTCTGAAAGCAATTCAACGGAAATCACATGGTTATTCATCGCTGTAATCTATCTTTTCAGTTTAAAAATATGAAATGTGAGTTTTTAAAAATATTTAACAATCGACAATATAAATTAATATACAAACAATAATATATAAATTAATATACAAACAAAAATAAAGAAATATCGTACATATCAATTACGCATGTGGATTTAGGTTTAATTTTCTAAAAAATTATACGCGATTATTCGATCACCTCTGTCGTCAACGAAATCATTCATTTCTCTGGCATCCCATATTCTGGCGATAGCGACACAGATTTTACGCAATCTAGGTGGAAGCTCCTCAAGAAATTCTGAATTGCACTGAGCGGGCATCGCGCCGAAAGATTCACCGGATAGAATTGCCATGGTCGTTATAGATATGAGAATCATCAACGTTGGGCTCATCATTTTTAAGCTGTAAAAAAAGAATATACATGTGTATATCGTTTCGTGTCGATTAACAATGTATTCTTTTAAGCTTCTTCTTGTACTTTAGAAAAAAAAGACATTATAATATATGATTCCAATTATTTTATCATATTGAAATAAATATCAATATAAAAAATATTTATTTCAAGAACATTTCTGCGTATTTAATAAAAATAAAATTTATAACAAAATTAGACACTTTCGAATCGTTGAATTCATATATAAGTTTAAATTGACACACTGCTCAAGGGAAATAAAATATTGAATTATAAATCATGAATTATATATTTTCCGATAGTCATTTCCGATGTTCTTTATGCATATTAATATACAGCATATTCATCATAGACTAATGTTTGCATATATTGACCTTAGAACCGAAGTATTTTCTTCACTTGATAAAAGCCTATTGAACATCACACACATTAGAAGTCCACGTATTAATACTCACATATTAATACGTATCAATATTCAGTATTCTGAATAGAAAGTGAATATCGCATGATATGATTCAATGTACAGTGAATATCCATATTAATATACAAACAATTTCGATACAAATGTTATTAATATTGATTTCTATGGAGACATTGTACGAATTATTTTATAATTATTGCATGAATTTTTTATTAGAATAAATATTTTGATTGATAACAATTTAATTAATTATTGTTTGCCACGAAAAAATACCTTTCTTTTAAAATACTTAAAAATATCTTTTGTTATGTTTAAAAATTTTAATTTTGTGTTTAAATGTGTAAATGTTATACTGCCCCGCATATCGCATAGTTCTTTACGCATATCTTGTGTCACTTATGAGGAATTAAATTATATATTATACTATAAATATATAAATATATAAATATATGTATTCCGCAGAAATGTATATAAGCTCAATAGTTAAGTACGAGAGAAATGATAGAAACAAGAGTTGACTAAGAAAAATATTTCACGCGAGTGCATCGCGTTACAAAAGAAGCTGGACTGAAAGAGCAAAAATCGAATAAATGGAACTTATCGAGACAAATGCGATCTTACGAGCAAATTCAAAGCGAGAGGAGAAATCGCGTTACGAATATTCGCGTGCTTGGACTGTCCAACAATTTTTATTTTGTTTGCATTGGGAAAAATCGGATAGATTGAAAGCGAAACAAAAGCTTATATTATAGTCAAAGACAGAAATTTGATATTTCTCTTACATTTATAGGATACGAAAAGTGCTGCCGTGAAAACAAATATCTCGCATGTGCAAATTTCGTACAGTTTCACGCAAGCTTTTGATGTTGAACAAAATATTAAAAGTCATTCTGTTCTTTCTTTATAAGAACTTTGGTCTCCTAAAAATTTATGCCAGTTCATGCTTTTAGTAGTGAAAATAATATTTTAAAAAAATAATATTCCCCTTTATAGCCGTCGTCTTCTTCAGTTGATGTTAATACAATAAAATTTATTGAAGACTATTAGCCATAGTAATAATTTATAACTCTGGTATTTCGAGTTAGTTAAGCTTATACTCATAAAAAACTTCTGAGAGAAAATAAAAATCATTTACATCAACGTTTAAAAATTAATGGTTTTTTTGAGGAGTTTTGACACGTAAAGAGAAGAAAATATTGTTCGAATAAAATATATAAAATCTATTTCATAGAAATATTCTTTACGTATATGTTCAAATTACATTCTAAACAAATATTATTCATTTATACATCTTGCAGCAAACATTTAATGAGATTTTTAATGAGAATCTCGACTATTTCTTCAAGACGTATGTAAATGCCAAATATAATTTTCGAATCATATTTCGCAGGGATGTATATATATAACGAATACGAGTCTACACAATTGCGGTACGCGGACCGGAACAAATAGGCAACCTGTTGCTGATTTGCTGTCGCTTGATTGATAGAGCGAATAATCGCGTTTTATTTATTCTACTAAACGTGGGTGGTAATGTATATGTAAACGTAGAGATGCATGTTATAATATTAAATAAGTAAAATTTGCTTAGTTATAATAGAATAAAAAACAATTTTAAGAAGAGAAAATATTTCCTAATCTTAATATATTTATGTATATATTTGTATAGAAAAACTTTTAAATTTTGTCGCAGATGCATTCAAGTTTTTCAGAATGTCTGTAATTATTTAAATAGATTTCTAGAGAAACAAAAAACAAAATAAATAAATAAAAATCAGATTAATTACATATTAGATGTCAAAATTACATTTTCTCAAATTGAATAAATAAAAATGATACTGATTAAAGCAAGATTTCACCAAAAATCAATGAATATTACACTGAGATCTTCAGCATTCTTTGTTCTTCCCTCTTATGTGTATGCTTCACTAATTATGATTTCATTAAAAAATTAATTACTATTATTAACTGTTTATTCTTACAATCAATAAAATTTCATTGTTTGTAGCTCTATACTTTAATTGAAATCATTATTTTACATCAGCGATAATATATTAATCCATTTAAGAAAGTAAAATTTAAGTAAATTTATAATTATATGAAAAGTTTCATAAAAGTTTGAATATTTATAAAGATAAATAGAGACTCAGTATTTCCACGAACAGAAAGAATTAAAGTGATCTCTTTGTATTATGATTGTATCGTTATCGAACATGGTTTAAGTTTAATTAATTTTTGACACCTCGGAGACATACATTGATATTTTAGTTGAAGGCCAAAATTGAAATGCAAAGGACTAGCAACATTATTTACATTTGCTTATTGCCAATGACGACTGCACGTACGCAAATATTGACGCTGCAACGAGTAGATAATGCAACTCAATACTAAAAACGTGGGTCTTTATATATTCTAAATCGATACACATATATAATTACTGTCTTCGTTGCTTTAAGTTGAAGTTATATAATCATAAAAAGCAATGCTATGCAAGAAAATAATTTAGATAAATATGCGGAAACAATATGAAGGAAAAAAATTTCTTGATAACAGACATTTTAAAATATCGGAAACTTAAGAAAGATAATGATCGAAGATAATTACAAAACTTTCAATTCTGACTCACTTAAGAACGGTTAGGAAAGAATCGACAACGCCATCAAAACAACGATATAAGCTTTGATCCCTTTCTTATAAATTTTAATATAGAATATAGTATACTGTGTACGATGAAGAACAGAGATGTAACAAAATTATAAATTCAAAATTATAAGCAACAAAATACTTTGTAAACTAATATATATAATTGAGAATATTTAACAAATATTAATAAATATTATAATGCATTTTCTGTATTAAAAGAGACCATAAAAACTAGACTATAAAAACGAGACTATAAAATATGTGTAAATTAAAAATTAATTAAAATAATAATAATTATAATATTATACTTTTTTATATTTGTACCATTAATAAATAAATAATAATAAGGATGATTAATAAAATAAAAATTAATAAAATATTAATATTAAAAAATGTATATATTAAATTAGTGGCAAATGTGTATATAAAATGTTTATCATTAATATATCATTATTTTCAATATCAGCAATTATAGAAATTAATCAACAATTATATGGATACATATATGAAATGATATATATACGTGATACATTATCACGTATATATCCGTCATATATTTATACATATATAAATATATTTATACACATATACACATATAACTGTTGTTTTTAAGAAAATATATTATTTTATATATATATATATATATATATATATATATATATAAGTTCAATTTTCTTAGCTAGAAAAAAAGTTATAAAAATAGAAAAAAGTAATAAAAAAAATATACGCATATATGTATGATATGATAAAGATATGATACAAATAAAATATATTGACAAAGTATGTCGTATATATTATATTCTGAAATCTCCTGAATTATTAATACATGAATGTGATGTTATGCATACGCATAAACACATATATCTTGCGAGCATCAACTATGTTTCGGTCCCCTTTGCTCTGATATCACGAATACATCTCACGTAAATCGACTACGCAACTATCTGCAAAGGTACCATGAAATATTAATATAGATGAATCGATGAAGATGAGACTTTCTTTCACCACTATAAGCAATCACAGATGTATAATTAAAAAAAAACTAGAACTGAATCTTTTTTAAGATATTTGTAATTTCTTTCAAAAAACAGATATGTGTGTGCATTCTATATCTTTCTCTTCAAAAAGTTTTTTTTATTCAACTTTAATTAAAATAAGACAATTTATTGAAACATAATTAAAAGAAACATCTAAAAAATTTAGAATAACTATTGATATATCTAGTCTATAATATTATATAATATTATATATAATGTATAATGTTATATAAAGAGCAATGTCGAGATTATAAAATGTAAGATTAAATATTATTTTAATAGTAATATCCGCGCGAGCATTTCTGTGTACAACAGCTCAAATAATGACTATTCTTAATATTCATGTAAAAAGAAGGTGTATAAATAGAGATTGAAGAGATATAATTAATCCTCATTTTTTAGTCTGAAAATTCAAAATCACTGTTTACAAAAAGCAATTTAAAAGCCGTTATTTAATCCTTAAAATTTCTTCAGTTTTTTAAAAATTAACATAATTAATTTATTAAAAGATAATAAATCTTAATAAGTTTTAATTGTACGATACTAAAATCATCGAAGCCTCTTGAAATTTTATTCCAAATAAATTGCTAAATATACACACACACACACACACACACACACGCACGCACGCACGCACGCACGCACGCACGCACACGCACACACACGCACGCACACACGCACACACACGCACACACACACGCACACACACGCACACACACACACACAAATTACACACACACACACACACACACACACACACACACACACACATATATATATATGGTGTCTAAATCAGAATCTCTGATGTACATTTTGCTTCACCGATTTTTCTGACACAACTATCGATTGCATACATGAGTGAATAATCCTTCCCTAGAGAGGAATATAATCCTTCCTCTCCAAATATCTGTCTTTTTTACATATGTTTTTTGTCATCCTCTATATTACGAGTATTATCTATAAGTCTCGACAGAGAATCAGTATGAAATTATTTTCTATCTGTAACATCGCGAAATACAAAAATGATTGATATTAGAAACTAGAAAGATTGTCTTGTGATACTTATTATGAATACTTGATATTGATGTTCTTTAAATCGTTTCTAATAAAGTCTATTTGCTTCGCAAGATTTATATTTCATGGATTCTATTTCATGTACATGAAGACATCCTACATCTAACAAGTGTAAAAAATTCTGTCAGAAATTTCGGATAGTTTTAGTATATTACCTTCACGGTATTGCAATTCCAATAAATGTAGCACGTTTGGCAAAAGAAAAGAGATACAAGACATATAAAATACGTTTCATTGGCAATAAATCACTTAAATGGATATTAATTGTAAAAAAAATTGTTTGTCTGGATATTAATTGTAAAAAAAATTGTTTGTCTGGTTTTCTTCAGTTTTTACGACATACTCTGAGATAGCTCGGTATACAGCTATTGCGCACTTAACGATAAAAATGTTCATCTAATGGGTTCTATTAGTATCATGTTTATTGTATTTTAAAATGCATTACTTTAATAAATCAAGTCAATGGTACACATACCGACCATTTTTCGAGAAAGACTATTAGACAGAGACTTGCTCATAATAATTTCTGGAATTGTAGCACACACTGCGTTTTCTTTTATTTTAAATAAATATAATTTCGATTCCCGATTCAGCGACTTCACCCCGATATTTTTCTCGTCTACGTCTCTTCAGGGGGGTAAAGAGGGTTTTATAGAATTTCTTAAAAATGAGAATCTATATCTTGGTTAAATGCACCAAGTAAAATATATGCATATGCCGTGTTTTCGTTTAAAATTTCGCGTACAATTAAAAAGAATTTTTTCAGGCATTACCATCCGCTGTGGCTCGTAGACGCTAGTTTTCTTATCATGTTATTAAATATAATTTGTTAGTGAGCCTTGAAAGTAACTTTCTGTCGTGACAATTTAATATAATAAAAAAGTGTGTAACATTAACGAGTGTACGTTTCAATTTCTCTCTCTCTCTCTCTTTTTATTTTGCAATAAATATTTCTATGTGTGTATAAAATAAAATGAATAATTTATGTGTGTATAAAAATATTAATTTAACACATAATATTCATATTATTTAAAATTATTTATTCTGTTATGAATTATTTTATCAATCTATAGTCAATCCTTCCTTTTTCCTTAATAAAAATTAAAGAACAAGTAAAATTTTAAGCTTTTCCATAAAAGATTGTAAAATTTAAAAAATGTTAGAAAATAAAAACAAATATAATAATAAAAGTTATAATATAATATTTCAGTATTGCAATATATCCATTCATAATAAGTCGAAATAATTAAATAAAATATCCTCGAGATTCTATTATTTTGTGATTATAAAATTCAGTCATGGCAATGTCTAAATGCGCTCGTCATTTCGTGGTATGGTCAAAGTAGTTCAACGAAACTGTTGCATCAACGATTGTTATAATTATTTAAAGAGATAATTTTATGCCTATGACTCGACAAGATGTTTGCTCATTTATATAAATATTGATATCGTGTAGATTACGAGTTTGTGTAACAACTAAATTTGTGGACTTCCAAAGTTGTCATATGGTATCATGTCAGATTAAACATGCACGATAATGTATCGCAATTTAGATTAAATATACATGACATCACGCATTTATTTCAGAAAAGTTAGTGCTTACAAATTTTCTAACTTTGTATGAAACTTTATCCTCTGTTTCTGTAGGTGCTCTTATGGCGATTTATATATATATATATATATATATATATATATATATATATATATATGATATCAAGTGCTAAAGTTTTGCGCTCGGAAATATCATAAAAGTTTAGATATAATAAAGAAAGTCAGACACACACACTCTCTCTCTCTCTTTTTCTTCGGATTATCCTACGCTATTTGTAATCTTTCTTTAGGAAAATAATAATTCTTAATATTTTTACTTCAATGAGAATGTAACTTCGTTCAGATATTAAAGATCTAAAGAAGCGAAAAAGCTATTCTTTATGAGATATCGCTCGAAACTCGGTAACATTTGGTCAGGATATCATATACAAGTTAAGTGGACGAGGCTTTAGGGAAAATGAAATGAACGATTCGATCGCATTTGTATGACCGAGTGTATGTATTCAAGGAAAATCATATCTATATGGGATTTACGCGTATTTGTTTTTTGATCCATCTTTCAACAAAGTATAAATACATATGAACGCGTTGAAAAGATAATAATCCTTTCTACGTGAGAGAAAATGTTAGTTATCGTATTATTAAGATATCTCTCTTATTCAAGATTTTTAATATTTTTGAGGTGATACTGAAAACACGAAAGAGATAAGCTCAAATAAATTCGATAAATTAATTAAGTCTCTGTATACTGTTTGCAAATTTTAATAAATTGATAACTGCCACATATGTTATACTTTTTTATATAAATTAAGCTTTATAATTTATGACGCAAAATCGCACTATTTATATATATATATATATATATATATATATATATATATATATATATTATATAAAAATCTTCAATTCTGATATATGATTTATAATGCGATTGGTTCATATTGCACAACACTCATCTTTGTTTCAAAAATAACTATTCAAAAATGAAGAAAACAAATTATCGTAACGAAAAAGTTATCGTAATGATAAAGTTTCGTTAATAACGAAATTGCAATAAAACATCATATATAGTTATCACAGTTTAGAAAAAAATTTTACGCCCACATAGTAATGTAAATTACCTCTCATTAATCTTAAGATACTTTAAATTTCTATTAAAGTATTAATTATTTACGTATTGAACCATTATTCTACGTCTATTTATCATATCATAGTATCGAGAAATATCGTACCTACAGCAGTTTATCCCATTTTTCAAAGTGTCAACTTCAAAGTTTAACGTTTTAAAAAAGTAGAGACAGAATCTTATATTACTAAATAGCCGAATAAAAAAATTAATATAACGCTAGGTCAATTTTATCGTAACATTTTATCCTTTACGCATACTTAAAACATCAAAGTTTGAAATTAATTCTCTTTTGAAACATTAGATCGCTGTATATTTTACGCTTTTCATATTATCAATAAGTATATATATATATATTTTATATTATATATATATATATATATATATATATAAATATATATATATATATATATTTTTTTTTTTTTAATTTTCGAATTGTTGCAAAACTGACATATGATATTTTTTCTTAATTTCTCTTTCAAAATTTATAATTAACTTCTTCTTAAAATAATAGCTTTATTACAATTTTTTTTCAAATGTTGTGTTATTCTATATTTTAGTTTCAAATTTTTACACCTGAGTTTTAAATTAAAAGTCCAAGTCTATTTCAAATCGAAGACAAAGATAATATTCCATTATTTATTTTCTTCATATTTAATTTTTGAAAAAAAAGAACTTTATTTATAATTTTTGATAATTGAAAAATTATAAACGTTTCAAAAATATTTCTACTAATAAGTATTATTTTGGAATTTTCAGATGTTTGGAATGTTCGGATTTAACGATGTATATCAATTTATACCCTCGTATTTTACCTTCATCCTATAATCCTTGTACATTTTATGTAAAGTAAAATACAAAATGTATTATCTAATAATAATATACGCGTACAATCCAATTTATATGCAGATGATGTAATATAATATAATGATTATATCAAATGTTTGATCTGTACATAAAGTGCAGATTTTATCATATGACTTCCGCCTGCGCGTTCTTTTACCCTTGAAATAAATTCATTGCCAATCGAAAAGCTTCGAAGAAAAATGTCAAGAGAAAATATAACATTATTTAATAAATAAACGGAAAAATAATTGTTACAGTATAATATTGAAATATATTTCACACGTTTTAGTCCGTAAATAATAATACTTTGTACATTGGTTTAAAAAGAAATCATCCGAAAATTCGCAAAACACAGATTGTTCTTTGCTGCCGTTTTCTAATATATAATAGTCAGCTTATACTAATCAGCAAATATAAGCGAATGTTTGGCACATAATTCAGCTGCAATCATATTGAGAAAATTCCAATGAAATAGATTACATCGACTCGAATGCTTTAAAGCTGTTTTAATATTTCAAGTGTATTTGTATTCTTCACGTGGGTGTATATATATTATATTTAGGAGAGCAACGATTCTCTTTTTTAATTTTTAAAATAGATAAATTAAAATTTTTTATACGTCAAATATTTGTGTATAATTATTTTTATGATTTTTGTAACATTACTCTTTAAAAAAAACATTTTAATATAAAATCGAATTTTTATTTAATAAAATAATGAAAAATATGAGTTTCTCAATAATAGTTCTTTATTTCCTTTTTATTTTTCAGACACATTTATTCAAGTATATATAATTTGTATATAAAAAATATCTCTCACTTATATTAATTATTCTATATTAATATCTGACATAGCTTTGTAACAATATCATCTAAATTTCATGAAAATTATACGATTTGAATGTCATTAATATTTTAATAAGAAATCAGTCATTAAAGCTGGACCCGATGAAAAATTGAACATATTCTATGTCCTTCAAGAATATTTTTTTCCAAATAAATTATATTAAACGGTACAGTACCAACCTGGCGAGAGCGCAACGATAGTGGAGAGTGTCGTCGCGGTCGAGAAGACAGTCAGAAAGAGCGAGATTAACAGCTTCGTCGCGCGCGTTCACCCCTAGAGTTCCTTTTATTACGCGAAGACGCGCTATAAGAGGAAGGAAATCGCGAGTGGAACGGGAACGGTTCAAATTGCAAATTTCAAATGACAAATTTCGGTTCGATCCGTTTTGACGCTAAAGGAATCGCGGAATCGCACGGCGACGGGATGGATGCGGGCACGAATGGTTACGGCGACGATCCTCAGATGAAGAGGACGAAGAGTTGCGAGTGACACGAGGGGTGGCCGCCGGCGAGAGAGGTCCCGGGCGATACCGTACGACAGTGGCGAGAATCCTACGGAGATCAGCCCTTAAATACGCGCCGTATTCCAATTGCCATGCGCACGTTTTATTGGGGCGTCAGAGAGAAATCATAGGTCGATGCGTAGCTTCGCCCACGTTCCCTTCGCATTATCCTTTTATCTTTTCGTAGTGGTCAAGATGCGACGCGTTTATCGATTGACTTTTCTCATTCACATGTGAAAAAATTTCACGCATAAATCTGTCGCGGGGCACAACTTACATAACACGACGTCGCTAAAGGGACAATTACAATCACAAACTTGTTGCTTTCGCGCAGACTTTCGCTGAGACTTGCATGCAAATTGTATGAGGCTGTCGGAGAAAAATACAATTTGATCTTTCTACGATAAAGGACGAAAGAAGTAATAATAATCACATAAATAATAACAATGATAAGATAATAAATTATATGTGAGAGATAGATTATAAATAATAAAGAAATGGTGCAAACACATATTAGTGAAGTCACAATGAAAATAATAAAAATTGTATGTGACACATTTGTGAATTTATATCGTATTTTTTTACTCATATTTTTTATTATAGTATAATTTTTATTATAGTATTAATTCTTTTTAACCTTATCAATTAAAGAATCAACAATTGAAAGATTGAAAATTTTTAAATTATTATCAAAGAAAAAATTTAAAGTTATGTTCATGTAAAGAAATTTATTCTTTATATGAATATAACATTGCATGTTTTCTTTGATAATATTTTAAAAATTTTCAATTTTTCAACTTTTTCAACTCTTTAATTGACAAAGTTAAAAAGAATTAATATGTCTTTTGAGATTATATTTGTCGTGGAATTTACGTCATCGTCAAGATTTTATTCTCGTGAAATATTTTGTCTATAAACTTGCGTGATTTGCGATATGCAGTAAATAGAAGAATTTATGCGCGACCACATACATAAAAAGCTATATGTAGAATATATCTTAAGACATCAAAATTTTTTATTTGAATTGTTTCTATGTGTCTTTTAATGTCATGAAAAAAATAATATAATTTACGTTATATTCCTCAATAATTTATAAAAGCTTTCTCAACAATCTTCAACAAAGTCAATAGTATAATAAAAAAGATATTAAAAAAAATTAAGATGTATTAAATTTTTATGACATATTTAGGTTTTTTTATCCAGTTATAATTTTTATTATACCTTCCGAATCAAGTCATTTGAAGCGATAAAGCATTTAAACAGTGAAATGAGAAAGTGTATAAAAACAATACCCATAGAGCACGAATGATTATTTGTCGATTGAAAATCGAATAAAGTATTACAAATGTAATGTAAAATATATGTATCGATGTAAAATATTACATCGTAGAAATGTTTCAGAAATGTTAGATATTGAGTAAGTAAATAGATAACATCAAATTGACTGAAAATTACCTATAATGAACTCATTATATAAATCCACTTGCATTTGTGGACTTCGTTATACTCAATGTATATATACTCAATGTAGTCGAGTCAGTCGAGTCAGTCGAGTTTGTCGATTATTAATTGATCATATAAGTTGATATTCAGTTTAACTTTAACTTCTGCCGATTTCTTCTTACTTGAATTAACAGTCGATTTGGTTGTGTTTAGATAATCATAGTTCTTTAAATTTTCACGTAAGTAAATGTTACTTGTTTAATCTTTTTTTATTTAATAAAATTTTTCACTTTAAATATTTAATTTTAGCTATTTCGAATGTTATATGCATTATTAATTTAATTTTAATATTACAACATTGACAATAATTAATGACACCAATAGATATAGTGGAAAAGAATATTCATAACACCTCATTTGCCCGACATCATCATGAACATAATGTACATGATATATAAGATGTTAAAAAAAGATTAGATTAATTGAAAAAAAATGGATTTTGTCAGAGTAAATATAATCTTGGAGATACAAGCAATTTATTAGCTTCTCTTGCTCGCTAGCTATGTAAACTTTAAAAAGATTTAATCAGCTTTATTTAAAGACTTAAGGAAAAAATCTGTACAACTTTTGCATCAATTTGAAGATGCAATGAATAGTAATTATAGATTACGAATAATAATAGTTAATAGAAATTTCATTAGAATTGACACAATTCTATCCCAGATTTGCGTTTCAGCGGAGGCGTCAGGTGCGATACGAAGCGAAATAATTAGCGATTTTTCGAAACTCTAGACAACAGTTTCTCCCACGTAACTCGAATTTCGCTGCTGCGTTACATTAGCTGCATATCACCTATATACTAATAATAATACTAATAATGCTGAAGAATATATACTATGCAATGACTAGTTTGTTACATTAACAAACATTACTTTTGTTGATACATAAAGAAAATATTAAATATTGAAATAATATTTCTCTTAGATATTGGAGTTGAGTCTCTTAGATATTGGAGTGATGTCCACATTGTTAATCTAATTTGCGATCTAAGATGAGTAAATCCGAAAATTTATTATTTATTTATTTATTATTATATTTGTTAAACAAGAAATGTCTCAACGCCCACATATTCTCCGAATTTTATTATTATTTCAGATATTTTCTAGGTAATCAGAGGATTATCATATTTTGCCTCGGTGTTGTTTCAATAATGATAATGATTATATATATATATATATATATATATATATATATATATATAATAATTACATATAAATAGATTAACTGTTTTTTCATTTTTAATAAATAATGATATATATCATAATCAAAAATATATTTCTATTGTTATGTTATTATGTGTTATGTGATCAAACAGTTATGTGATCAAACAGAAAAATTATATTATTTCCAATACTATTTTTTTTTCAATCAATAATTTTAAGATGAAAGTTACATGTGATTGTTAATGCAACAAACTAGTCATTTCTTCGAATTTCCCCCAGCGCTTTTTAACGATGTTCTTGTGTGAGCGGGAGCAATTGTTACAAATACAATAGCTAAGTTATGTGTGTTAAGATATGCATTGACATTCGTCCCTTGTCGCTCACGTAGAGAAAACCGCGTCGCAATTCGATTTCACGGAAGATCGAGTTCTATGTAGAATGCTTGATTATTCCACTGGTCGACTCGTTTTACAGCATGCACTTTATATGATTTACATTTTCGTCACTTACGTGACACTTATGTCATCGCGGTATACATAATGTAATTCAAATTATCTGCTCCACGTATCAAGCAAAAAGAAACCAATTGCTTTTTAATAATTATAATGTAATTCGAATGTAATATAATTCAAATTATCTGTCTTATATAAAAATGTAAAAAATGCCTCAATATCGTTTAATAATAATTTTGATGATGTCAATAATAAAATCAATAATAATAATTTTGATGACGTCAATAATAAAATCATTATCGTTTAATAATAATTTTGATCATATGCAATGACAATATTATGAATAAATAAAATAATTGTTTTTTTTTTATTTTAAGATGACAAATATAATAAAAATTAATTAAATTTTATTATAAAAAAATATATTTCTGATTGTAATCTTCTTAAATCATGCTCGATCTTAAATATAAATAAGCACATGATGTGACGATTAATATCCGAAATCTGATAATTAAGAATAGAATTAATTTGTTAGAGTTTCTTGCACATGTGCAAGAATATTTCGCGCGTAAAAAAACGAAATTGAAAGAAGCAATTAAAACGTGAAAACGCTTAGAATCATTTCGCTAATATACGAAATATCGACTGCAATATTGATATAATAGTTCCTTTCCAACTCACAATATTGTATGAATGTCATACGCACATATTGTAACATTTACATATAATTTACATACAATATATACAGTTCATATGCGTATTAACGTCATGTCTATTATCAATAAGTAAAGATTGATAAATTTAGATTCTTTCCTAAACTTCACATAATAAATTTGACTAATATAAATAATTAACGAAAATTTATTTCGGAAAGAATTGAATAAAATTGAAATTGGGTTGTTATTAATATTTTTTATAAACGATCTTCTCCATGCTTTGTCAATAACTGTCATCGTTTGGAAGTCATGGTTTAACAATTCTCGCGTAATTCAGATATTACCATCCCGAGAATAAAAAATTAATTAGTTACGTAAAATAGAAATAAGTTTGAAATAAGTTGTTTCTGAACAATAAAGAAAGATTCGAACGTTTCGAGTTTGCATCTTAAAATTAAAACCATGACCTGTGGATTAATACTCACTCAGGAAGTTTATGTATCACGTGATTTGTGATTTTGCATACTATTTAGCTTTCAGTCCTTATACAACGACTTTAGTTTTCCACGATACATGTGTCTTCACACATCTTCTTTTCGCAAGTGTATCCATCCCTAAGTACGTATTATATATATTTATTGTCATTGCATATGATAATAATATATAATTACTAATAATAATGAGAATAATTTGTAATAAAAGAAAAAAAGAGAGAGCATTGTGCACTATAAAAATGTAATAATGCAACAGATTATTATATATTATTTTTTATTATACACTATATTTTTTGTCTTTTTTTGTAAATAAATTTCGATAGTTGGGATAATGTCATATTATAAAATGTCACAGTTTATCTTTAAACATTTAACTATTATCATCGACATGATTCATTAATTTATTAAAATTTTTCATGTAAAAATGTAACAGATTTTCACTTAAGATATTAGTATATATATAACATTTGTAAAAGCATTATTTCTGATTTAATTTAAAAGATATTTAAAATATAGCTTCTTTTATATATCGTGGATGGACCCCACTGTGTGGATAGAGAGACGTTATCATTACTACAAATTATAAATATCATATTCGGATATTACTCGAATCAACAGCTGCGAAATGTTGCATCAGATGAATCCCGATTTCTTAAGTGCTCAATCCGAGAATTCAGAAAAATCAGATCTCGAATCATGCATCATGCGTACCAGAATAATACCAAAAGGAGACGGCAATAGTACGTATTTTTTACATTTTTGTATATTGTAGAGTAATTATGGATTAGACGTAAATTAACAATTTTTTAAATCTTTAGTTCTTAAATATATATTTAATTATGAGAAGTACAAAAAAGAGAAAGAGAAAATTACAGAGTATGTGTAAAATAAAATAACACACCTGAATAACCTGTAAACAGTTGGTGATAAGAAATAATTGAATAGTTTACAAGATAATTTATTCTTCTCAATTAATTCTTCTCATTATTTTGTATAAAAAAATAATCAGATAAAATAAATATTTTCTAAAATATTTTGCAGTTTATGTAAAATTTTATCAAATTAAAGTATAAAATATCTTAAACTATTTAATTTTTGATCCATCTTTATATTTTTTATCAGATATGTGAGAAATCTATTTATATAAAAAAATAGAATAATTTTATTTAAAAAAACTAATTCGAAGTGATGTATAGCATGGAAATATGAAGTGCAGTGATGATAATATCACATCCAGCTAATCCTCTATATACCCAACAACTTTTATTTGAACAATTATTTCTCCCTAATCTTACATATCTGATCAGCTATTGTACAAATTTTTTTAAAATTATTTGTTAGAATTATATAATATAATTCTAATTCTTTTCGAGATAATTTATTAAATTATTAAAATATTATGCTACAAAACAAATGTTCAAAAAAAATGCTAAAAAATTCTAATGTGTTGTGAATTTTAAATTTTTTGTTTTAAATAAAACATATATGTTATCTTTTAAAAAGACATTAAATCAAAAGAAATTAAATATATCTTGATTAATTTATAACTGTCAATAAAATAAACTGTAAATAAAATATTTCTTTTTAATAATTTAATTTGTTAATAAAATTGATTTTATTGCAAGCATTAAACTATTTAAAGAATTAATAAATAATTAATAAAAATATAACCAATACTTTAGATTGAGATATTTTATATTTATCATGAGAAAATATATACTGTGCAGCATTGAATGTGTTGATAATTTTAAGAACACAAAATATAATTTTATACTAACACATTGTTGATCGTTCACAAGTAAACTTGTGTTTTCATATTCAAACATTGTTGACCGGTACATAAAAATAATGTAAATTTAAAAAAATAATCAAAATAAAATAAAAATAAAAAAATAATCAAAATTAAATTAAATAATATAAATAATGTATAAAGTATATTGAAATTTATTTAGATTATTTCATTTTCATATTCAACTACAAAAAAATTACCTGAATAACATAAAATTGCCGGTCAACAATGTGTCAAGTATTTATAGATTGTTTTCGATATTCAATTAATACCGATCGCAACAGATTTCATCAGAAACACAGTTTGCATCCGTTGGCGATGCTTATCTCGCTCAAATTAAATTATCAGACGCACCTGCTGTTTTTCTCTCACTCATCATACTATTTTCTACTTCTTTTTTTATTTATCTATTTCTATTTAATTTATTTCTTTATTTAATTTTCTATTCATTCTTCTAACTGTCCTTTACAAATGCAAAAATTACACAAATTAAATGCAAATATAATCATTTATACTTAAGAGATCTTCTTGTATAAAGCGAATCTTTTTGTATAATCGATTTTTTCTTATATCGATTTTTTTAACCTATTTCTATCTATTTCTACATAATTCAATTTATTTCTTTATTTAATGCTCTATTCGTTCTTCCTGACTATCTTTTACAAATGCAAAAATCACACAAATTAAATGCAAATATAATCATTTATACTTAAGAGATCTATTTTTGTATAAAACGAATTCCACAATAATCAATTTTCAAAGCTAATTATTATGCATAATCGATTTTTTATTTGTTCTTTAAATATTACTTAACACAAGATAGAATAGAATTATGTAAAAACATATTTTGAATAAAAATATTTTATTATAAATATATTCAAATATCACGATAAGAAACTAACGAATAAGAGCCACCGCGGATGGTAGTGCGTAAATTTTTCTTAAAGATTAATTATTCGCGAAAATTTAAACGTGCACGAGGTGCATATGCATATGTTTTACTTGATATAAATTTACCAAGATATAAATTCTCATTTTTGAGAATTCTATAAACCCTTTTTACTCCCCCCCTCCCCCCTGAAGGGATGTAGACGAGAAAAATATCGGGGCGAAATCGCTGAATCAAGAATCGAACCCGAGTCTTTCGCTTGCTATATCTCTTCAAGGGGGGTAAAGAGGGTTTATAGAATTCTCAAAAATGAGAATCTATATCTTGGTAAATGCACCAAGTAAAACATATGCATATGCTTCGTGCACGTTTAAATTTTCATGAACAATTAATCTTTAAGAAAAATTTACGCACTACCATCCCCGTGGCTCTTATTCGCTAGTTTCTTATCGTGTTGTTTAAATACATATAGAGCCTAATTCCTTTCAATTTATTTATATTCAAATATATTCAAAATTGCAAACATTTTTATTAATAAGTTTTTTAAAAAACATAATTATTTTTTAGATAATTAATTTTAGAATATATCTAATTTAGCAATCTATTTGAAAAATTATATATATATATATATATATATATATATATATACAGAGTGTTAGGGCAATCTCTTCCCCCAAAAAAAGAATAACACATAATTGTTTCGAAAAAAAATATGTAATTGTTAATTGCAAATTGATTCCCCTCATTATTTTATACATAAAAATATTAAGGTAAAATAATCAAAAAATGAATGTTTTATTAGATATATATATTTTATGATTTATGTAAAAATTAAGAAATTATTTCAGACATCATAACTCGAAAAGTAGTCGATGAAAAAATACTTTATTATAGTGTTTTGAAAAGCTCTCGAGGTAAGCTACAAGACCTTTTTTTGGGAAGAGATTACTCTGACACCCTGTAAACACACACACACACACACACACACACACACACACACACACACACACACACACACACACACACTCATATATAATAATATATATAATAAATAATTTATAAATTACTCACCGCATATCTCGTTGCTTCTTTCATCGTCCGAAACTTTCTTGAACTTTTTTTTCTTTTTTCATCCTTTGCTGGTTTCTTATAGTGTTCACTACTCGTGAAAATGTGATGTAATTAATTAAAATGTGATTAAATTATGCCGAATATGACGATCACGGAACACTTTGCACGTCACTCCCGATTATATATGCGTACAATGATATGCACTTTATTATATCGCGACGGAAGTATAATGTATGATTTATTCGACAAAATTGTGCGCTAGTTACTTCAATAATGCTATATTGTTAATACATATTTGCAATAGTACATGAATCGAAAGATTAAAATAATAAAAAAATGATGTCGCACATCTTTAACAAATAATTTATGTTCGAATTTTAAGTAATTTTATTACTTCGCAGTTTATAATAAGTAGATTAGAATATATGAGAATATAATAGACACAGATTTTCCGACTGTTTCTGATAAATTTCGATCAAACAAATCTCGCGATAAACAATAATATTATATATCATAAGAAAATATATATAAATACTAAAAATAAAATTAATTAATTCTTTATCATCTCGAAATATAATGCAATATAATAAAAAAATTCAGTGTAAAATATTCTTGAATTTTAAATTAATTATTATTTAAATCCTTAATATATTACTTATTATTTAAATCCTTAATATATTACTTATTATTTTAGTTTAATTTGATTACTTTAATCAATCCTTTGTGTTTTATTATATGATCCATATGACAAATTATATTTAGATTAGTGAAACATTTAACATTTAGTAATTATTATCAAGGAGATTGTGTAATGATATTATATATATATATATATATATATATATATATATATATATAATAAAAGGATATTATAATTTATTATTTTTATCTTAGCCATTCCAACTTTTATTTGAGATAGTGAAATGCGCATTATGAAGGACTATTGACGCAATACAATTTTGTGTTGTTTATGAAACTTAATTAGTTATGGTCAGTATTATATTATTTATATAATGAATTATTTTCCGATATATCAAGACTGAATTTAGAAATTCGAACATATACTCGAAGGAATTCGACTACGAAGTGTTTCGCACCACTATACGGTTCGAGTGTCACTGTGCGAATAACGAAGGGCGTTTCTCAGCGACACAGAGAACACAGTGTATCACTTCATCCTTGTTGCCGAATATAAACAAGGATGAAATAATTCACTGTGTTACACTGTGTCTTCTGTGTCGCTTGCTGAAAAAAATGCCCAAAGTCGTAAACCAAATACATAAACATTAGCGCCCTTGGCGCGCCAAGACCAAGCACCGTCTTATTGTTAATTTATTACCGAAATATTTTACGTATTATAACATATAATGTATGTACGGAATATTAAGTGATACATTAAAAATTTTTAATTGTAGGTTTATTAGGTTTATTAAACTGATGTATGCACGGAGCCTCTTATTATGATACTTACTCGAATGAATTCTTGCCATTTAATTACTTTATGCGTTCTCAATCCGAATTACACTTAGATCGAAAAGTTTAAAAGTCTAATAATAAAGCATTGGATAAAATATAATTGAATTTAAGAGTATCATTAAAGAAAAAATTATTCTCTGTAAAGATCGCGACGAAACAATACTTTATTACTTTAAATCCCCGCTCTTTCGATTCTTACTTGATTAAATGAATCACGCGCAATGCGCTTCGAGATTGATCTCGTCACGATATAATTACGTATCATTTATTCATGTGATTACAATAGATCAATAAATCTAACATTACCTAATAAATCTTGTCACGCTTGTACTTAAAAAACTTTGGGGCTTTGACGGAGCGTCTCGCATCACTACTTTCCTATTCGAATGCCACGACGTGAATAAATAAGTGATAGGGTAACAAAGTCGCGACATATCAATATATATAGAATATAATGTTTATGTTGTTTATATACTCCGTCATTGCTAAATCATTGTATATGTATAACATATATA